TCTTTTTTCTTTTATTCTTCCTTTCTTTCTTTTTTTCTTTCACTCAAGACCAGAGAGAGAGAGAGAGAGAGAGAGGGAGAGACCTCCCTTATGATAATTGAAATGGCGAGCTGCGCCCCTAGGGTGCGAGAGGGAGGGAATGAAGGGGCCACAGTCACAGGCAAAGAGAGAGAACAAAAAATAATAATAATAATAAACCAACAATATTAATAACTGGCCACATTGCGCAATCAAAACACAAAAGGCCAATTAAAATTGCAATTTCGATTGAATTTTAAGTGTCTCTCAAAAATAAACAATTATAATTTGCACAAGAAATAGCAATTTGTTTTGGAATTCTATCAGCTTTCTTGGGAAATTGTTTGAATAATTGGTTACATATTTTTTACTTCTTTTTTTACATTTACTGGTATTTCTTTTTAAAAACTATACGGGCTTACAAATATTTATTAACACTTAAAATCGTATTTCTGTTGAAAAAGCATCACTTTTCCTTAAGTTTTGTGTCAAAACTCTTTTCCTTGTCAAACGAATAATTTTTGGATTTTTCAATTTGAATACCTGTGAGTTTTTGAAAGCAAAAAAGATGTCTACAACGCATTATAGGCTGACCTACCTGTCAGGAGAATCAGGATCGGATTCGGAAAAGGATTCTGGAGAAGGAGAATCAGGAGCTGAGCATCCGGATCTGTCTTCACCTTGCCCCATTTGCCTGCTGCCCATCGATCGGCCAGCCTTCACCAGCTGCGGGCACATTTTCTGCTTTGCTTGCCTGAACACGCTCGTCATCATCGCCACCACCCACCCCCGCTGCCCGCTGTGCCGCAAAAATCTTTAAATCAAAAAAATATTTAAAGAAAAAAAATACAACAAAATAAATAATATAAAAAAATCAAAGTATATTTTCCATAGGATATTTAAAATTTTTCTTTTAAATACATTTATACCTTTTTTATACCCTTGCAGGGTATTATAATTTCAGTCAGAAGTTTGCAACGCAGTGAAGGAGACGTTTCCGACCCTATAAAGTATATATATTCTTGATCAGCATCAACAGCCAAGTCGATCTAGCCATGTCCGTCTGTCCGTCCGTCTGTCCGTCTGTCCGTCTGTCCGTCTGTCCGTTTCTACGCAAACTAGTCCCTCAGTTTTAAAGCTATCTGAATGAAACTTTGCATATAGTCTTCTATATACTCTCACTGCTATATATGTCGGAACGAGCCGGATCGGACGACTATATCATATAGCTGCCATACAAATGTTCGATAAATTTTTAGAAAAAAAATTATAACTTTGCTGTTTTTTTAAATTTTTGCACCATTTTTTAGATATGGCCATTTTATATTATTTCTGAATTTTGGTAAAAATGAAATTCATGAAAATCGGACGACTATATCTTATAGCTGCCATAGAAACGATCCGGAAAATAATAGGAAAAAAATTATAACTTCGTTGTTTTTCAACGTATTTTCATCTACTCTAAAATATAAAATTATTTTATTATTCTAAAATTTTGGTATAAATTTTATGAAAATCGGACAACTATATCATATAGCTGCCATAGGAGCGATCGGTAGATGTAGAGAAAATGTAAAGGTGTGAATGTAAAACTGTAACTGTCAAACTGTAAACATAATAAGTATAGGTAAAATGTAATGAAATAATATCTGCAAGGGTATACAAACTTCGGCGTGCCGAAGTTAGCTTCCTTTCTTGTTTTAATATCAATTTGAAAGGTAAAACTTTTTCAATTTTTAATTCAATTCCATTCAATTTTTAATTAATTTATCAATATATTTATAATTATATTTATATTTAATTATATTTATAATTTTATAATTAATTATATTTATAATTTATTCGTATTTATTTTTAAGAAAATAATTAACAAAAATGTTTACATTTTGTACCTTTTTCCTGCCTTAATTTCAAAATCATTTAAGTGACCAAAAATTCACCTAAAAACTGGCAGAACTTTTCATTTTGCCAACGTTTTCTTCTTCGATTTTTCCCTTGTTTTTTTTTATTATTTTTACTATTATTTTTACCTATTTCCAACCTGGACTCTCGCTCTCTCGACTCTCGGCCATCGATCAATCCCAAAGTCTGGCACGGACATTTAAGCCAAGTGCACACTCAAAGCGATTGTTCAATACGTTTTCCAGCTCTCGATGCTATTCGCATTCTGGCATTTTCCCCCCTCTTGGGGGGAGGCAGGTGGACGTTGGGGGGTGACACCTCGTTTACCCTCTTTAAGCCCCCCGTTATCTACTTTGTTTGGTATTGGCAAGCGAGACGCATAAACAGGCCAGCGAAATGAGCGCGCGACTACAAAGAAAATGACGTAGCAAAAGAAAATGCAGACGGAAAATGCAGCAGCAGCAACAACAAAAGCGAAAACAGATAAAGAAGCGATTTTTTGTGCTCTGTTTTCCACGGGGATATTTCCAATTGGCCAGTGAATTTGTTTAAATTTGATATCCTCAATTGAAATCTATTGAAAATTGTGGACAGAAAGTATGCTACAAAAAAAGAAACCAAGTTTTTGGGGCTACCAAAAAATGTATTTTATAACTTTTTGGCAGTGTTTTATTGGGGTTTTTAAAATATTACTTTACTTTAATTTTCATTTTAATATGTGGTTAATTATTTAAATATTAATTAGTATGATTTTAAAATTTTTATAAAATATATTAATTTAAATATTAAATAAAAATAAAGTGGGTTTACTAAAAATAGACTCTTTGGTTCATAAAATATTTGCAATTTCGTTAGAAAAATTATTTTAATATTTATCTATCAGCTTTAGTTTTTTTTATTATTTATTTAAATCAATAAATATTAATTTTTTATCAATTTGTTTAATTTTTTTAGTTGTTTTATTTTATTAATTATAAAACAATATTTTTAAAGCAACAAATGTATAAAAAAAAAACACAAATAATAATAATAACTCCACAACATTTATTCATTAATTATTATTATATTTTTTTTTATTAATAAATTAATATTTATTATACTATTTATATATAACTAAAATTTTATTTTATTTGTTTTTATATTTTTTATTTTAATTATTATAAAAAAACACAAATAATAATAATAATAACTCAACACTTGTTGGTTTGATCTCAAACTTAAAAACGCGCGCGCGCATAAGTTCACTCAAAGCGGTTTGAGTGAAAATGGGGTTCCATTTAATAGCACCAGATGGCGCTGAGGCCAAGTCCAGATAACAGTTCTGTTAAAGATTTAAAGAGATGTTAGATTAAAAAAAAAAACAGAAAATCAAAAAACCAAAATCAAACTTGTACTAAAAAGCAATATTATTTATTGAACAATTTAATAAATTTTTAATTGTATTTATTATCAACTTTTAACCATCCTTTTTAAGTACTGTTAACTGACATCATTTTTAGTGCTGCTAATTTACTTGGTAACAGTTTTTTAGCGCTGTTAGACGCAAGTTATCTGTCTATCGATTATAATCCTGGCGCACTTTTTAAGTTTAGCCCATAATGTAATTATAATTAATATAAAATGTAAAAAAACACGTATCAAAAACCTACTAAAGAAAATGTATAAGAAATTTCCTTTTTTTTTTGGTATAAACATATAATTTTAATTATTTAAAGCAGCTTTTTTTTGCAGATGTCACAAAGTGTGTAGGGGCCCTATGAGAAAAAATGGTTTTTTTTAACACTTAAGATTTTCTTCCTAAATAGAACCAATGGGAAATGGAACCTCTTTCTTGTTGTCTGTCAAATCACGTGGTCAGACGCAACATTTTTGATTACTTTCAAGTCGAAAAATCAGAGAGACCTCTAAAAAAAAAGAAAATGTCTTCATCGCAGAAAAAAAAGACCAACAAGTCCGGAGAAAACGCCGACGGACAGGAATCAGGATCGGTATCGGGCAAGGGTTCTGGGAAAGGAGGACCAACCATTGTGCATCCGCATCTGGGTTTACCTTGCCCAATATGTTTGCTGCCCTTCGAGGAGCCTGCCATAACCCAATGCGGACACATTTTCTGCATTGGTTGCCTGAACCTGCTCGCTAGCAACTCCATGACCTTTCCCCGCTGCCCGCTCTGTCGTCAAACTCTTTAATTAAAAAATATAAAAAAAATAAGGCAAGCTGAAATATACATATATATATAATATTTAAAATTAACTATTGTTAAATTGCCTTTTAGCTGCAGCCATATAGTACTTTATATACCTGAAGGAATCACATTTGGACGGGCTTCTACTTCAAAAATATATTTTTTTTTGACACTCTTCACAATTTAACAAAAAAAAAAATAAATAAATATGTATAATAACATACTTACATATATTTGTAAACTCAGATCTCAATTGATTTATTTTTCAAAAATAAATTTTGATTAAAAATATTACATATTTTCATAATATGAACAATATTATCTTGAATAAAACTATTAAATAGCTTTATAATATTAAAAAAAAAAAAACAAAACATTACCAGCTTAAATTATTTTATTTAATTTATAGGCATGAATCATGGGTTTTCCCCAATAGAAGCTTTTACAGAGAGTGGCTTACTCCAAAGTCCAACTCTTTGAAAACTAATGATTAATATTAATTTCTTAAGAAATATGTTGTATATATGTACATATGTATATACATACATACCTGCAAATAGTTCTGATAACATGGAGAGATAATGCTACTCTCAATGGATTCCCTTGAATATATACTAAATATAATTTGTATTATTTCATTTATTTATTTATTGTTATTTATTTTTTTATATTAATTATTTTAATGTTTATTTTATTTTTATTTGGTTTTTATATTTTATTTATTTTAATATTTTATTATTTAATTTATTGTAATATTTAATTTATTTAAATATTTTTTTTATTTTAATATTTCATAAAATTTTTTTTTATTTATTTATTTTGACTAGCTTCCTTGTCCAATTTAATTTTCAAAAGGAAACCCTCCACCCTTTCGCCCCAAAAAAAACACTTTTGGTTTGGATAATATAATATTTATTCTGGTGAAATCATAAGGTCTTATACTCTTATTTAGGCTTCATCATAGAGAGAAGAAGAAGACAAGTTTACAGAAAAAAAATTTTTTAAATGGGATTAAATGAGTTATAAAATTAGCAACTAAAGTAAGATTATGCTGCTTTCGCGCATATTCAACTTCAACTTGGCCTCCATATCTCCAGCTCCTTCTGCTCGTACTGCTCTACTTCTCCTCACACCACTCGTTCTCCTTGCGCACCTGCTCCTCCTCGGCGGGCGTAAAGTCCTTCTTGATGTTGAACGTCTTGCGGATTTCTTCCGGTGTCTTGCCCTTGATCATATTGGCCACCGTCTTGCAGGTAAGCTCCAATAGACCCTTAATATCCAAATAGTTGGCCGCCAAAATCAGTTCAAAGAGTGTGCCCTGATCGACTTTAAGGAAATCAGCATCCCACGAGATAATGTCATCGGTGCGCTTCTCCTTGCTCTCATCATCCTCCGTGGGCTGCGGATCATCCTTGTGATAATGGGCCCAGGTGAGCACCTTTCGTAGGATCGTCGAGTTGACATTGGGCAGCGGCACCACCGCATTCTCATCATCCTCCATGCCGCAATCCTCAAGCATGGTCTTGATAGTGCCCGAGCACTTGGCAATCTGAATATCAGTGTCGAAGATCTCGTCATCGGACGATTGTAGCTTGATGCTCGGCATGTTTACACAAAAGGACTGGATGGATTCTGGAATACCAAATAAAAATGCAGACACAGGGATTAAATTCGTTGGAAAAGAGCGAACAAAAACATTTTCGAGAAAATACGCACACAAATAGTCATGCACAAGCACGAACACCAATGCACACACACACATACATAGTATATGCAGTCGGTGTATCGGTGTGCGTGTATTTTTTTTTTATCCCCTGCCCCCCAACAGCGGCCATCTCGAATGGCGTTTGCTTGCCGTGCGTTTTTCTCTACCGATTCCTTTTAATACTTTAATACTTGTTCGGAAAACGGTGGCTTACCTTAGCGTACAGCGAACTATTTGCGTCGAGACGTAATTGCGAAGCGTCTTTGCCTGCGTTTTCCAGAAAAAATAATTTCCACAAACGAAGATTCAGGGATGAAAGACAGCAGTGTGGTCACCGTTCAAGTAGCCAAAAATGGCCAGAAGAACGGTTATTTCCTCGACGGCAGCTGGTCACGCTGAAGAAATGGTGGAAAACTTTTGAGGAATTGAATAGTACAAATTAGTTTAGGACCAGAACGAAATCATTTAATTTATTGCTCAATTTAAAATATTTATTTGTATATAACGAGCTGTCAAAGCAGTTTCCTTAACCTAAGTGAGCACTAGATTGGTAGAATGACAAAAATAGTAAGGAACATTGAACAAAAGGTGCGGAACCATGCTAAGCTCTACCTTAATAGAAATAAAAGTAATTTTTGGCCTTTACCAAATGGCCGCCCTTGAATATTATTTGTATTTATTTTTCCATTTATAATATTAGTGAATTTTTAATTAAATAATCAAGAAATACAGAATTGCGCGATGTTATCGCCCTTGTCAGAAAACCATCGATAGATACCGGCTGGCTGAAGCCACTGTTGTTATCGATAGCGCCATCAATTGTTCGGTTTGTCAGCTCTATCGGGTGGCGAAAAAAAAAACGGATTTTCGGAATATCGCGGAAAATCAACGCGAAAAAAGCAGATCGCAGCGCCCCAAGTCGAGCTCACTTTGCTAATTTAATCAACGCAGGCTCCACAAATGCAGGGACACAGGCGCGCTGCCTCCACGAGACGTCGCCAGCGGTAGACGCGAGAATTAAGTAGTTTCTGCCAGGTGAAGCGAGGCGTGGAGAAGAGGCAAGAAAAAGGCATACATACATACACACGTACGCACGTACAAACGCGTCGACGTCGCCGCTGCGAAGGAATATATGTATCCGGACGTGCGTGTGTGTGCGTCCACAAATCCACATACACAGACGTGTGGTGGCTGCAGCTTCTAGCAGGAGAGCCAGGAGAGAGGTAAAGAGCGAGCGAAGAGAGCTATGGACGACGGCGTTTTGATGTTTTGGGAACAAAGGCGTTAAAATGATTTGCCACCGCACCGGAGTCGCCAGCAACAACAACGTTAGCAGCAGCCGGGACGACTCCAAGCCCACCAGCACGCGCTCCAGCATCAGCTACGGCCCACTGTGATATATTTTGGATACGAAGCCAAAGCTAAACCATCCAATCCAATCCAGCAACAACATTAAACAAGCCCGTGTACGTGCCGTTTGTTGTGAGTGTGTTGGTGTGTGTATGTCTCAACAAAAAGCTGAAAAAGACGCACGCACACAGACGAAGTGGACAAAGCATCATACATTGGAGCGACAGAGAGAGATAGGAGAGGAGTGGGGAGCCGAGAAGCAGCAGCCAGTAGCGCCTTAGTGAATAATTCATTTAAGGTAAATGTTTAAAACAATCGAATAAGTGCAAAAGAAAATCAAGAAGTATAAACATATCAGAGTGTGAGTGTGATTGTGTGCCGTGTGTTGGTGCGAGAGTGTGTAACAGGCGCCGCCATTTTTCGTTCCCATGTAACGAGCGCTGCAAATGTTCGTCCAGGGTTGGCAAGGTGCCGAAAGCTGCCAGCTATTGTTCCAAGAAGCGTGAAACTTATATGTGGCTTGTTTAATTTTTTTTTTTGTGTTCTAATAAACTTGTGATTCTGTTTTTTGTAGCAGTCACCAGTCTATAAAGATACTAATAATTATAAAGCCGATTCCCAGACATTTGGCAACCCTTTTTCAGCTGCTCACCTATTCTCACTGCGCATATGCTGCTCTCTCGCTCGTGCATATGGGTGCGTGTGCGTTTGCGTGTATACATGTGTGTGTGTGCGTTGTAAACAGCTGAGAGTAATTTGCAATCGAAATCCATTCAGAACAATTCGGGCAGCAACAAATATCAATTTCCAACAAAGTTCGCACACTTGCCTAGCTGCCACCCACTGCTCTCCCCCCTGCTATAAGTCTTCTTTTATGCTATCCCATGATCTGATTACTTCTGCCAAACTGACTTTTGTACACAAACCAAGAGGTGACGGCGAAAGAAGCTGAAACTAAAACCGAAATTAAAGCTAAAGCTAAAACGAAAAAGAGTTTGGCGTCGGCGTGGAGCAGCGATAACTGTGACGTCGCCCAGTCACAGTTATATTGTAACGCCGCCACGCCGCGCAGCTTCTCGCGAATCGGAAAGGCGGACAAGAACATGCAAAATTGCAAATTGCTGATCGCTGCGCATGCAAATCGATAATACGTTTTTTTTGTTGTGTCCGCATTTTGTTCCTTTCCTTTTTTTCTTCGTTTTGGCTTTTGTTTTTGGTTGCCTTTGCAAACACAAGCGATGGACATTGAGTGAGCGAGCGGCATAGCAATAATGTTCAATACTTTTAGTTGGCCTCGTAAGTGTGTGTGTGCGGGTGGAATATCTGGAATAAGTGCAGGATTTTCGTGGATCGATATGGTCTTTTTTTTTTATTGTTACACATGTGCTTGCCAAGTTAATTGATTTTTTTTTGCACGTGTGTGTGTGCGAGACTTGTCTGGAGTGGGAGAGAGCCAGAACGAGACTGAGAGAGAACGAGAGCGTTGTCTGTCGACGACCCCATCAGCAAGCAAGCAGTTACACCTCTCCCTCGCTCTTTCGCTCCCCGCTGAAGCTGTATGCGTAAAAATAAAAAAATAATAATAATCATATTATTTTGTGTGTGTCAGAAAGAGATAAGTAAAAGCTGAGGTGTTGTACAATGTGATTAGTGCCAAAACAGCTGTTTTTTGCCACCCCCTTGACTTGACACAACTGTAGATTAATAATTTCTGCAAAACTAGCCTGTATTTCGGGGCAGTGAGTGAACGAGAGAGAGGAAGTGTGTGTATGTGTGTGTGTGTGTAAGTGCTGCAAATACTTTGCACTTGTCCTAGTCCTGCTGCAAAACATATGCTCTCTTTCTCTAGCACTCTAGCTATCTCGCTTTGAACCATGTAACCCAAGAACAGATGGCGTTGCCAGATGCTAGGAATAAGAAGAATCAACAAAAAAAAAAAAAAAAAAACAGCTGATAATTTGCCAAATGGAGAATTTTAAAATTAAAAAAATATTTTGTTAAGGTTTTCTTTATGTTTAAAAATTTTTATTAATTTTTAATTTTAATTAATTTTTTTAACCAATTACTAAATCTAAAAATAAAATTAAAAATAAAAAAAATTGAAAATCTCATTAATCCTAATTTTTTTTTTTTACCACTTTCAGACTGTCCTGCAGAATGGTCGTCGGCTCGAATCACACGCGTCGCGGTGAAACTGGCAGCAGATTTACAAGCAACAACAACAATAGCAGCAGCTCCAGCGGCTCCACAGCAGCCTCCTCGGCCAGCAGCAGTATAACCACCAGCGCAACGTCTTCACTAGCCAACAACCCCAGCCCCAATCCCAATACAAATCCCACGGCGACGGCGGCGTCAGCGGCAGCGGCAGCTCTGTTGTCGTCAATGTCCCACAAAGGTCATGTTCCGCCACCACCAGCAGCACCACCATCCGCGCAGCAGCAGCAGCAGCAGCATCAACAGCAACCGCCGCCGCCGCATTCGAATCCGCACCAGCAGCAGCATCCCCATCATGCCCACTATCAGCAGACGCATCACCATCATCACTCGAATGGAGGAACCGCTGGATCGGCTACAGGTTCGGGAGGATCATCATCATCATCATCAGCAGGTGTTCTTAATGGCTGCCATAGCAACGGCAGCGCCGTCAGTCGTCTGTCCCAATCCACCGGAATGTCGCCGCGCGAACTATCCGAGAACGATGATCTGGCCACATCGCTGATCCTTGATCCGCATCTTGGTTTCCAAACCCACAAGATGAACATACGCTTCCGGCCGCTTAAAGTGGATACGCAGCAGTTAAAAGCCATTGTTGATGATTTTATACACACGCAGAACTATGATGTGGCCATACAGCGGATCTACGATGGCCCCTGGATACCGCGCCACCTCAAGAATAAGAACAAGATAGCCACCAAGCGGTTGCACGATCATGTGAGTATCAGAATGATGATTTTATTGAGGCAATAAACTTATAATATCTATTATTCCTTATCCCTTTTAGATCGTTCGTTATCTGCGGGTCTTTGACAAGGACAGCGGCTTTGCGATTGAGGCCTGCTATCGTTACTCGCTGGAGGAGCAGCGCGGCGCCAAGATAAGCTCAACGAAGCGCTGGTCAAAGAATGACAAAATCGAATGCCTAGTGGGCTGCATCGCTGAGCTGACCGAATCCGAGGAAGCGGCTTTATTGCATTCGGGCAAGAATGATTTCTCGGTGATGTATAGCTGCCGAAAGAACTGTGCCCAGCTGTGGCTAGGACCGGCTGCCTACATCAATCATGATTGTCGTGCCAATTGCAAATTTTTGGCCACCGGACGTGACACTGCCTGCGTTAAAGTGCTGCGCGACATTGAGGTGGGCGAGGAGATAACCTGCTTCTATGGCGAGGACTTTTTTGGTGATTCAAATCGTTACTGTGAGTGCGAGACATGCGAGCGACGGCATATGGGTGCCTTTGCCGGCAAGGAGGATGGCCTAATGCTTGGTCTTAGCTCGGGCCTAGGATTGGGTCTCGGTTTGGGCACCGGTGGTGCCGGCAATGGCGGTGGCTATCGTCTCCGTGAAACGGATAATCGTATTAATCGCATCAAGAGCCGTGCCAATTCCACCAATAGCACCTCGAACAGTAATAGCAACACGAATGATTCCACTGGCACCAGCGAGAGTAGCAGCAGCACCACGAATGGTGGTGGTGGAGGAGGAGCAACTGCAGCAGCCGCAGCAGCGGCGGCACCTGCTTTACCTCCAGTTACTGGCTCCGCTTTAACGTTACCATCTCATCAAGGCAAGGAGGCCACTGCCGCCGTCTCTCTTCTAGAGAAAAAGTTGCCAACGAATGTGGTTGTCTCCCCGCTGACAATGAAGGAGCTGCGCCAAAAAGGCATGACCAAGTATGATGCCGAAATGATAATGGCCAATGCTGCGTATCAGCAGCAGCATCATCATCACCAGCATCATTTCCACCACCACCATCATCATCATCATCACCACCATCAGCAGCACAATCATGGCCAGCATGCTAGCACCGGGGCCGAGGCCACGGCAGCCGTGCAGCAGATGGCCATGCAAAAGCCAGGAGGAACGGGAGGCGGCGGTACAGGAACAGGAGCAACCACAACAGCAACAGCAGGCGTGGCCAGCGGAGCAGGCTCCGAAGTGAATGGCAGCAACAGCGGTCGCTCCAGCAGCCTGCGCAAATCGATGCGTGTGAATAGCACCAGCAGCAGCATTTCCACAGCCTCCACCGATGAGGTGGTGGTGGTGCCGCCTCCCGTTACGAGCACATCACTGATGGTCCTGGTGCCACGTTGCAAGCCCGCGGAAATTGCAGCTTTGCTCAAGATGCGACAGCAACGCCAGCTGAGACGCAGCGAGCGGCAGAAGGAGAAGCAAACGGATAGCGAGAGCAGCGATGCCAGCGAGCAGCAGCACCAAAAAAAGAAGCGAGAAAGGGAGCGGGAGCAGCAGCAGCGCAAAATGTTTATACTTTCGGAGGAGGAGCAACAGCAGCCGCAGCAGCAGCAGCAGGAGAAGCGTGTGACGCGTAACAGTGCGGGAAGAGCGAGTGCTGCTGGAGGAGGAGGATTGGGAGCCAGATTAGCCACTGCCCAAAACAATAACATGGCAACCAACAGCAGCAGCAGCAACAACAAAGCAACGATTACAAATTGTAATAATCATAATAGTACTAATAGCAGTAGAATTAACCATAATTCTAATCTTAGCGGTAGACTTAGTGTTAAATCAAAGAAGCCAGCACCAAGTGAGGCCTCGTCCACATCCTCAACCTCAGCCACATCCTCAGAGCAGCAACAGCAACAGCAGCAGCAGCAGGCAACGCGTCGCAGTCGCAGCCACAGTCCCGCCTATAAAAAGAACCTTTTGGCCAGCTTCGATCCTCCCAAGGAGCAACAGCAGCAGCAGCAGGAAGGAGCCATACCCCTCGTCAAGCAGAAGCGCAGTCGCCGGGCGGCCGCTTTGGCAGCAGCCCAAAGTATACACTGTGATGCCTTGGGAACAACAGCGGCGGCGGCGGGCGGCGATCGTGGAGCCTCTAATAGCCAACGAAAGAGATCTAATGCTGGAGAAGCTGCTCCCCTTGCCACTGCCAACTTGGAACCCCTGCTAAAGACGCCGGAGCGCAGGCTAAAGCTTACCTTGCGCATGAAGCGTTCGCCCATTCTGGACGAAGTTATTGAGTTGGGAACGAGTTTGAGCAACGATCATCGTCACTCGATGCGGCACAATGGCAGCGTCTTGGGCCGCAGTGGGGCAACAGCAGCAGCAGCGAGTGGAGGTGGAGGAGGAGGAGCAGGTCTGCAAGGAGGAGCTGGAGCAGAAGGAACTGCTGCAGGCAGAGCATCAACGGATGGTGGAGGAGCATTGAATCTAACCAGCAGCAGTAGCTCCAATGGCATTGAGTATGAGATATTGCGGATGGAGGGCATCTCGGAGCATGGCAACGATGATGACGAGGAGGAAGAAGATACAGAGGAGGAGGAGGAGGAAGAAGATACAGAGGAGGAGCAAGAAGATGAAGAGGAGGAGGAGCAGGAGCAGAGTCAAGTAGAGGAACAAAAAAAAGCACCTGAAGAGGAAGAACCAGAGCCGCCACACTACGAGCCGCTGGCCAAAAAGCAAAGAAAAAAACAGCGCAGTAGGAGCAGGAGCTGCCAGCGGAGATCGCCGGCTCCCAGCAACAGTGTTGTGTACGGCACACCGCAAAAGAAGCGACTCCGCTTGATCTTTGGCAACGAGTCCCACACCATAGACATTCCACCAGCAGCAGTAGTAACACCACCAGCAGCAGCAGCTGGATCAGAGGGCACCGTTGATGAGCTCAATAGCAGTGGCGGCGGCGATGATGAGTCCTTCAATGCCTCTTATGCCAGCAGCACCAGCCTGACGGTTAATACCTCCTCGCAGACAACCAGCAGCAACAGTGCCGCCAGCACCAGCACCAACACATCTTCTGTAGAGGCCGTGGATTCGTCCAGTGTTGTTCCAGCCAATGCCACCGCTGCCCAATCGCCATCCTCCACCACCACCAGCTCCTTTCAATCGGCCTGCACGTCGACCACCAACAGCAATAGCTACTTTCCCAACGGGAGCAAGCAGCAGCAGCGCGAGGAGTCCTATGCGTTGCACTATTACCAGTTGGGCAAGTTTGCCAGCACCTCGAGTCCCGGCCAGGGACAGGCCATAGTTAGCAGTAGCAGTGGTTCAGGAGCAGGAACAGCAGCCACAGGAGCTGGAGGATTCCTGAGCATGCCCAAGCATACATTTGGCACTTGTGCCCTGTTGGCGCCCACTAGCTTTGCTAGCCTCCAGCAGCAGCAGCCGGCGGCACAGCAACAGATAAAGTCCAGCGGAGGAGTAGGAGGAGGTGTGGTGGTGGCCACTTCAACATCCACAACTCATCTTAACAACAATCATCATCATGGCCAGAAATAACCAACGACTGATCTCCAAGCAAATTGACTAAGCTCAAGGAAGGAGGAGGAGGAAGAGGAGGAGGAGGAGTGGAAGAGGAGCAGCAGCAGGAGCAGGAAGAGGAGCAGCAGGAGCAGGAAGAGAAGCAGGTGAAGAGCAACACAACAAGGGAGATGGAGAAGGAAAAGAAGGCCAAGGAGGAGGAGCCTTGTTGCACTGCTGGCGTGTTGCGTTGCCTCTGCTGCTGACCTGTAGCTACCATCCCCCCCCCTAGACTAAGCCCCCTAGACCTTAGCCTTAGCACACACACACAAGAACATATATATTAGCTATAGATCCCCTATATAAACCCCTTGAGGAAGGCAAGCAGAAGAGCAGGAAAGCAGGATATATATGCCACATTTTGGATATATTTTTATATATATCTGATGATAACCTTTCTTTCTTTCTTTGCTTTCTTCTATTTTCTCTCTCATTGTGTGTTGTCTATGTTGTGTGTGTGTGTGTGTGTGTGTGTGTGTGTGTGCGTGTTTGTGTGTGTGTGTGTGCTTTTCTTTTTGCAGATAAAGTTGGAGAAGATTTAAAGCATAAAAGTAGCAACAGCAGCAGCAACCGAAGGAAGCGGAAAAGGAGCCACCACAGCAGCGGCAACTTGATAGTTAAAAAGCTAAGAATAGAATTAAATCGCATACAAATCATGTACTGTTGAGACAGAGGGAGACACAACGGTGGAGCAGGAGGAGGAGCCATTCAACCATAATTTAAATAATAAAATAAAGTAAATAAACAAATAATAAAAAACAAAAATAAATAAAAGCCATGCAAGAGAAAAACACAAAAACAAATGCAATTAGCAGCGGTTTTAGACGCCTTACCAACCTTAATGTTAACTTTATAAACCTTATATATATATATATATATATAAATATATATATATTTACAAAAAAATACAGATCGATATATATATATGAAGGATATACTTTAGAAAGTCCCACAAGAGCCAACCATATAGCGCAGCAACCAGCAAAACCAGAAACAACAACAACAGCAATATATAAAATCAACAACTCAATTTTAAGTAATTATATAAACACAACAAAATATATATAAATAAATGCAGAGGGAAGAAAGCTAAAAACACAATAAACCCGAAAATATAATTGTATATACAAAAAAAGGCGAAAAAGAATTACAACAAGTTGAGAGAGAAATAATAATAAAAAGCAAATACAACTAATGATGGGAAATATATTCTGAAAAGGGAAAGAAAAAAGAGAAAGAAAGAAAAGGAAAAGTCGAAAGGATTCATAGGGGGTCTATCATCATCTATCCATTCATCCTGCTCACACACACACACACACCCATCACGATAAATATATCATGAATACGATTTTGTTTTTATTACGATATATAAATTTCTTTTTTTTTTTTTAATTATGATTTATTTTTAGTTTATTTTTTTGTGTTTACCATCTAAGTTTTAATTGTAAATTAGTTTAGTTGTATAATTATACATAAATCATATTCGGATATGCATATATATTATATATACTTTATATTCATACTGTGTAACTACTGTGTATTATTTCCTAAGAGACACTGCAGCAGCCGACAACAACAACATTCATAAATAAACTAAACAAGAAAATTAAGTTTTCTTTTGCAAAATGCATGTTCGTTTTCTTTTGCATTTGCACTCCACACCGAGTTTCACGTTTCTATCAAGGCTTTTCAGCAGATCATCATCACAGAGCTTTTGCTTTTGTGTTTTTAAGAGTTCTTTTTATTATATTTATTTTCATTGTTTATTTTTTTTTTAATTCAAATAATTACATTTTTTTTCTTTAAATATTTAAATTAATTTTTATTTTAATTTAAATAATTAAATTTATTTTATATTTTAATTTAAATAATTAAATTAATTTTTATTTTAATTAAAATAATTAACTTTATTTTATATTTTAATTTAAATAATTAAATAAATTTTTATTTAAATAATTCAATTTATTTTTATTTTAATTTAAATAATTAAATTACTTTTTATTTTAATTTGAATAATTCAATTTATTTTTATTTTAATTTAAATAATTAAATTAATTTTTATTTTTATTATTAGTGTTTTTTTCCCCTACGTTTTTTTTTTTAAATTTAAGCATTATAGAATTTTGAAAAAGTGTTTTTTTTTAAATAATTTTTGGGAAAAAATTTTAAATTAAAAAAATCTATAACTCAGCTAAAAATTAATTAATTTCAATTCGGAAAGTTGTTCTAAGTTAGTTTTTGTATTATTAAAAAAACTGCATACTTTATTGAAAATATTTTAAAATTAAAATTTTTTTCAATTTTTCATAATTTTAATGATGTAACCCCTTATCAAATTTTGAAAAAATGGGTACATTTTTTTTTTGGCAAACAAGGCTAGATGGACTCGGCTGTTAATGCTGATCAAGAATATATGATTTATGGGGTCGGAAATGACTCCTTCATTTAAATTTTTGAAAAAAAATTAAAAATAATTAACAAATTTTTAGATTAATATTTTAAAATATATATTTTTTGCCTCAAACTATTTGCTCTATATATGTATTCTTAATTTTTTTTTTTAATTTTCCTTAAAGTTACTTGATTAAAATTTAATATTTATTTATGCTTAGCTAACTACTTTCTTTTTTGTTTGTTGAACCTTGGAAGTAGTTACTTGCTTAATCTTCAAGAAAAACAAGAAAAATAATTACCAAAATTTCCCTTTTCCCCAGTAAAAATGACTCCTGAAATTACGCTTCACTTCTCCAACTTGTACATTTTTTTTTGTTTATTCCGTAGCGTTACAAAAAGGTTTCCTGTTGTTCTTGTTGTTGTTTTTTTGTGTGTGTGGTTTTTCCGGGAAAGCAACTTCAGCCGCCATGTGTAGCTCTCTCCCGTGCTCGCTTAAGATCTAAGAAGGTATTTTTTATAGGGTTGTGGCATGCATCGCATGGTGGTGCATCATCGTTCCCGTGACTCCCGTCTAGTGACCATACTTCTGGAAGTCCCACTCGCGGTTATCCAGGGGACAGACCTGACGCGTCTTTAGCCAACGGGAAATGCAGTGAAAGTGGAAGGCATGGTTGCAGACGCCCCAGGCCACGGTGCACTCCTCGCTGGTGGCGGAGGCCTGGTTGGCCTGGCACTCGATGCACAGATCCATGATGTGGTTCCTGCAAATGGCGCAATTGTCCACGACAATGTCTAGGGATACGGCGGAGCGTTAGGAAGTGTTGCTGTTAGGCAGTGGCTTTGGTAGCTACTTGGTACTTACCCCAGGCCCAGAGAGCCACGGCATTCCACTGAACGAGGCCAGGATGAAAAGAGTTCCAGAAATGCAAGCAGGGGAGAGGGAGAGAGACAAAGAGATCGGATCAATGAAATTTCCCTCAAGGCAATGACCGCCGGAAAAAAAAAACGCTGACTGTGTGCGGGGCCTCACTCAACCAAACTTACCTTCTTCACCTCGAAGCGCTTCTTCTCGCCCTTGTTGCTGCTGGAGGGCACCTCGTACTCTTCATCATCGACCTCCATCCTGGCTCTCTGCTAATAAGTTTTCCCTGCCTTAAAAATGCAAAATGAATTTGCAAAGTTTAGCAAAATGGTCGAATTTCCTGAGAAGGTAGATAGAGATGAGCCAAAGGCGATGAAAACCAATCGATACTAGCTATCGATAAGGTTTTACTTTGTGAGCATTTTTAACAATCGATAACTTTCTATCGACTTCTTGACAGCTTGTAAATGAAAATAAAATTGCAAACCGGCATAAAAGTCTGCAAATTAGCGAAATAATGTCCTTTCACCTGAGCACCAAGGAGCGCCTGCTCCTCCTAATCGACGACATCGAGATAATAGCCAAGGAGCTGATCGAGCAGGCCCACCAGAAGGTATCCAGTACAGAGTTGGTGGATCTGTTGGACTTGCTGGTGGCCAAAGATGAGGAGTTTCGGAAAATGCTAGAGCTGGCGGAAGAGCAGGCCAAAGTGGAGGAGGCCATGGACAAGTTGCGGGCCAAGGTGGAGGTGCATGTAAGTTCTCATCTTATTTTGTAGTGGTTTACAGTTTGTCATTATAACTTGTCCCACACGAATCAGGACCGTGAAATACAGAAGCTACAAAAGTCACTGAAGGATGCCGAGCTCATCCTATCCACAGCCATATTCCAGGCTCGCCAGAAGCTGGCCAGCATAAATCAGGCCAACAAGCGACCGGTTTCCTCCGAGGAGCTAATCAAGTATGCCCATCGGATTAGTTCCGCAAATGCGGTCAGTGCTCCCTTAACCTGGTGCATTGGAGACCTACGACGACCATATCCCACGGACATTGAGATGAGAAACGGTCTGCTGGGCAAATCCGAGCAGAATATCAATGGAGGACCTGCCACGCATCAAAACAGTGGGATTCCCTCCGAGCAGCAACGATCTCTGTCCGGCAGCGCTGGTAGCGGCAGTGGTAGTGGGGCGGGCGGCGAAGTGCCGAATGCCTTCCAAAATCAATTCAACTGGAATCTTGGTGAACTACACATGACCATGGGCGCATCGGGGAACACTGTGGCCCTGGAAACTCGGGCCCAGGACGATGTGGAGGTCATGTCCACCGACAGCTCCAGCTCTAGTTCCAGCGACTCGCAGTAGAATATAATCTATTATAAGCTAGACAATAATTAAAAGCATAATTCGTACAAAAAAAGGTTGAAACATTGAATTTTTTCTATAATTTAAAATTTGTGCAGAAACTTCAAGAGAGCGAGCGAGAGGTAAACAGTTTTTAGTATTTTTTCACATTGTAATCGATAGATTAATCGAAATTGCAATGATTGTTTTGGCTGAAAAAGTTCAAGGTCTGGTCACACTGCCGCGCCAGCCAAACAACGGCGAACAAAAACAAAAACACCGCTCTGATGCCTTAGCGCTTGCGTTTTTCCTTTTTGTTGTTGTTGTTGTTGTTATTTGCCAGCCACGCGAGACGAGAGAGGAGAAGCCCCCGATGCTGCGCCTACTCGTGTCCAACTGCGGTCGCAGCAGCGACCTGTTCAGGTGAGGATGATGCTAACCACGCACCTGACCCTGGCCCGCGCCTCGCCTTCGCCTCTCTCTCTCCCGGTTATGTCATCATTCCAACGGCTCTCTCTCTCCCTCAGTCGCCACCTGCTCCAGCCCACGCAGCAGCCACTGCCACGCCTCCAGAATGCCGCCCGCCTGATGAGACAGCACCTCCGAGGTACGAATGCCAAGGCAGGAGCAACGTCCACAACGCCCGCTGGTATTCCTGCCACTCGCCTGCTGCACACCACACGCCTCCTTCTGTGGGGCGGCGGTAGTCTCACCCTGGGACTGGGCGCCCGCTCCTGGTGGGCAGGACGAGGGCACATTGTTCACTGCGAAGGCAGCCGGTTGGCAGTAAGAAAAGAACCGCTGGAGGAGGATCAGGACAAGGAGAAGTTTGACTGGCTGCGATTATGGTCGTATCTGGAGCCACATCTCTGGGAGCTGATCGGTGCCGTATGCGTGAGTAGTTTGCCTTACAAAGCCAAGAGCTATTCCAATCACTGGTTTACTTACTCCTCCTCCTCCTCCTCCTCCCTCAGGCCGCCCTGATAGTGGCCTATATCAATATACGCATACCAAACCTGCTCGGCGACCTGGTCAACACGCTGGCCCGTTATGCCAACACCTATGTGACGGATCCCATCAACAACTCCTTTGTGAAGGATGTTAGCAAGCCGGCCAGCAACCTGTTGAGCCTGTATATGCTCCAGTCGGGCTTCACCTTCATGTACATTTACCTGCTGAGCCGCGTCGGTGAGCAGATGGCGGCCAAGATGCGGCAGGATCTGTTTAAGCAGATTGTTGTCCAGGACATTGCCTTCTTTGATGACAATCGTACGGGTGAGCTGGTCAATCGTTTGACCGCCGATGTCCAAGACTTTAAGACCTCGTTCAAGCAGTTTGTGGCCCAGGGTTTGAGGAGTGCCGCCCAGCTTATTGGCGGCAGTATATCCCTCTTTATGATATCGCCACACATGGCGGCCATAGCCCTGGCCAGTGTTCCCTGTGTGGTCATGTTTATGTCCTATCTGGGCAGGAAACTGCGTTCACTGAGCAAAAGCTCACAGGCCCAGGCGGAAAGGGCCACGGGTGTGTGCGAGGAGGCGCTGGCCAACATACGAACAGTGCGTTCCAGTGCCTGCGAATACCGCGAGATGCAGCTGTTCGAGACGGAGACCAACGAGGCAGCTAAACTAGCCCAGGAACTGGGCTATGGGATTGCCATCTTCCAGGGACTCACAAACTTCTTCCTCAATACTTTGGTGCTGTCCACCCTGTTTATGGGCGGCCATCTAATGTCCACGGAGAGTTTGTCGCCGGGTGCTTTAATGGCCTTCCTGGTGGCCTCGCAGGGTGTGCAACGATCCCTGGCCCAGGGTTCTATACTCCTCGGAACCATGATCAGGGGCATGACTGCTGGGAGTCGGGTCTTTGAGTTCCTTTCGCTGCAGCCGCAGGTGGAGCTGCTGCGGGGTTATGTGATACCGCAGGAGCGGCTACATGGCGAGATTCGTTTCGAGAATGTCTCCTTTGCCTATCCCATGCGACCGGATCATGTGAGTGGCAAGAGGAATCTCTCTGCCTTTAAAGAAATCTCTTATCTTTTGTGTTTCATTTCAGGTGGTGCTCAAGGACTTTAGCCTCACGCTCCGCCCGGGCCAGACAGTGGCCCTGGTGGGAGCCAGTGGCTCAGGAAAATCCACAATAGCCTCGCTGGTGGAACGTTTCTATGAACCCACTGCGGGCAACATCAAGCTCGATGGCTACAAACTCTCGGACATTTCACCTTATTGGCTGCGTGCCAATGTTTTGGGCTTCATTGAACAGCAACCGGTGCTTTTTGGTACCTCCATTCTGGAGAATATTCGTTATGGCAAGCCGGATTCCAGCGAGGATGATGTCTTTGCTGCGTCACGCCTGTCGCAGTCCCATGACTTTGTGACCGCCTTGCCCGAGGGCTATGCCACGCATGTGGGCGAGCGTGGCACCCAGTTGAGCGGTGGTCAACGGCAACGCATTGCCATAGCCCGAGCTTTGTTAAAGAATCCGCGCATCCTGATACTGGACGAGGCGACGAGCGCCTTGGATGCCACCAGCGAGGCGGAGGTGCAGCGGGCTTTGGACACGGCGGTGCAGAATAGGACGACATTGGTGATAGCTCACCGGCTGTCGACGATACGAAATGCGGATTTGATAGTGGTCCTTGACCAGGGACGTGTGGTGGAGGTAAGAGTTTTTTGGAAATCAATTTAAAATTATTTATTTTAATTTCCATATTTTTTTGTTATTTTTTCAGACCGGCAAACATGACGAGCTGATGGTCAAGCGCGGCCTATACTTTGAGCTAGTGCGCCAGCAGGAAAGGCGTGAAATCCTGGAGCAGGTAGATGCCGTGGAGGAGGCGGTGGCCGTCAAGGAGCAGCAGCAGTCTGCGCCCGGTGAAGCGCCGGCGACAGTGGGGGGCAGCAGCAGTTCCAGCGGCAGGACAAACACCGCCCAAGGCTAAGCGATTTTAGGCAAATTGTTGATGATGATGATGATAATTCCCTCTAAATTTAGTTGAGATTGTTTTTGTTTTCACCTCTTTTTTTATTTTTTTCAAATGACAAAAAAAAAAATGGTAAGGATAAGTTTACAATAAAATAGACGCTGAAGACAGTATTGTTTTTGTTATAAAACCAGTATTTCATTGTCATAATCAAACAAACATTTAAAATTATTTAAAAAAAAAAACTCAAATTAAAAAACTTTAATTTTTTAAATGAAAATAAAATTAATTTCAAATTTAAAAGCGCCCTCTAGCGTCTTAATTTCGATAACACCAAGAAAAAATACCAACCCGTGAGGTGACTATCGATTGACTGCATGACCAAGTAACAGGTTGGGGGCCCCAGTAACGCTCATCTCTAGTGCCCCAACGCTAGTTTCATTTTTGTTTTTTTTAAACAAATGAATTTTTTGTTTATTGTTTGAGTTCGGTTTCGGCCCTTGCCAGTTTTGCTGTGCGCGTATTTAATTATTTTCGGCAAATCGCATGGCGTAAATTGTGTGGCGGCGGGAATCGTTTTTATTTTCCCAGAAAACCCAACAAATGTACAATGTGCGTTAAGTCAACAGCAAATACAAACGAGCAATTATGTAAGTGTGTGTGTGTATGCGCGCTGTATTTGCTTTATTTTTTTTATTGTACAACAGACCAGTTGTTGCTATTGTTGTTGCTGTTGGAGCTGCTTTGGGGCATTGCTAATGTCGTTGTTGTTCCCGTTCCCCCACTCACATTTTCGGGCAGTGTGTTTTTGCTGTGTTTGTATGAGTAAGCGTGAGCACCTGTACGAGTACTCGTGTGTGTGTGTGTAAGCGCTGAGCGGCCGCACAGTGGGTACATTTGGGAGTTTTTCTCTCATAAACTAAACAAATGAAATGTGCTTGAATTTGGGCTGCTTTTGCGCATTAATTGGATTAATTAACATAAATTGTTGTTAGTTACAGTTGATTAAACGCAGTAACTATAAAAGCGATTAGTCAATTAACATAAGGTTGGCTTGTTAATGCTTTAAAAAACTATTAAATTAAAAAAAAAAAAATAATAATTAAAGCCTTAGAAACAATAGCTACACCAATTAAATGTTTATAGAATTGATGAATTCTTTCCCACCTGCCCATTGTGCTTAGGCCGGTAGTGTGAGTGTGTGTTTTGATGGCGCATTCGTCATTGCCCTGGCGTTTACGGGGGCAGGAGCGGGGGAAGGTAAGCACAACAACTACAGTTAGCGCTGCAGCGCCCATGGCTGCTCCATGCCCTCCCCTTTTTAATACCCTTGCAGGGTATTACAATTTCAATCAGAAACTTCTAAAACAGTGAAGAAGTCATTTTCGACCCCATAAATCATATATATATTCTTGATCAGCATCAACACCTGAGTCGATCTAGGCATATCTGCAAGAAAAATAAAATGGCCAATTTTTTAAAAATGTTATAAGGGGTAACATCGTTAAAAGTGCCGAAATTTGAAAAAAATTTTAATTTTTAAAAATTTTAAATAAAGTACATAGATTTATAAACCTTAGAAAAACTAGCTCAGAACAGTTTATCGAATTGAAATTAATGCATTTTTTGCCGAGTTATGATATTTTTACATTTTAACCAAGATCTAAGATTCTAAGACCTAAGATTCTAAGATTTAACCAAGATCTAAGAAGATTCAGGCTCTACGGAAATTTTGTCTTAATTACTTAGAAACCATTTGTATCTGATAGTTTACTATTTATTTATATAATTTATATTTACAAAATACATTTGTTCATTAGTTTATATTTAATTATTGCAATCATCGATTGGCAAGTTAAGACGCATTCCAGCGAAGGTAAAGCTGACTCAGGATCGTAATCTATATCGTGGCGATATGGTGTGTCCAATCAACTTCCGACTTACGTATTTTATATACATACATGAGTTAGGTTATATAAATACTTAAATTTTATTGTTTTTCCTTTTGGCAGAGTGTTTAAAAAAAAGCTTTAAGAAAACAATAGAATACAAAAAAATAATTAAAGCGGGATAATACTATATAAATCGATAAATCTTTTGTTTAATTTACATCAGATATATCCTATAGCTGTCATTAGCTATTGAAATATGCAAATTGAAACAAGGATATTGATTGATAAATTATAGAAATCAGCTTGCTGACACTTTATTCCATCTGTAACCGACGTTTGTTATTTATGATACGAGATAAGTTACATTATGTGCTCAGTTTCTTTATATAAATATTATGAGATACTCCTGTTGCTCCACCCTTCAAGTCTATGATATATTTGCTATATTTAATGCCTACTCCGTCATTCGCTAATCCCCCTTCATTGCTCCATTTTCCACAGTTATAACTTAATCTTGGCCGATTCCACAACAAAAAAGGAAATAGAAATGGAAACAAAACATTCCATGTATCATCAGCAACGCCTTCGGCCGAATGGCGGAGGAGGGCGAGCAGGAACCAAAGCAGGACCAGGTCCTGGAGCCTCACTATGCGCCCACTGTCGTGGCCAGTTGCTGCCGCATCCCGAGGAGCCCATTGTAATGGCCCTGGGTCAGCAGTGGCACTGTGACTGCTTCCGCTGCTCCGTGTGCGAGGGTCACCTGCACAACTGGTACTTTGAGCGCGAGGGTTTGCTCTATTGTCGCGAGGATTACTATGCCCGGTTCGGCGATGCCTGCCAGCAGTGCACGGCCGTCATTACGGGTCCTGTCATGGTGGCCGGTGAGCATAAGTTTCATCCTGAGTGCTTTTGCTGTGCCGCCTGCGGATCCTTTATTGGCGAGGGTGAATCGTATGCCTTGGTTGAGCGATCCAAGCTCTACTGTGGCCAGTGCTATGGGAAGCGATCTTGCCAGCCGGCAGATGCCAAGGCAAGGATCACGACGGCCGGCAAGCCGATGCATTCCATTAGGTTGGTGGAGATACCCAAGGATGCGACTCCGGGACTGCGGGTGGATGGTGTAGCGCTGGACGATGGCTGTCCCACTGTTCGGATAACGGAGTAAGTATTAATATTAACAGTGAACTCCTCATTCTTCATTATGTTTATACCCTGAATCCCCTTGAGGTAGCTGGGAAAGCTCTCCCTTAACGTTGACCCGCTCCTCTTCAAGTCTCTGTTTCATCTACTAATCCCGCTGGTGGCTCTCCACTGGCGCCTCCTCTTTCTGCATTCCCCCCCCCTAAAAACATGCTTACTAACATAAAAAAAAAAAAACAAAAAAATGAATTTGGAAGCAGCTTGTTCTGCAAATTCTTCCTCTGGCTGACCTCGATGGCGGAGCAGTGCTGTGGTGCCTCCTATAGGTAACCTCTCCATTAAAATGATTACCTAAATACCAGATCCAAGCTCCCCCAATTAACCCCCTGACCCTACTCTATCCTCTATCCTCCCAAGGATCGATGTCAATCTAACCAACCTGCACATTGGCGACCGCATCCTGGAGGTGAATGGAACACCTGTGAGTGATTCTTCGGTGGAGCAAATCGACAAGCTGATACGCAGCAATGAAAAGATGCTACAGCTGACCGTGGAGCATGATCCGGTGCAGGTGTGCCGCTCCTGCAGCCAGGCGGATATACAGCGAGCCTGTTCCGCCTCCACCTTGATCCTGCCACTGAGCACCTCGGCCTCCAGTGTGGAAGTTGGTGGCCGCGAGCGTTTGTATAAGACACCCAATGGTGAACCCAATCAGGGCACCAAGGCGCGTAAGCTGCGACAGGCTAGCAATGCCTCGGCCACCACCATACCCGTGGCAGCGGCTGCCATGACGCAGCTAAAAGAGAAGGAACGCTGCTCCAGTCTGTCCAAGCTGCTCGACGAACAGCATCAGGCGCAACAGCAATCGGCGCATCCGCAGCTCTACGATCTGTCCAGGACGCAATCCTGTCGCGTTGTCCAGAAGCCACAGCGAATCTTTCGTGCCTCCGACTTGGTCATTGGCGAGAAGTTAGGCGAGGGCTTCTTTGGCAAGGTATTCAAGGTCACCCATCGGCAGAGTGGCGAGGTGATGGTTCTCAAGGAACTCCATCGGGCGGACGAGGAGGCCCAGAAGAATTTCATCAAAGAAGTGGCCGTCCTGCGATTGCTCGACCATCGGCATGTCCTCAAGTTCATCGGTGTGCTCTACAAGGAGAAGAAGCTGCACATGGTCACCGAATATGTGGCTGGCGGCTGCCTCAAGGAGCTAATACACGATTCCGCCCAGATTCTAACCTGGTCGCAACGGGTATGCCTGGCCAGGGACATTGCCTGCGGGATGAGCTACCTCCATTCGATGAACATTATCCATCGAGATCTCAACTCTATGAATTGTTTGGTGCGCGAGGATCGTTCGGTTATAGTGGCGGATTTTGGTCTGGCACGCAGTGTGGATGCACCGCGATTACCTGGTGGTATGCCTGCATCCTCCTCCTCCTCCAGTGGCCAGGGAACGCCGGCTGGCGGCGGCTATGGATCTGGTGCTGGCAGCGATGCGGCCATGTCACCGGGCGGCACCCTAAGGCGCAGCAAGAGCCGGCAGCGCAGGCAGCGCTACACCGTGGTGGGCAATCCCTACTGGATGGCACCCGAGATGATGAAGGGTCTCAAGTACGACGAGAAGGTGGATGTGTTCTCCTTTGGCATCATGTTGTGTGAGGTGAGTGTGTAGCGAGGAAAGAGCCTCTCCTCCTGGTTATGTTTTCAACTTTCTGGGTTCACAGATCATTGGACGCGTGGAGGCTGACCCGGACTACATGCCACGCAACTCGGACTTTAGCCTGAATCAGCAGGAGTTCCGCGAAAAGTTCTGCCACTCGTGCCCGGAGGCCTTTGTCAAAGTGGCCTTTGTCTGCTGCGACCTCAATCCGGATCTAAGACCCTCCTTTGAGACCCTGCACATGTGGCTGCAGCGGCTGGGCGAACACTTGGCCGTGGAGCGTGTGCCGCCGGAACGGCTGCTCCATGAGATTGAGAACTTCCAGGAGTGCTATGCCAGCTCCGAGGATGCCTTGTCGCCCACCTCACAGCGCAGTTTGGACAATCTGGATCAGTTGGTAAGTGAACCTCTCCAGGAAGAGGAAAAGTCTACGGAAACGGAGACGGAGAAGGAAAATCTGGTGATACGGCCGCAGGATATACCAAAATCACCGCATTTGGGGAAGGATTTCTCGCCGAGCGGCGAAAGACTGAGAGATAGCATGCGGGCGCGTCGTCGCCAGCGTTTTCTGGGTGCCCAGGAGCAAAGACGCACCCTCACACCCGAAACGGAGTCCAAGGAGCGGGCTTTGAAGCAGGCTTTGCGCAAATGCCGGCCCTTTGGGGAAAGGGGCTACCTGGTGGATCTGCGGCCAGGTGGTGAGCTGCAGCTGCAGGATGTGCGCGACTTGAATACCTATTCCGATGTGGATTCCAGCTGCGACACCAGCTTGAATTACCTGGAGGTCAACAGTCAGCCGGCAGTAGCTCAACAGGAGGAGGAGGTGGTGGAGGAGAAGGTGGAGGAGCAGCAGAAGCCTTCACACAAACTGGAAATGGTGGACACGACTCCTTCCCCCCACCGCCTGGCCATCGAGGATATGCGCAACCGTTTGCATCAATGCCGCAGCATGTTCGAGCAACTGGAGGAGGAGAGCAGACGGAACCTCAGTCAGACGCAACACACCATGCGCAACTTCTTCAAGACACCGCCGGTGGCCTTGAAGATGTTCCAGCGCCTAGAGCATGAGGCCGCCGCCCTGAATGGTGGCCACAATTGTCCGCCGCCTCCACCGCCACGCACCCAGCGCATCAATCAAACGCCGATCTTTGGCCGTCGCAATCCGCCAGCGGTAGAAGCTATGGATAAGCAAAAGCTCCAGCAGGCCGAGTCCCTAGAGCATTTGGCTACCAAGCCAGCACCGGCGCCCAAAAGAAGCAAGGCAGGCACAACAACAACAACAACGACAACAAAAACCGTGTCGGTAAGCAATCCAAGCAGTAGCCAACCTCAGGCACTCTTCCTGCCGCCCAACGCTCCAGACTGGCTGCCCAAAAAGCACAGGCTCACTTTGCCCATACCCCCGCCCACGCATACCCCGACAACGCCACAGCGAATCGGCAGTAGCAATCACCGCCTGCCGCCGGCCAGCAACAGCAAGGGGAAGCCACTGAAGCCAACCTCCAGTCGGACAACCGCCAACAGCAATAGCAACACCTCCTCGCCCACCAGGAGCAGCAGCAGGCCGGGATCGCCCAGCAAGCATCTGGCGCAGAGGCATACCGCCGCCACGGCCCAGCGACTGACCAATGGTAAGAAGAGCTTTATTTTTGGGTTAATTTCTAGTCTAAACTTTGCTTCTATCCAGTGACTGCAACTCAACAGCAACAGCAGCAGCAATCCTCGAGAACAACACGCCTGAACATTCTCAGTCCGGAGAAAGTGCATCGCCTGGGCGCTCGACTCACGGATCAGAAGCAAAAGCTTCGGGAAGAGGCAGCCAACGGCAGCGGCAGTGCCTCCCAGGGAGCCAGTAATGGTGTCCATCGGTCTAGTGCAACTGGAGGAGCAGCAACAAATCCGGCGACGGGTGAGAGGAGACGAAGAGCAGCACCACCGCCGCCTGTGCGTACGCATTTCAATACGCGTTGCTAGCTAGCGGAAATACTGGGGCAGCTCGGGAAGCTGTTCCTCCACTCAGGGAGCTCATGTAAAAAGGCTGTGGTAAGTCTTAAGGCATAATATATACATATATACTTAGCAGGAGAGCTGGAAATACTTTGATTTTTTATGAATATATATTTTATTTTTTAAACTACATCGATTATAATCGATTTATATCGAAAATTGATATAACTTAAATTATAATTATTATAAATATGGATCGTAGATTTTTCGTTTTGTTTTATATAAATTTTATATATTGATATTTGTATTAAAATAATTTGAATAAATAGATTTTCGATTACATATATATATAATTTTTTTTAAATTTACAAGTAAATCGATTTTTTAATCGAAAACGAAAATTATTTAAATTATTTAGATCATAGATTTTTCATGTTATTGTGTTTTTGTTTGTTATTTATTTTATTGTTATTTTTTTTCTATTATTATTTTATTATTATTTATTGTTTCTTTTATTTATCGATATTTGTATTTTAATCATTTAAATATATCGATTTTTATATATTTTTGTTAAAATACATATAAATCAATTAAAATCTTAATCGAAAATCATTTAAATTAGATGGATTTACATCATAGATTTTTAATATTATTATTATAGGAATTTTATCTATCGATATTTCTTATTTAAATAAAATTTGCTTGTGTTCTTTACCATTTAACTTTTCCCACAGGAAGCCGGACAATTCAAAACAGTTGCACTGTTAAAAAGCGCACATGCAGCACGCCCTTTTCCCCCCTAAACAAACTGAAAACATTCCAACAAAACAAATCAAGAAACCCACTACGAAAAAAGAACAAACGAATAGCGAAAGAAAAGCGAATAATCGACACTTGGATTACCGATCAATTACAAAAATAAAAGCTACAAGATTCCATTAAGCAATTACGAATAACGAAATCGACGACAGTTTTAAAAAAAACTGTCAAAAAAAGAAAAAAGAGAGAGGCAGCTAAATATAACAGAAATGCTCAATAAGCCCAACGAAAACTGTTATACCCAGCTCTCTATAAAGTGTTTATTTTTTTTCAAATATTTTTTTTTTAGGCTTAAGCTGATGATTACCGTTATAGCGAAGGTTAAGTGCCTGTTAAGCAAGTAAAATTCAACAAGTTGCAATATTTACATAACAAATTGTATAGAAACCAAGCGAATAATTATAGTATTTAAGATTACAGGGTATTATATAACAGCGACTACTACTGTTCCGACTAACTTATCTGCTAACCTAACGAGAACTCAACTAAACTGCTAAGCAATTACTTTTTAAAGCCACTATAAGGCCCGGTTTATGTATTACCTAAATAATTGATTAGGCGGGTAATATAACAGACAGGACCTCAATGAAAAGGAAGAGAAAGATATAGAGAGAGAGAGAGAAAGAGAGGAGAAATGAAAATTGTGCCATGAAGCTGAGCGAAAGAAGAATCTGAGGAAAGGAAAGGGGATAACCCACCCACAAAAACAAAAACAAAAGACAAACGACAAAGGAACGAAAAGAACTTGTATTAGGTAAATTGTGGTTTACATATTTTTTTATATACATATATATATAATATATATTCCATAATTATATAGATTAACGATAAACGTATTCCATGTTAGTGCTTAAATCTAATTTATTATTTATCGTTTCACCCCATTTCATGAACAATAATTAACCATGCTAAGGGTACACATTTTTTGTATTGACGAGAAAAAGTCTAACTTGTAAAGTAAAAAAAAAACAAAATGCAATAAAAATATAAAGTTATATAAATAATTATACGAAAATGTATTGCTCAAAGGCGATTTAAGTTTTAAGACAGACACACACACAATGCTAACTGTTATACAAAACACGCACACGCTCAAGCCTAATAACTGTTATACTGTTGAAACTGTACTTTATATATGTATATGTATCCACTATACAGGATCGAATTGAAACGCTTTGCCATTAACAGCTTCTGTATAACACTTGAGCCTTGCCACTGTTATGCGCGCTGTTCCACTTAGGCCAGTATAACAGTGACTCCGCCCAACTGTTTTTAGCATTTAATAATCTATTATACACAATATACAAACAACAAATATGTGCGATATTTTTATATGCTGTTAATAATGAAAAATGTAATGTGTTGTATTTCGACTACCCAGCTTCCCATTTTTTGTTTTTATCTAAAAAACCCTCCGTGAGAAAATAATAAATAAATTTAAAAAAAAAAAAAAACTGAATGAAAAGAAAGCGGTTTGTGTAATTATTGGAATAAGTTTATAACAGTTTAGGGTGAGTATTTTTTCGGTGATTTAATAAAATTATTCTCCTTAAATTTTGAACACTAATTTTTAAATGTTAATTACAGTTTGGAAATGTGTTTTTAATTTGAAATTTTATTTTTTCCCGCCTCCCAACTGGTACGCAGTGTGACCAGCGGCTGTGGAGGGAAAAAGCCCCTCATTAGGTCATTATAAGCGGTAAATCTGGCGACCACACCAATGTGACCGTTTGCTGTGTTTAAAATACTTGGTGAGGTTTTGCGCGTCGCTTTTCAACAAGATTTCACCCGTCAATTGAATTGAATTAAATTAGAAAACAAATGGAGACACCGCGCCGAAAGCTGCGCGACCTGCACCTGAAGAATGTACAGAACAGCAGCACCTCCATTTGCATACCGCCGTCACCGATGCTGAAGACGCTGCTGGGCCATGGCACCGGCGTCAGCGTTTATCGTTTGGACCGTTCGCCGCGCCAAGGACAGATCCGCTCGCCGTGGGCGGTTAAGCGGATCACCCAGAATCCCCGGATCAGGAAGGATCCTCTGTTCAACAAGCGGATTGTCTACGAGGCCGAGATCCTGCGGTAAGTCCATGTCAGTTGGCGCTGCGGCTGGCCTATATATTCCAGTCGACGCACAGGAAAGCGCCTGTTGGTGTGCGTGTGCCGCCTCCTGTACGTGGGTGTTTGCGTGTTTGTGCTTGTGTGTGTGTTTGTGTGCGTGTTTGTGCTTGTGTGTGTGTCGCAATGCGTTGTTCCTGGTGGCTTGATGCTGCGTGTGCCATAGGGTGATTCGGTTTGTGGGTCAATATCAAATCATAGGGTGTCTTCCCAAAAGAATGGAATTAAAAATAATAAATATTAATAATTAAAAATTAAAAAAATTAATAAATATTAAAAAATATGAATCACCCTAGTGTGCATGCGTAGCGGGTGCTTAAGTTCCTCCTGCGACAGACACAGACTGCATCCAAGGATGGGCAAGGAGCACATTGACCCCCTGAAGTTTTCTTCAAAATGATCCCCCAAAATTTAGCCTCAACTCCACCCTCCCAACCTTTACCCTAGAAATTCCATTTAACAACGCAAATTGTAATTTCAGAAAGCTGCAGCATCCAAATATCGTTGGATTCCGTGGCGTGGTCTCCACCGCCGAGGGCGTGGACACATTAGCTCTGGAACTATGCACCACATCGCTGGGCTCCATTCTCGAGGAGCGTCACGATGAGGATCTGGGGCCGCTGCCGCCAAAGAACACACTGAAAATAATCATGGACATAGCCATGGCCTTGGATTTCCTGCACAATGAGGCCCGCCTGTTGCACGGTGACCTCAAGTCCTTCAATGTTCTGGTCAAGGGAGAATTTGAGATATGCAAGCTCTGCGATTTCGGTGTATCTCTGCCGCTAGACGAGAACGGCGAGGTGAATATGGACAAGAATCCCGAGCTTAACTATGTGGGTAAGTATTTTCCTGAAGGGGGAAACCTGTGGCGAAAGAGGGAAATTGTGTTCATGGAGAAACCTATTTAAGGAACTAGGCTTTGGTCTGCACCGGAGGTCATTGACGAGGTGGGTATAATTGACAGCAAAGCGGATATCTTCAGCTTTGGCCTGGTTATATACGAAACCCTGGCATTGGTGCCGCCACATACCCTAGAACTGGATGCAGCGCTGGGCGAGGAGCTGGAGAATTCCCACAACTTGACCGATGATCACGACAAGCTGCAGGGCAAGCAGCTTAATTATTCCGACACCGAGATGCCAGAGGAGCAATCAGAAGAAGATGCTGATGACGAGTCTGATGTCTCTGACTTTTCACTGAACAATCTACAATCTGCTTATGGCACGCGACCGCCTCTACCCGTGGCCTTCCAGCTCAGCGACGACTATAATTGCATCGTGGAGCTGTTCTATCTGTGCACAAATGCTCTCAGCGAGGATCGACCCGCGGCCAAGACCATTTGGCAGTGCCTCGAGAATAATACGGCAAATGTCTCCACTGCTGACTGAGTGATTTGTATGTAAGTCGTCGTGATTTTAAACACAACAGAAGCTTCCTCAAAATATTTACATTTCCTTTTTTTTTTAATGCCAAATTAGGCACTTTATAAGTTAAATTTAAATGTACATAACGAAAGTCAAAGGAGAGTGGCAAGAAATTAAGAAATATCTCTGGCTGAAAGGGAAGTAAAAAGTAGAGCAAACAAGATTTATCATGTCATGTGGCATTGTTTATCCAGTTAAATCTTGTAATTTGAATTCCGTTTAAATAAACTACGAAATGAGCTTTGACCTTGATTAAACTAAGTATGAAAACTAAGCCCAAGGCTTGTGGTTTTTTCGGGCTTTATTTGGGTTTTTTGGAAAAATTAATCAATTTAATTTTAATTTATTTAAAAGATTTAACAGCTTTAAAAGGGTAACCTTGTAGAGCTGGGAAATATTATAAATAAATTAAATTTAATTTAAAAAAAAACAACTCGATTACAAAGTTCTCTTGATTAAAAAAAAAAAATATATATTATCTGGAAATTTAATCAAGTTTATTTTAATTGTTTTTATAATATTAAACAGCTTTTCACGTTGGGAAATATTATAAATAAATAAAATTAAATTAAAAAAAATACAAAACTCGATTAGAAAGTTCTCTTGATTTATTAAAAAATAATAATCTTAAAACTTAATCTATTTAATTTAAATTTTAATTTATTTATATTACTTACCAGCTTTATAGGGTTTACCTTGAAGCGTTTTGGAAAATATTATAAATAAATTAAATGAATAAAAAACACACCCACAACTCTTTTTACAGGGCTCACTTATGATTTATTAAAAAATAATAATACATACATCAAAATATATAAGTTTTTTTTTCGCTTGTTGCTTACTTTTCGTATATATGGATATAGGGGGTAGTTTTGGGATACACAAGGTTCGCTCTTGTTCTTGAGGGAAATGAGGGTGTTTTGGGTTACGTTACGCATCTTAGTTTTCAGATTCGCTTGCTATCTAGTACTTGTAGGTGAGTGCCTTAGCAGTGTCTTTGCTCGATTTGTTTTGATTTTGTTGACTAAAGCGTACACAGACTTTACAATTAGATCTACGTAGATACGTGTGTTTTTTATATAGATTTTGTATAATATTCTCTTGTATATATATGTATATTATAAAAAAGTTTCGAAATTGCTCTCTTGAAGGCGAAGGCGCTGTTGGTGTTTTTCGTTTTTTTGTTATTTGTTAACTTTGTCTCCACAGTTTTGTGTCTTTTTTTTACAATTTTTACAACAAACAAAATTGAACGAGTATTGGGACAATATTATATAGTATACTTTTACTTTCAATTTATTTTATAAGGTTTTTGTTTATAAAATAATTTGAAAAGAAAAAATACAAATAAAAAAAGGACGACAAGTAAACAAAAATAAAACAAAAAAATATAAAGTATATATATTAAGTTAAAATAATAAACAAAATGAAGCTGGGATAAAAAGTACACCGAGTTTAATAAATTGTCTCACACATTTAAAAAAATATATATAGATTCTGCTACATCGAATGGAATGTTTTTTTTTTTTTTGGGTTGGTATAAATTAGTCGTGCTTTTGTGTATAATGATCTTTGTTGTTTAAATTAATAATTAAGTAAATTTCTCTCCCTCTCTCTCTCTATCTCTTTCACTCTGGCTGCCTTCTGCATTTGATGCTCCGTCTCACTCTAATAATAACAAGACGTAAATCTTACAAATTTAAATACACACACACACACACAAAAATATATAAATATATCTTTCGGGGACAACTGACTGGAACTGCATTCAAAAAAACGTGCAAATGAATAATTGTGTGGAATGTTTATGAGGGGGAAACTCTGCACAAATAATAATGGGATCGCCGCCTTTAAGGGATATGATTAACAAGGATATTCTCCTTACAGATACTCCTCACCAAAAGCCGGCGTTGAGCAGCGGATTCAAGCGATTCCTAGCTGGCATAACTTTACAAGATTGACTCGACTTTCCAATCTAATGACCACAAAAATGATGCTTATGATGATGGCTAGGCTAATCCTACAAATGCAGCACTCCATCCTTGACATCGCTGGCCATTATCGTTGACGCATTGGAGGCTGCCTGCTGGTGATGCGACGAGGGTGATGAGGATAATGGCTGCAATGATGCCGCTTGATTGTGATTGTGATTGCCAGTGGCTGTGGGACTCTCGTCAAGTGTCACCCCCGTAAGATCAACGATATCATCCTGATCGTCATGCTCAATCTCATCGGAGGTGTTTGTATTATTAGTGTGATGCGATCCACTCGACAACTGGCTGTTCCGCGAAAAGGAGCCGCGATGTGTCGAGGTCAGCGTTCGCTGATTTGCCGGCTTTACGGTAATGATTAGATTGGAACTATTGGCCACCATCATATCGGTGACCTGGTCAAGCGTCTTACCAGCCACCTCGATGCCATTCACCTCGATTACCTCATCGTTGACGGCCAGCAAACCGGTGCTTTCGGCCAAACCGCCCGGCACTAAACGGGATATAAAAATGCCCGGCTGCTTCTCCAAACCGCTGGCCGTTACCCTTACGGATGTGCCATCCCTAATGTAGAATCCCAGCGGCTTGTCGCTGCCATGCTTAAGCAAACGCACTCTCCGATGCGTTTCTGGTACTATATCCACATCAATAATGGCCGACACCTGACGAAAGTCATGGGGTATCGATATCGATGGGGCCTTGGTCTTTACGGGCGTGTGTCCCATTAGAATGCTGCCTATAAGATTACGCGGCTTCATCGTTCCAAAGCCAGAATACTCGTTCAGGTCATCTGTGGGTTAGGAGAGAAAGATATAAGAACCTGTCAAAGGAGGAAGGTTTTTGTACACACCTTTCCGCTGGACTATTACCCTTAGCAGGGGACGTGCCGTCTTCAGAGCCCGGAGAAAGTTATCATCGTTGTTGATGGGCAGCAGATCATTGTCCCGCGGATCGATATACAGAATGAGAAACTGTATGTTGGCCAGCTTGTGGAGCTGTTCAATGAGGCCAGCAAACTTGTCGAAGCTCTGCTCCGTCTCATTCCGCTTGAAACTCCAGCGCCTGAACTCGGCATCGAACTAGGAGAAGATGATCAAGATGTAATAACTAGACTTTTTGGGGTGGGTTTTCTATCTCTCCTCCCTCCCTTCCCACGGAATAATCAATCAAACTCCACAGGTAGTTGTCGTTTTGAGCTGCGCCAAGGTTTGATATATCAATATCGTGGCCTCCAGTTTCACACACATCCCAGAAGCAATTGAAATCCAATTTCTATGCGCATGAATCAGCAGCTCAGGCGGCGGCATCGGGGCGTGGATGGCGGAGGGGGCGGCGCGTGGGATTCTCTGGCGGTGTAGGGACACGGACGCGAAGCCGGGACTCACCTTCGATTTCACCTCGATTAGAATCGTCTCCCCAGTGGCCGCCGTGGCAGTGGTTGTGTTTATCTTGTTCTTTGACATTTTTCCTTGCACCGTTCCACGCAATTTTCACACACAACACCCAAAGTTGCCAAGTTCAGTTTCTCTGCTTGTGAAAAACCGAGCTGATCTTTCTGGATCCGGACGATGGAAACCGAAACGAACCGATGGGCGATGGGGGCACCGAAATTAAAAGGCTGCGAGGCCAATAAATTAGAGTTAGAAGTCTAAATTAAAAACTAATTAAATAAAAGAAATGGATGGAGGTGGATGGTATTAAATCTCGTTCGGGCGAGTGTTTGGTATTATTTATCGGCACGGTATAAATATACTTTTATCGATATGTCAAGCTGTAGTGCTAGTGCTGAATAATTCCAAATTATTATTGAAACAATTAATGCCAGGCTAATTATTAGTTAAATAAGCCGGATTTAATTAACTTGACTTTATATAAACTGCAAAACAAGCCCCACCGAAGCTAATGGCTGTCTATCGATATATCGATAGAGTCTGAGCAGCCCTGAACGGCGCATTAGTGTAGAGACACTTTGTTTGCTTTGGCCATGTGGACCTAGCAATGCGCTACAGTTGAAAAAATGTCTTATATTAAGCTGTAACTGCCAACTTTACAAATAATTAATTACTGCATATCTACCACTATATTATTTACTAATTTTTAAAGTTAAAAATTTCTTTTAAATCAAGTTTAAAAGTGTTTAATAATCCAGTTGAAGCAAACGACCCGAGCTATTCGCATACTCCCCACAGGTAGGGCATCGCTCAAGACGAGGGTTTCTGTAAATGGGAAACTGTTTTTGTGTGTTGTTGTTGAGCGTGAAGTGTGCAAATGAATTGGGAATTTGTTTAAAAAACCCTCACAACAACAACGGGTTCGATTTCAAAACAATAACAAATCTAAAACCTAATTGCCAGTTGATTGAAATCAAAACACGACCAATTCGAGGGTGCTCGACGAGTCCACCAACGCGGAGCGTGGGAAAACAGCCGAGGAAAACACAAACAACGGAAGGTGGGACTAGGAAAAGCCCAGTGTGATCACGACGCAGCTGAAAGAAACAAGAGGCAGGCGTCCTCTCCAGCGTCCGTAAGGCGGGCGGTGAAATTGCGACGTTCGAAGCACTCGGTAGCTCAGCTGCAGGAATAAGCTGACGCGAAACCTTGAGACACACACACATACACGTACAAGCACGCACTGACGCACACACACACACACACGGGCGCAAGAGCAGCAGCAGCAGCAGCAGGAAGTGGAATTGGAACTGAAACTGCAGGCACCATGAGTTCGGTAAAGTAAACAAAATATTAAACAAGGGCAGCAAAAGCAGATTCCCCATTTACATATACCCAAAGCCTGGAAGCTATGCAATAAGCTAGCGATTCCCTAATTATCCCAATGAGGTCTACTTTAACTTAAAAACAGGAAAAACTATTTTAGGTTATGGGCAGATACTTCTAGGACCTTTCTTTCGAGCTCTATTCTTAACAGTTTCTCTAAAAATAAAACAATTATGTTTACTCTTTATTATTCATTAAGTGTTTCCCCCTCTTAAAGAAACCAAAACTAATCCATTTTATTGATTCATATTTACAGCAATACTCGAATGTGGAAAACCTGTCACCGCAGACGATACGTCAGGTGATGCGGGAACTGCAGGAGATGGAGACCACGCCGCCAGAGGGCATCAAGGTGCTGATCAACGAGAGTGATGTGACAGATGTCCAGGCTCTAATCGATGGTCCAGCCGGCACTCCATATGCCGCCGGCATCTTTAGGGTCAAGCTGACGTTGAACAAAGATTTCCCACAGACGCCGCCAAAGGCGTATTTCCTTACCAAGATCTTTCATCCGAATGTGGCCGCCAATGGTGAGATTTGTGTGAACACACTGAAGAAGGATTGGAAGCCGGATTTGGGCATTAAGCACATACTGCTCACCATCAAATGCCTGCTGATTGTACCGAATCCGGAGTCGGCGCTAAATGAGGAGGCTGGCAAAATGTTGTTGGAGCGTTATGATGACTACTCGCAGCGAGCGCGCATGATGACGGAGATTCACGCCCAGGTAGAATCTGCAAAATATCTTTAAAAAAAACTATGTGTATTTTGAATTATTTTCTTTAACTCTAGCCGGCCAAGTGCGGTGCGGGCGCTGCTGGCGATGCCAAAGACGATGATGGACCCTCGACAAAGAAGCATGCGGGCCTGGACAAAAAACTGCAGGACAAGAAGAAGGAGAAGCTGCTCAAGGAGAAGAAGCGCATGCTGAAGAGATTATGAGAGGCATAAGGCCGAGTTCCATGGACTAGCTAATCAACCAGGAGCAGAAGCAGAAGCCGGAGAGGCAGCAGAAGCAGTAGAACGACGCGAACGGAAACGGAAACCAAGGGGAGGTGGAGAAAGATTAAGATAAACGATAGGACAAAAGATGGATGGCGTGGATCGGGAGCTATGCTGGAGCAGGCGCGCTATGAAATTTTACACTGATCTGAACAAAAGAAAGGAGAAGACGAAAATTAGGAAACAAAAAAACACAAAAAACGAGAGCAAGAAAGCTAAGGCGTTATTCCGGTAGAGATCGTTTGAGGAGATCGGCAAGGAAGAACCACTCCAAAGAAATGTGCATCCAGTTACCATATACATATATACGATTATTTAAACCACACACACACTTTGGTGACAGAATAGCAACTGTCGGCCGAAGGAACTAGCATGTAGAAACAGGAAACAATACAAACCAGAAGCAACCAAGAGAAATGGGGGAAACGCAAACCATCTTCTAAGTAATTTATGTAGTTCTCTTTTCTTCTAACACACACACACACACACACACATGAGCTATATCCTAGCATAATTTATGTAATTAGATTATAGAAAACAAGGAGAACATTATCGCCTCATATATGCCACCATCACCTCTCCAAATTCTCTCTAAAAAAGCATCACCAACTTACCTTAATGATCCTTTTGTTTTAATTCTGTGTCCTTTATTTTAAAGTTGTAACCTTTTAGTTTTAAAAGTAAATATATCCTTGATTTGTCCTGCATAGGTTTTAAGCTAGAAACAAACCAACCAACAACACACACACACATCCAACACACAACCACAAAAATACAGCAAATTATGAATGAAAACGAAAAACAAAAAAAAAAAAACTAAATGCGATCGCTGGCACATTCTGTAGGGATTTTAGGCTAAGTACTTATAGCTGTAAAAACACTTGATGCGGAATGAAGCGAAGCGGAGGGCAATGAAACGGAATGGCACGGTGATAAGTGCTTTGAAAATATCCTTATCCTTTCGTCCGCCATCTCCTTTGCACTGATAAGGAGGCCTGCTGCTCTCTATCCCCTTCTCTCCCTCTCTCTCTCTCTCTGTCTCTGTCTCTCATTCTCTTTGTCACTTCTTTCGTTCGAACATTCTTTAACACACACACACACACACACATAAGTCGAGGGCGGAGAGTAAAAAGCAATAAAAAAGAATAAAATTCCAGAAAATTAAAAAAAAAAAACAAGAATTTACTTGGATTTTGAAAGGGTTTTTGAAGCTTTTTATGTTTTTTTTTTAAATTAAAAATTAAATTAAAAATTTTAATTATTTATAGAGTAAAAGGTCTTCAATCAGGTACAGTAATTTCTTTCATAATAATTGAAAAAGTTTATTTTATTTATTTATTTAAATAATTCAATTTATTATTTTATTTATTTATTTTATTAATTCAATTTATTATTTGATTTATTTATTTAATTTATTTTATTTATCATTTATTTATTTTATTTATTCAATGATTTATGTACCTAGGTGAGTACAGGCCATTATCAAAACAGCTCGTTTGCCCGAGGAAAATGTAGATTTTCTTATCAGCAAGCTATAGAAAAATTCTGATAATGTAAAAGCAAAACGGGGAATCCCATTATTTACAGCTTGAACGAGGAGCAACTGATTAATCAGCTTAAGTACAGCTTATACTTCATTTGATTTTATTTTATTTTTATTTTACTACAATATTAATATTATTTATTAATATTTATACATTAAGATTGGTTTTTAATCTAGCAATTTGTATCGGAAGAAGTCTTTTTATTCAGATCGTTATTTTAATATATTTCGCTGAGTTTGTTGCCATTACAACTGATCCCTTGGGTTATCGCTACTGTCGCCGCATGATTATGCAGAGGAGACCCTGCTCTGTAATCGTAGTGATCCGATTTCTGCAGAATCAGCAGTATGGGCGCCTATATAAGGGGCCTCCCCGTTGAGAATATATTCAGTTGAAAAGTAAAATCCGTCGTGATGCTGCCGTTACTTGCCCTATTACTGGGACTCTCCGTTCTTAGTGGACTGCCGCAGGAAATTAAAGGAAGTTGTTCGATTTCAACCTTCAGTCCTGCGCCCTTGGTTATAACCACTTTCGGTTCAAAAAGTTTCGTCAACGCCAAAGCCAGTGTATACGAACGAGAAGATGGCGATGATATTGAACTGCATTGCGGGGGCGGATTCTCTTACTATGACAGGTTTGTTTATTTATTGATTATGCTTTTCTACTGTACAATTATATAACCTTGTCAACCTTGTTACAACTTTAAAGAGAACTGTGTTAAATGAAAATAAAATATTTTATGTGATTTTTTAGATATTATGGCAAAACCAGAACAACTTCTAAAACAAAAGTAACTTTGCGTTGCTATTCAAGTGATCATTTTTATAATGTTGATGAATCCCAGAATCAGCATGTACAAAATATCCACTGTCTGAATAGAGTTAATCAAATGTTTGAGAGTCGAATCAAGTTGCCGAATTGCGAAAAGGATATGACACTTGTTTTGGGCTACGATTTCGGTGAAATCGGATTCCTGAAAAACGCCGCCCTATGCTATGACATCCTGGGAGCTAAGCTAAAATATTTTGGCTACACGACCTTCCCCTCAAAGAATCGAATTGTGGAGACGGTAAGAGCGGTATATATACATATTATTTTTTCCTTGCCTTATTTAATCTTCCATTTACAGACCCAAGTTGGCCAGCTGAATCAGCTGGGATTGGACATAAATGTGACCTACAACAAAAATCTTATCAGAAGCATCAGGTGAGTTGAGATCGCAGTGTTATATATATATATTGATGAATATATATATATGTTATATATATTGATGAATAATGTAGTTTCTATACTAAATAGTCAATGTCTTTGAAAACAATTTATAATTTGCAATTTATTATTATTAATTTTTTTGCTTGAGCAGCCAGAGTGCGATAGACTCCTTCATGTCAACGGAAAAGAAAGTGGCATCGCTGTTTGTCAGCAATGCCTTCCAGTATGCCAGCCTGGCCCAGGATGACCAACAGCTGGATGGCTACGAGGACATGCTGGGCACCGTCTGGCTGCGAGTTTTGCGCTCCGGCAACTGGGCTCACTGGCTATCGGCTATGCGCGTGGCCACCGATCTTGGCGGTCACTTCGACGTCCGAATGGGCGTCTCCGGTACGCTGCAGTTACCAGTAGCTGCCGTGGGTCCCTGCAACGCCAGTAGCCTTATGATCATTGAACTCAGTGATGGCACCTCTCTGCCGGTGCCCGCCCACATCTGGGCGCATGTGCGCGCCCTGGAGTCCACAGGAGGAGCCGGAGACGAGTTTGTCCTCATCGGCCACAATTCACCTTTCGTATGTACCCGAGTTTCGGCCTAGAATTTTAACTATTTGGATGTTTTCTTGGCAGTTCCGCAGCGACAACTCGAGTGCCCTGTGCTCCTCGATGTGCGACCAGGTGCCCTGGCTGAAGGGCACTCTGTTCGCCAGCCTCCATGAGTTCCCCGCCTACGGCCTGGTTCAGTGTTGCCGCGTGGAGGACGTGGCCCAGAAGCTGGACAATTTCCCTGGTGCATATGTTGATGTGGCTGCCTCGACCACAACCGTTGCACCGGTTTTTGGTTTGGGGTATAAGCCCTCAGGAAAATTTCCACAGGTGTTGACCGATTCAAATGATGAATTTGAATAGGATAATCATTTTATAAGGGCATTTTCGGAAACGTAAAACTTAAGAATATCGTAAATCGGCCAAAAAGGCATTTATCAGGCCTGCTCCGGTAATCGAAAGCGGCAAGAATTTTTCGTTTTCGTTTTTGAAAACGAGAAATTGGTGCTCCGGAAATCGAAATCGAAAGATTTTTTCGATTTGAAAAACGGGCACCTTTTTCTGGCCGGAATGAAAAGTAAATGGCTTTTTTTAAATGAAATCAGATCTTATTTACAAAAGGAAAAAAATAGTTTACTCAGTGGTCTATTGATGTTTATTCCACACCACCACAAGATCATTCTGGCACTTAGTTATTTTATAAAAAATTTATTTCTGACCCCTCCTCAGATTTGACAACAAAATTTTTGCCGTGTTCAACCAGTTTTCTCGGTTTGGCGATAGGTCGATAAGTTCACCGCAAAAAGTTATCGCCAAGGTTGCCATATTGTTGGTGGAACGAAACATCCAGTTAAAAATACTTATAAAATATAAATGAATACATTAATAACTTTAAAGGACCGCCAAAATGGTTGTTTATAAATAATGCTATTTAATGTGATTACTTAAATGGTCCAAATTAACCAAATAATTATTTAAGACCACCGGAATTAGAACTGTGAAAAGTGTGGCAGCATCTTAGGTGCCTGGATTTGCTTAATTCTACCATTTTTTTGCCTTTTTCTGGCTTAGAAAAGGGGCAATTGTAAATATAATAGGCAGTACTTTACGTTGTTTGCTTATTACCAACAACACAAGTTAGCTGCTTGAGCAGTGAGAAACAATGAGAAAACGAAACATCCGATAGCAGAAATTTGCCGAAAACCGGAGCAGCTAAAAACGAAAACGGTTCGTTTTCGCCCAAAACGAAATCGAAAAAATTTTACGATTACCGGAGCAGGCCTGAATATCAATTCGGATTTTGTAAGGTTTATAAATCGGCAGCGTTTTGTCTTAGTTTTTACGGGGTTAATAAATCTGCATACTCTAAGCTTTCTTCTGTTTTATTTCTTATCAATTCGGAAAGCGGTTCTGAGTTCGTTTTTCTACGCTTAACAAAGCTGCTTACTCAGTTTTACTGAAATACTTATCTGGAATTTTTAAAGAATTTTTTAAACAATAAGAAGCAAAAAAGTAATGTTCAAACGTTCATAACTCAGCCAGAAAAAAACCTCATTTTCAAGTGTTCATAATTCATCCAAAAACGCATGAAATTCAATTCGGAAACCTGTTTTGAGTTGCTTTTTCTAAGCTTAACAAAACTGCATACTACGTTTTGGGTTCTTTGTAATTTCATTTTTTCGTAATTTTTGAGAATTTTAATGATGGTACCCCTTATCAAATTTCGCAAAAATGGCCAAAAAATCGATTTCTTCGGGACATGTCTAGAAAAATGCGCCTGTTAATGCTGATCAAGAATATATATGGTATATAGGGTCGGAAATGACTCCTTCACTTAAAAAAATATTATTTTGTATTAAAAACTCTGATTTTTTATATTAAAAAATATCATAACTCGGCCAAAAATGCCTTAATTTTAAATCGGAAAACTGTTCTGTGTTAGTTTTTATGAGGTTAATAAATCTGCATACTTAGTTAGAAAAAAAAATGTTGGTCAATATTTGCGCTGGTCCTTTTCCTTGCTTCTTGTCCGGGGTGGGTGGTACTAATGAGCGATGGCGATGACGATGGAATTTGAAATGAGAAAAATAGCAAATTAAAAACTAGAATAGGCATAACTCTGTCAAAAATGCCTTAATTTGCATTCGGAAAGCGGTGTTATGTTAGTTTTTATAAGGTTAACAAATCTGCATACTTAGTTGGAAAAAAAAATTTAGGTCAAAAATTGAGAATTTTAATGATGTAACCCCTTATCACATTTCGCAAAAATGGCTCAAAATTTGATTTCCTCCAAACATGGCTTAAACGATTCGTATTTTAATGCTGATCAAGAATATATATGGTTTATGGGGTCGGAAATGACTCCTTCACTATAAAAAATATTATTTTGTATTATAAAATCTGATTTTTTATATTAAAAAATATCATAACTCTGTCAAAAATGCATTAATTTTAAATCGGAAAACTGTTCTGTGTTAGTTTTAATGAGGTTAACAAATCTGCATACTTAGTTGGAAAAAAAAATTTAGGTCACATTTAGCAAAAATGGCTAAAAATTTGATTTCCCTCAAACATGGCTTAAACGATTCTCCTTTCAATGCTGATCAAGAATATATATGGTTTATGGGGTCGGAAATGACTCCTTCACTTAAAAAAATATTATTTTGTATTATAAACTCTGATTTTTTATATTAAAAAATATCATAACTCTGCCAAAAATGCATTAATTTTAAATCGGAAAACTGTTCTGTGTTAGTTTTTATGAGGTTAATAAATCTGCATACTTAGTTGGAAAAAAAATTATAAATTATTTATAGAGTAAAAGGTCTTCAATCAGGTACAGTAATTTCTTTGATAATACTTGAAAAAGTTTATTTTATTTATTTATTTAATTAATTCAATTTATTATGTTATTTATTTATTTCAATAATTCAATTTATGATTTTATTTATTTATTTAATTAATTCAATTTATTATTTTATTTATTTATTTAATTAATTCAATTTATTATTTTATTTACTTATTTAATTAATTCAATTAATGATTTTATTTATTCAATAATTTATTTACCTAGGTGAGTACAGGCCATTATCAAAACAGCTCGTTTGCCCGAGGAAAATGTAGATTTTCTTATCAGCAAGCTATAGAAAAATTCTGATAATGTAAATAGCAAAACGGGGAATCCCATTATTTACAGCTTGAATGAGGAGCAACTGATTAATCAGCTTAAGTACAAGCTTATACTTCATTTGATTTTATTTTATTTTTATTATTTATTAATATTTATATATTAAGATTGGTTCTTAATCTAGCAATTTGTATTGGAAGAAGTCTTTTTATTCAGATCGTTCTTTTAATATATTTCGCTGAGTTTGTTGCCATTACAACTGATCCCTTGGGTTATCGCTACTGTCGCCGCATGATTATGCAGAGGAGACCCTGCTCTGTAATCGTAGTGATCCGATTTCTGCAGAATCAGCAGTATTGGCGCCTATATAAGGGGCCTCCCCGTTGAGAATATATTCAGTTGAAAAGTAAAATCCGTCGTGATGCTGCCGTTACTTGCCCTATTACTGGGACTCTTCGTTCTTAGTGGACTGCCGCAGGATGTAAAAGGAAGTTGTTCGATTCCAACCTTAAGTCCTGCGCCCTTGGTTGTTACTACTTTCGGTTCAAAAAGTTTCGTCAACGCCAAAGCCAGTGAATACGAACGAGAAGATGGCGATGATATTGAGCTGCATTGCGGGGGCGGATTCTCTTACAAATACGGGTTTGTTTATTTATTGATTATGCTTTTGTACTGTGGAATGATACAACATTGTCAAGGGTTACAACTTTAAAGAGAACTGTGTTAAATGATAATAAAATATTTTATGTGATTTTTTAGACGTTATGGAGACCAAACCAGAACAACTTCTAAAACAAAAATAACTTTGCGTTGCGATTCAAATGGTTGGTTTTATTCTCTTGATGAACACCAGGATAACTATCTAAGAAGTATCCACTGCCTGAATAGAGTTTATCAAATGTTTGAGAGTCGAATCAAGTTGCCGAATTGCGAAAAGGATATGACCCTTGTTTTGGGCTACGATTTCGGTGAAATCGGATCCCTAAAAAACGCCGCCCTATGCTATGACATCCTGGAAGCTAAGCAAAAATATTTTGGCTACACGACCATCCCAAAGAATCGAATTATGGAGACGGTAAGAGCGGTATATATATATATATTTTCCTTGCCTTATTTAATCTTCCGTTTACAGACCCAAGTTGGCCAGCTGTATCAGCTGGGATTGGACATAAATGTGACCTACAACAAAAATCTTATCAGAAGCATCAGGTGAGTTGAGATCGCATTAGATTAGTGTTATATATATTGATGAATAATGTAGTTTCTATACTAAATAGTCAATGTCTTTGAAAACAATTTATAATTCGTAATTTTTTATTATTAATTTTTTTGCTTGAGCAGCCAGAGTGATATAGACTCCTTCATGTCAACGGAAAAGAAAGTGGCATCGCTGTTTGTCAGCAATGCCTTCCAGTATGCCAGCCTGGCCCAGGATGAGCAACAGCTGGGTGGCTACGAGGACATGCTGGGCACCGTCTGGCTGCGAGTTTTGCGCTCCGGCAACTGGGCTCACTGGCTATCGGCTATGCGCATGGCCACCGATGCTGGCGATGACTTCGACGTCCGAATAGGCGTCTCCGGGACGCTGCAGTTACCAGTGGCTGCCGTGAGTCCCAGTAGCTCTATGATCATTGAACTCAGTGATGGCACCTTTCTGCCGGTGCCCGCCCACATCTGGGCGCATGTGCGCGCCCTGGAGTCCACAGGAGGAGCCGGAGACGAGTTTGTCCTCATCGGCCACAATTCACCTTTCGTATGTACCCGAGTTTCGGCCTAGAATTTTAACTATTTGGATGTTTTCTTGGCAGTTCCGCAGCGACAACTCGAGTGCCCTGTGCTCCTCGATGTGCGACCAGGTGCCCTGGCTGAAGGGCACTCTGTTCGCCAGCCTCCATGAGTTCCCCGCCTACGGCCTGGTTCAGTGTTGCCGCGTGGAGGACGTGGCCCAGAAGCTGGACAATTTCCCTGGTGCATATGTTGATGTGGCTGCCTCGACCACAACCGTTGCACCGGTTTTTGGTTTGGGGTATAAGCCCTCAGGAAAATTTCCACAGGTGTTGACCGATTCAAATGATGAATTTGAATAGGATAATCATTTTATAAGGGCATTTTCGAAAACGTAAAACTTAAGAATATCGTAAAAGGCATTAATATCAATTCGGATTTTGTAAGGTTTATAAATCGGCAGCGTTTTGTCTTAGTTTTTATGGGGTTAATAAATCTGCATACTCTAAGCTTTCTTCTGTTTTATTTCTTATCAATTCGGAAAGCGGTTCTGAGTTCGTTTTTCTAAGCTTAACAAAACTGCATACTCAGTTTTGCTAAAATACTTACCTATAATTTATAAAAAATTTAAGCAAAAAATCAGAAAAACCCTCATAACTCGGCCAAAAACGCATGAAATTCAATTCGGAAAGCTGTTCTGAGTTGCCTTTTCTATGCTTAACAAAACTGCATACTCAGTTTTGCTAAAATACTTACCTATAATTTATAAAAAATTTAAGCAAAAAATCAGAAAAACCCTCCCAACATTGCAATATAGCTAGATGAGCATCACTGCCATTAAGCCCGATTTTATAGCCTCCCAACATTGCAATATAGCTAGATGAGCATCACTGCCATTAAGCCCGATTTTATAGCCTCCCAATAATGCAAAATAGCTGGATGAGCATCACTGGCAGTTAGTGAGATGCCATTTTGTCCCAATAATGCAAAATAGCTAGATGAGCATCACTGACAGTTAGTGCGATGCCATTTTGTCCCAATAATGCAAAATAGCTAGATGAGCATCACTGACAGTTAGTGCGATGCCATTTTGTCCCAATAATGCAAAATAGCTAGATGAGCATCACTGACAGTTAGTGCGATGCCATTTTGTCCCAATAATGCAAAATAGCTAGATGAGCATCACTGACAGTTAGTGCGATGCCATTTTGTCCCAATAATGCAAAATAGCTAGATGAGCATCACTGGCAGTTAGTGAGATGCCATTTTGTCCCAATAATGCAAAATAGCTAGATGAGCATCACTGGCAGTTAGTGAGATGCCATTTTGTCCCAATAATGCAAAATAGCTAGATGAGCATCACTGGCAGTTAGTGAGATGCCATTTTGTCCCAATAATGCAAAATAGCTAGATGAGCATCACTGGCAGTTAGTGCGATGCCATTTTGTCCCAATAATGCAAATAGCTAGATGAGCATCACTGGCAGTTAGTGAGATGCCATTTTGTGCCAATAATGCAAAATAGCTAGATGAGCATCACTGACAATTAGTGCGATGCCATTTTGTCCCAATAATGCAAAATAGCTAGATGAGCATCACTGGCAACTAGTGAGATAGATGCCATTTTCTACCAATAATGCAAAAAAATAGCTAGATGAGCATCACTGATGCACTTGGGCATCACTGCCATTAAACCCCCCAATATTGAAATATAGCCAGATGAGCATCACTGATGCAAGTGAGCAAAATTTTTCATTCAATTTGGCCGTTTTCCAAACTGGGGTAACAGGCGAACAGAAATCAGCAGCAAGCAACTGAAAACTGGTATAAACTGTTATAAAAACTTATGGGCAAAAATAATAATTGGTATAAACTGTTATATTTCATTTTATGCATTTATACCTATTTGTTGCCGACAACAACAGCTTGATGGGAATAACAACCTTTTTACAACAACATCCCTACAGCAGCCCATCCAAATTTCTGAAATTTTCCATACAAATTGGCCGTTTCCCAAACTGGGATACCAGGCGAACAGAAACCAGCAGCAAGCAACTGAAAACTGGTATAAACTGTTATAAAAAGTCCAAGTTTCGAACCATTGATCTTGGAGTAAGCACAGACTCAAACCAGATGTGACCATATTGTTAATTTCTGTCTAAAATGTTGCTAAATGCACCTGGGCACACTGAAACTGGACGTTACATTTAAATTCGAGTTTGGCCGTTAATTTTCAAAAATATGTTTAAAAAATCAAAAAAAATCTAAAAAATCTAAAAAAAATCTAAAAAATCTAAAAAATCGAACAAAAAATCTAAAAAATAAAAAAATATCTAGAAAATATCTACAAAAATCTAGGTACTTACCAACAACTAAAATACTTACCACAACAACTTTTTAGACCATAAAAAAACACTCTAAATATGTTTTATTTTATTTTTTATTTATTTTCATTTTATTTTTATAAATATCCATTTGGCCCCACTGTTTCCGCAAGGGCAACCTGCACCCATTGTTAGCGCCTCCTCAAGCAATTGCCGCTGGCAGAGTGCATGTGTGGAAAAGCGGGAAAATCCTGGGGAAAGGGGAGCGCAGCTTGAGCCACGCTCACCTAGCTATATTAAAAATATTGGGAGAAAAAGGCATACTTACCATAGTTTTGCTGGTTTCAGCTTGTCCCTTCGGCCATCATATTTATGACCCATGTTGCAATTGTACATTTTAAGCAGCTTAAGTTTGTGGCTGCCGTTTTGCACATGGAAATGGGGGGGGGACTGTGGTGTTTTTTGGGGAGCGACAACACAAAACAAAATTTGTTGGATGGCAATTAGGAAAAGCTGGCGCTGCCAATTGATAACGATAAATGCGACTAAGCGATGCTCATTTCATTGTTCTTATATAGGAAAAATAAAATAAAACAAAATAATATAAAATAATGTATTTCATTGTTTTTATTTAAGTTCATTAACATGGTATAAAATAAAGTATTTTAAATGTTGCTTGTTGTATTCGTTGCTGTTGGTTTAAAAGTAGCCGGCAGACCTGACTGGCGGTGCTCTCTCCATATCCCTGATTCCTGATCCCTCTTCCTCCATTCCCATCCCTTGTCAACAATCCTTTTGCGTGTGTCGTTGGTCCTTTCTCTTGGTTCTTGGCCGGGGTGGGTATCAGGTCTACTGATACTGATGACTAGGAGCGATGACGATGGCAATGACGGGGGAAAGTCTGTAATTGAAAAGAGAAAATTAGCAAATTAAAAACTAAAAAAGGGATAACTCTGTCAAAAATGCCTTAATTTGCATTCGGAAAGCGGCGTTATGTTAGTTTTTATAAGGTTAACAAATCTGCATACTTAGTTAGAAATTGAAAATTTTATCAAATTTTGAGAATTTTAATGATGTAACCCCTTATCGAATTTCGAAAAAATCACACAAATTTTTTTTTCTCCGGAGTTGGCTTAAACGATTCGCCTGTTGATGCTGATCAAGAATATATAGGGTTTATAGGGTCGGAAATGACTCCTTCACTTAAAAAAATATTATTTTGTATTATAAAATCTGATTTTTTATATTAAAAAATATCATAACCCGGCAAAAAATGCATTAATTTTAAATCGGACAACTGTTCTGTGCTAGTTTTTATGAGGTTTACAAATCTGCATACTTAGTTGAAAAAAAAATTTTAGGTCAAAAATTGCAAATTTTAATGATGTAACCCCTTATCACATTTCGCAAAAATGGCTCAAAATTTGATTTCCCTCAAACATGGCTTAAACGATTCTCCTTTCAATACTGATCAAGAATAAGCACAGACTCAAACCAGATGTGACCATATTGTTAATTTCTGTCTAAAATGTTGCTAAATGCACCTGGGCACACTGAAACTGGACGTTACATTTAAATTCGAGTTTGGCCGTTAATTTTCAAAAATATGTTTAAAAAATCAAAAAAATCTAAAAAATCTAAAAAAAATCTAAAAAATCTAAAAAATCGAACAAAAAATCTAAAAAATAAAAAAATATCTAGAAAATATCTACAAAAATCTAGGTACTTACCAACAACTAAAATACTTACCACAACAACTTTTTAGACCATAAAAAAACACTCTAAATATGTTTTATTTTATTTTTTATTTATTTTCATTTTATTTTTATAAATATCCATTTGGCCCCACTGTTTCCGCAAGGGCAACCTGCACCCATTGTTAGCGCCTCCTCAAGCAATTGCCGCTGGCAGAGTGCATGTGTGGAAAAGCGGGAAAATCCTGGGGAAAGGGGAGCGCAGCTTGAGCCACGCTCACCTAGCTATATTAAAAATATTGGGAGAAAAAGGCATACTTACCATAGTTTTGCTGGTTTCAGCTTGTCCCTTCGGCCATCATATTTATGACCCATGTTGCAATTGTACATTTTAAGCAGCTTAAGTTTGTGGCTGCCGTTTTGCACATGGAAATGGGGGGGGGACTGTGGTGTTTTTTGGGGAGCGACAACACAAAACAAAATTTGTTGGATGGCAATTAGGAAAAGCTGGCGCTGCCAATTGATAACGATAAATGCGACTAAGCGATGCTCATTTCATTGTTCTTATATAGGAAAAATAAAATAAAACAAAATAATATAAAATAATGTATTTCATTGTTTTTATTTAAGTTCATTAACATGGTATAAAATAAAGTATTTTAAATGTTGCTTGTTGTATTCGTTGCTGTTGGTTTAAAAGTAGCCGGCAGACCTGACTGGCGGTGCTCTCTCCATATCCCTGATTCCTGATCCCTCTTCCTCCATTCCCATCCCTTGTCAACAATCCTTTTGCGTGTGTCGTTGGTCCTTTCTCTTGGTTCTTGGCCGGGGTGGGTATCAGGTCTACTGATACTGATGACTAGGAGCGATGACGATGGCAATGACGGGGGAAAGTCTGTAATTGAAAAGAGAAAATTAGCAAATTAAAAACTAAAAAAGGGATAACTCTGTCAAAAATGCCTTAATTTGCATTCGGAAAGCGGCGTTATGTTAGTTTTTATAAGGTTAACAAATCTGCATACTTAGTTAGAAATTGAAAATTTTATCAAATTTTGAGAATTTTAATGATGTAACCCCTTATCGAATTTCGAAAAAATCACACAAATTTTTTTTTCTCCGGAGTTGGCTTAAACGATTCGCCTGTTGATGCTGATCAAGAATATATAGGGTTTATAGGGTCGGAAATGACTCCTTCACTTAAAAAAATATTATTTTGTATTATAAAATCTGATTTTTTATATTAAAAAATATCATAACCCGGCAAAAAATGCATTAATTTTAAATCGGACAACTGTTCTGTGCTAGTTTTTATGAGGTTTACAAATCTGCATACTTAGTTGAAAAAAAATTTTAGGTCAAAAATTGCAAATTTTAATGATGTAACCCCTTATCACATTTCGCAAAAATGGCTCAAAATTTGATTTCCCTCAAACATGGCTTAAACGATTCTCCTTTCAATACTGATCAAGAATATATATGGTTTATGGGGTCGGAAATGATTCCTTCACTTAGAAAAATATTATTTTGTATTATTAAATCTGATTTTTTTAAAATTTAAAAATATCATAACTCGGCCAAAGAGCATTAATTTTAAATCGGAAAACTGTTCAGTGCAAGATTTTCTACAGATAATAAATCTGCATACTTTATTTAAAAATTTTAAAAATTAAATTTTTTATCAAATTTTGAAAGTTTTAATGATGTAACCCCTTATCAAATTTCGCAAAAATGGCCAAAAAATTTTTTTCTTCCAGACATCTCTAGAAAGTTTTGCCTGTTGATGCTGATCAAGAATATATATGGTTTATGGGGTCGGAAATGATTTCTTCACTGTTTTTGAAGCTTCTGACTTAAATTATAATACCATACAAGGGTATAAAAAATATAGATATAGCCTAAAAATAATAAAACACAAAGTAAATATGGTTTTAAATAGTTTATTGGTTGTATTTTGGCTTTATTTTTTAAAAAAAGAGCTGCAATAATTTGTATTTATATTATATATTTATTTATGCTTATATTTTTTTAGTTTTCCTAAGCTTAACAAAACTGCTTAATGCTCAGTTTTAATTCTTTTTTTTTCTTTTCTGGGAAAACTAATATGAATTTAAATAAAATAGTATATAATTAAAATGTTCTTTTATTGATTATTTGCTTTGTGTCATTAAGATAGTGTGTTGTTAACACAATATATCCCAGATAAGAGAACTAGACGATTTGCGTAAAAATATTTATTTAAATTATAAGTGAGATTAAAAAGTATAATGCACTTAAACGTGACTTGTGGATAATCCTGAAACTACTTTTTAAAAACATACATTTGGGATAATACTTTAAATTAAATTTTTCCACACTAAAATGAATTATATCAATTTAAATACCTGGAAATCAAGAAATATATTCTAGAATCAAGAGGTTTATTTGCATTCAGAAGCCTTCACACCTGTTCAAGCTGCCTAATCTTCCGCTAAACCTCTCAGAAATTCCAGTTGTCGACCTTCTATATGCGTATTCAGGGTTTATCTGGGGAAAAACTGTTATCTCCTAAGCTATTTATGGTAGCCTTTCGCCTTTTTCTAGTTTCCAGCTAAGAAATACAATTAAAAAAAATGTATATATATACTTTTTAGATCTTTATTCATACCAGGAAGCAAAAAATAAAAAAAAAATGAGAGGATAAAAATATAACAAGAAAAAAAGTAGCTGGGAAAAGATAATTTCTCTAGACTAGGGCAAGGGACCAACATAGAAGTGGTGGCTCATTGGGTGGAGCCTACTCCGCAGACTCGGCACTCTCGATGGACTCGCCCTTGGCCTTGTCCTTGTCGGCCTTGGCCTGCTGCTTGGCCTGCTCCTTGGCCGCCTTTTTGGCGGCCTTCTCCTCCAGCTTCTGCTGCTTCCTGGCCAGCTTCTCCTGCTGCTTCTGTGCCTTCAGGCGCAGCTTCTCCTCGGCCTTGTACTGTTTCAGCTCCCGCTTGATGGCCGCCAAATCGCTGACCTCGCTGGCCTCCTGTCCGGGCACAATCTGGGTCCAGTCGTAACGCCAGCAGCCACCGATGGTGGCCTCAAATCGCTGGCCACTGGAGCAGCGCACCACGAACTTGTGGAAGCCACCCTGCAAGCTGGCCACGCAGCTATAGTAGTAGGTATCATCGTGTCCGGCAAATCGTCCCACTCCGGGACACTGGAAGGTGTCATCCGGGCACTCGGCCACATCGCGTACGCAACGCTTGAGGCTCGCCGAGAAAACGGTCAGATCGGGGCAGGTCACCTCCACATCCTGGAGCTGGTGCAGCACAGGATTCAGCAGGCAGTTGTGATAGCGCTGGCAGTTGCCGTTGATGTCGGGGAAGAGTCCAGCCGTCTGGCAGTTGAAGGTAGGCGGCGTGGGTGCAATGGTGGTGTCCGGAGCAGCGGTGGAGCTGGTAGTCTCTGGCTCCACAGTGGTTGTATCTTCGGGAGCGGCTGAACTCTCTGGGGCCACCGAGGAGGAGGACTGTTCGGGTGCTGAGGTGGAGGAGGAGTTCTCGGGAGCATCAGTGGTGGTCTCTCCATCGCCAGAGCCGCTAGAAGAGCTCTCCTGCTCGGCCGGTGTGGTGGTCTCACCGTTGCCAGAACCTCCTGCGGCCGCGGTGCTTGTCTCATCATCAATGTCTGCCTTGGTGGTCTCCTCTTCCGGCTGAGTCGTCTCCTCGGGCGATAGCGTGGTAATCGGGGTCTCCTCATTCGCCGAAGCTTCGGTTGTCTCCTCATTGGTTAAGGTTGTGGTATCCCAGTCGCCGCTGCCCTCTTCGCCTGGCTGCAGCGTGGTGATGGTGGTGGTATCGCTCCAGGGCTCTGCCTGGGCCAAGCCCTGGCCCGAGCTGGCGGACTCGCCGTCGCCGCTGAGGGCCACAATGCCGCAGGACTTGGTCAGCAGCTGCAAGTTAGCAACGGTCAGGTGTCAGATATCTGATCCTTCAACCAGGGATCTTTACTCATCCGAAGATACTCACCAAAGCGGCGCAGAAGAGCAGGATGGTGGACAGCTTGGAGATCCGGCGGCCGGTCATCTTGCGTACGGTAAAGGTGGTGTTGGTTGTCGTTTGCATCGTCATCGTTGCCAGTGGCTACGTCGGTCGATCGTTGTATGAGCTGCCGGCAGGGCCGCCGACGATTATATAGCCAAATCTGGACGGGATGCTGGGACCGCCTTATCTGACGGCTTAGCACCTTCGCCTGATAGATAGCCAGGCCGTTGGCGGGTGTTTTTCTGCTCCGCTCTGACGTATCCGTCGCCTCTTTCGGGTTGCAAAATACAGTTGTAAACCCATAAAGCCCCAGAAGCTGCCCCCGCGGATCTGAAACGGAAGTGTGTAAAGATAACTCGCATCGCGCCAGATAATACCGAAAGGGGGAGGTCAGGACGCCGGCTGCACTATACTATATATGATCCACCTATGCACGTACCTACCTATGTACATATCTGTTTGTCCATCTGTTTATCTTTCGCGGATCTTTCCAGAGCAGCGGCACCACAACAAAAAACGTGACGCATCTGGGGACTGATCGCCGGTTGACATTCCGAAAATGGAATCTTTGCAGCTTTGCTGCAGCCTCAACGGGTCTCGAGGATTGGCAGATTTTTGAAAATTTGGAGTATAATTGAACTGCAAGTGGATAATCAAGATATAGTAAATTATTAGAATTATTTATAAGATCTTGGAAAATTATTACAATTATTTATAAAGACTGAAAATTATTAAAATTATTTATAAAGTCTCAGAAAACTATTAAAATTATTTATAAAGATTAAAGTTTTTATGTCCCGGATTCCAGGGAAATATAGAAGGTCATTATAAGGACAGCTCTCTTGAACGGAGAGCTCTATTAAATTCACTATTCCTTGTATTAATATATATTTAAGGTATAAATTAGTTAATTATTTATCAACTATATAGTTTCCTAGACTTTTCAAACACTTTTCACATTTTAAAACTCTTTTTTTTTTCTTCAAGTGCTACTTATTTATCAATTTTCTAGCTTTAAGCTATATCTTTAAAGCAAGGCGCCCAAAAGTATGATAAGTTTATCTCACAACCAATGCTTTAGCGCTTAAAAAACACCCAAATTATACATAAATTAACTAAGAGTTAGAAAAGTTGATATCTTAAATGGAATTTAGCTTCAAAATATCACCAAAAAACATATAATTAAGCTTACCTTGAGCTATTAAAGGCACTCTATAATAAACAAACTATAAACAATTAAACTGCAGTGTTCCGGTTTCAAAAAAGAATCCCTGTCTCCCTCTCTTTTAGCGTGCTCATCTCCGGCGTATCCTCCAGCCATAAACATAATCCGCTGCTCCGCTGACAGAATTGCAAACGCAGAACGCAAACGCTTTACATATCTGACGTTAATCTCACGGATACTTGGCCAGATAGATACTCGCTGGCTCAGATACTTAGATACGCAGCTGCGCAGATACACTTGCGCCTCTGTGTTGTGTGGACACAGATATATCTATCTGGCGGCATGATAAGCTCCCCGATGGTTATCAGTCTCCCTCTCCGGGGCTCTCCGGATCCGTTGTCAGCCAGTCTTTTTTGTTCGCCATTATATCTAAACGTTTCGGTGTTTTCTTTTTTTTTTTTTTTTTGGGTTTGGATTTGGGTTTCGGTTTTGGTTTGCGGGCTTTGCTTGGCTTGTGGCTGGAATGATGAATGCCAGCGGCTAGACAAAGTGTACACACAAGTTCCACAGGGAGCAGTCAGCAGTCCAGTTGAGCCTTTGCCAGGACAGGATTGTTTTCAGTCAACGGAAACTGTGCCAGAGCAGCTAGAAGAGAGAGAGAGAGCGGAGAGCCATGGCCACCACATCGATCGGCGGAGTGGGCGTTGGCGTGGGCATGGGCGTGGCAGCCGGCGGTGCTGTTCGTCGGCCCACAGCCAGGGCCACCGCGGGCATCCAGAGACGCCGAGTGGTCAAGAAGCACATCCAACAGAAGTACATGCTCTGCGGCTTTGCCATACACGTAAATAGCAGCTTCTCTTTCGTAACGCCAACCTAGAGATTTTCACTCTCTAAAGTTTAGCATATTTTTCAATATTTTATTTATTTGCTTTCCCCTCCGCAGGCCTTTCTGGCCACACCCGCCTACCTGTACGGCAATGTGGTGGAATCCGACAAGGATCTGGTGCTTAGAATCTGGCCCGCCATTGTCTACCAGGCCACCGGGGAGCTGTGCCGCTCCATTATGGAGCATTTGGATACGGAATATAGCGGCAGATCTCGGGAGACCACACAGTATCGGCGGGTCTTCCTTTTGGCCACCCTCATTGCCTGCGTCTCGCTAATGGTGGCTGGGATATTGTTCTCCTCCGCCTGGATAGTGGTGACCACCACCACCCAGGTGGTGGCCATTGTCTTTTACGGCTGCTTTGCAGGTAAAATTGCCAATGAAAAACGCTGCGTATACGCAATATATCACGTATACGCACACAACACGTGTGCACGGGTCGATATTTCAGGCTTATTATCAGTTTGATTTGGTTTATTTCACATTTATGGAGGCCCAGAGCTAACCTTATCTGTGACAAACAAAAACAGGAAATTTAGGCATTTTTTAAACAGTAAAAGTTGCCTTAAGCAGGTTCTTTATTTAAACAAAATTTCAATTAAATTCAAATCAAAATTGATTAATTTCTTAAAAAATATTACCTTCACAGGCATTGGCTCTAGCCTGTACCTGTGGAAGACGCACGTCATTTTGGAGGCAGTGCGTCCGCGGGAGGACAAGTATGTGCGCAAGACAATCCACCTGTGCGGCGAGGCTTTTTGCCAGCTGTTCCTCTCGTTCGTCTTCACCAGCCTTCGGACACTGTATGGCACCGCCCAGTCGATAGTCCTGATGTCCGCCCTCCTGGTGAATCTCATACCGCTAAGCCTGATCATCACCAAGCATCGGGAGGATGCCTTTACCACCAAACGCATCTCGGTAATTAAGGCGGAGACGGGTTTCGCTGCTTTGCCGTTGAGAGCCGCTTTGGCCGCCAATTTGGTGGCAGATCAACTGGATGGCCTGGACACGCTGTCATGGCGTAATCCGGCCACCGAAATGGGTGCTTCGCCGGGAGCAGCAGTGGCCGCCGCCGTGGTGGACACGCACAGCAACTATATGCTGGCCACGGACGAGGCCTATGTGACCTACGTGAATCCGAATGGTGTGGAGATCATGGAGATCATACCCGAGGAGGACGAGACGCTGTCCATGATGCGATCGAGCAATGCGACAATCGACAACTATGGCATGTCTGCTTCGCAAACGTCGCACAAGTCCCTCTCCAATGGACGCCTCTATCCGCTGACGCCTCTAAATCCCACGGTCACGGGAGCGGGAACCGGCAGCTCCTCCCCGCTGCCGCCCGACCATGCCAATCTGGTGAGTATGGCTTTATGTTGTGTGCTATTCCCATTGATTTGGAACCTGAAATCTCTTCCAGCAACGCATCCGTCGAATGTCGCGGGCGGTAACCTCGCATTTGTGGTGGAATCTGCTGGACAAGATTGCCATGCCGCTGCAGCAGGCGTTGCTAGTGCCGCAACTGTATGCCACCACACTGCTGCTCTCGGCGGACATTTTCAGCTATGTGATGTGCCTGACGGTGCTCCCGGGTTTGGCTGTCAGTCATCATGCCTTGAAGAATGCCGAGATTCCGTTTCTTTTCTCGCTGCTGGCCTTTCCCTGGATGTGCTTCTCCCTGATGACGCCACGCTTCGGGACGAGCCTCTACAAGCGCAAGCTTCAGTGGCACACGTTGGGCAGCCTCTGCAAGTGCCTGGCCCTGATCTGTGAGTAGATTCTCTTTTTTCTTGAGACCCTAAAACTTAATAAACTCTATTCAGTCATTAGCTTCTCCACCTCGAAGCTGCTGCTCAGCGTATCTGCCGTTTTGCTGGGCTTCGGCCAGGTGGTCACCGCCTTTCTACAGGAGCTTGTCTTTCAGATGGGCATGACGCGGGCCAACTGGACGGCCATCCGGCGACCCGTACACTTCACCAATGGTTTGCTGGTGCTCCTGTGGGGTGCCCTCGCCCACTGGGTGGTGGAACGTTACTCGTTCCAGGCCACCGTTGGCCTTGCCGGCGCCCTTTACGGAGCCAGTTCGCTGCTCTGGAACTTTCTTTTCTTCTGCTGCCAGGGCAGGGATTAGGAGGAAGCGGCGCGATCTCGGTTAGCTTAAGCTCTGGGAGTAAAGGATCTTGGGGGAGCCTAGTCTGTCTGTTGTTGATCTTAATGTTGTCGGTAGTTGTTGTACTTGTGCAGTGATATTAATAAATAACAAAAATATCTATGTTTTGCGTTCTAAAATTAATTAAAACAATTTTATAATTTTTTATAGATAAATCTTTGAAAATAAAAATGTTTTCCGCTAAAGTGTGACCAGAGTACTGCCATTCAAAAATACCATTGTGACCGGCATACTGCCACTCAAAAATACCATTTATAGTACTGAAGGTGAACAGAGGAAATATTTATATTTATTTTTATAAAAATTTAATTTAGTCACTTATTTTCTTATGAACTAAACTGTTAACATTTTTGTTGAATTAGTAGAATGAAAAAGTGATGCTGGTTTCTTCTAATTCGTGTTCCCCTGCGAGTTGCACAATTTAGAGGGAGACAGCTATAGGTCAAATGGAGTGTACCACTGTGAGACCATTGCCATAAATCCTAAAAAATGTTTTTTATTTCATTTTTAATTTTTATAGTAAAAAATGAGTAATATATATATATTTTAAAAATAATATTCAACAGTAGTAGTCATAACAACAGTCTGGCAACGCTGCCATGTCCTAAAACTCAGATTGTGAGATTTTTGAAGATCTCCGCCTACGGTCACACCTTCAAGCAGCACGCCAAAAAACGCGAATTTTTCAGATGTAGAAATTATTTCATAGTTTCCTTCTGTGTCTGCCTGCGTGTTTCCTTTTTAGATCGATTTATAAACATTAACGGCCACATATCCCAAGTGTCCCCCAGCAACGTAGCAAAACGGTAAGTGATCGGTCGGGTCTGTACCGTAGCCCAGCGGCCCGTGTTGAAGGCGACATTTTCCCCGAGCCGCGGCACAGAAAAGCGGGAAGCCGGCTTTTCTCACAAGAGACGCTCTTCGATTCCTTGCAGAGAATTCTGGTTCCAAGGAAGCGGACATCCCCACACGCATGTCGCTGACTCCCGATGGTTTCGGGCATAATGCGTACGCTACCAAACCCAACGCAGGCCCACACGAATCTGTAGTGCTAAGCGCAACTTACTCGCTTGCCGCCAGCGCTGGCCAGGAGGAGCAGCAGCAGCAGCAGGAGCGCCAGCTCTACAATCTAAACCACGACTCCTACACGTCCAGCCATGTGCCGGAATACAATGATGCCGAAGAGCAAATGCAACTGGGAACAGTAGGGGAGCAACTGCAACTGGCCACAGTAGAGGAGCAACTGCAACCGGCCACAGAAGAGGAGCAGCTGTATCTGCCGGCAGAGAGCCAGCAGCTCGAAGTAGACTACCAGCAGCCGGAGGCAGAGGAGCCCCAGTACAATACACAACCCTTGCTTGGACTTGGCCTACAGTTTGAGACCTACAACCAGGAGCAGCTAGCCTACCTGCAACAACAGTTTGCCTCTCAAGAGAATTTCCTTAACGAGCAGCCACATATCCCACTAGGCGAGCCACAACAGGCAGCCGCCGTATCAGAATCGAAGGTAAAACTAGGAGCCGAGGATCAGCTACACCAACAGCAACAGTTTACCGTTGAGGAACAGCAGCAGAAAAGTGTCTTGGGACAGAAGAAAATCCATCATCAAAAAGCAGAAACTCAATCATCGATCAGCCGAGAAAAATTATTTTTGGATTTTGTTCAGCTTTCCAGCAGAGAGCACCAGATCGAAGATCTAACTGAAAATTATCACCTGCTGAATCGTATAGCCATCGTTGGGTCTAAAAGTTTCCACATCCTACGCGAAACCTTCAACCTGACACCAGATTGCCACCCGGAACTTATTGAATCGCAAATCTTAGGGATCTTAAGATTGCGCCAGAAACTGATCAATTTGCGGCCACTTTTAATAGATAATCCCGATCCGCTAGCCTTGCCCATACTCAGGGAACTCCAGCTGGCCATAGAAGGTGCCTCGCAGGTCTGCCAGGACTTGGGGCAGCAGGTGGCAAGGGTCAATAATAGTTGCGCCAAGTCAAGCTATTCAATGGGTTTGGAGCTTTTGAATCGTATACGCAAAGTTATATCTGGCTGGTATAGGAGCAACGAGGCACAATTGGAGCCGGAGGAGGCGGGTTCCGGATCTGGTCCCGCTGGGGACCAACAACAACAACAACAACAGCGTGACAGCCGTAAGCGACGGTGAGGATTTTGAGCAAAGCGAAGCTTTCTTTTTTAAATATAATTTTGTTTTCAAAATCATTGAACTCTCTTCTAACTCAAATTCTACACAACCCCTAAAAATATCTAAAGAATTTTCTAAAAATTTTTTTGTTTGCTTGAAGTTTGCTTTTACCTCTGCTTATTATTATTTTAAAATTATCTCTTTACTTCACTTATTATTATTAAAATTACCTTATTTCTTCACAGCATCGCAGAGGACGAACCGCCATTGATCAAATACCGTCGCGTGGACAACTCCTTTCCGCGCTTCATACCGAATGAGGCGGCTGCCGAGGAACCCGTGCCCAACAACAGGTCCATGGCTGAGAGGGAAACTCAGCGGCAGTACGCCAAGCGACTGTCCATATTCAATGCACCGATACTAACGCAGCAGCGTGTTCGCAACAATGCCGCCGACATACAGATCGATCTGTCGGATGATGATGAGCAGGTGCCCCTCTTTCGACCGGGTGCTTCCTATAGACCACCACCACCGCCGGCAGCGGCATCTGCCGCCCCGCTTGGCTCTGATTCCTCGACCACCATGCGTCCCCAAATGCTGTATTCCGATGCAGTGCGTCTGGGACAGAATGGTTTCGCCGAAAGTCGCATGAATGGGCATCCCAATAAACCATCGGGACATGGCGATGATAGCTTGCTAAGCCAGGAGGAGCGTCGTTCGGAGCGGGAGCAATATCTGGCCTTGTTGCGCAATCTTTGCTCGGACAAATCCTCGCTTCGTGCTTTAAATAACACAAATCCTCCGCCGCTGCGGGTAATTAACAGAAACGCTGAACGTTCTAGCACCTGGGGCTCCATATTGGCCAACAACAAGGCACCACCAGCGGGCCAGGAGCAGCAGAAGCCACAGCCGCCAAAACCGATTAGTAACCGTGATTTTGAGGACTATGCCAAGCTGCTTAATCGAGAGCAGCACAAGAACATACCTCCACCGCCGCCGCTTATACGCTTGGGCAGTGCCAAGAGCCTCACCAGTCATGCCTCCACAATATCCATCTCGGAGAGCATATCGAGTTCCTCAGATAGCTGCTCAAATGCCTCCGATGAAAATCAGGCAGCAGCTGCTGCTCCTGCTAACCTGACCAACCACAAAATGTGAGTAGTTTCACTTGTAAATATTGTAATCTAGTTTGAAATCCAACTATTATTTTTCTCAGTGCTTCCTTGAAGTCATCACCAAAGAGTGATCAGCTAAATACCACAGTGTCGCGTCATGAGCTGCTGCAGCGTAGCTTGGAGAATTGTGTTTTCTTCAAGGACACCTTTGCCGAGGATCATATGAAGAAAATTGAGCGACAGGAAAAGGAGCTGGAACAACGTCGTCAATTGGCCACGATTCAGTGAGTTTCTATATGATTTATTCTATATTTTATATTTTTTTTTAAATGTTTTGTATATTTTTTGTTGTAGAGCTGAAAAATCACGCGCCGTACGCCTCGAATTTGAGCAGCATTTGCGCTCAAACATTTTCCAAATGCGTCTAACCCACAAACCGATTCTGGTAATCGGTTCCATAGAGAAAACCCAGGAGAAAAAGGAGCCCGAGTTTGTACCGCTTACCGAAGAGCACATGAAGCGTTTCAGTGAACTGATAAATGGTCCTCCTCAACAGGTGAGTTTCTACAGGGGAAAATGCTTCAAAACTTTTGTGACTTTGTAAACCTTCTTTCTCTGCTGTTCCCCCTGCTCTTCAGGTGCTTGTCAACAAATTTAGTCTACAAATTCATCGCAGCGATATACGGACTTTGCTTGGCAGCAGCTGGCTCAACGACGAGGTCATCAATTTTTATATGAACCTTTTGACGGAACGCTCAGAGCTACGCTCTGATCAGCTGCCCAGGGTATATGCGATGAATACCTTCTTTGTGCCGCGTTTGCTACAGACTGGACATGGCGGCGTGAAACGTTGGACACGCAAAGTGGATCTATTCAGCAAGGATATTATACCGGTGCCAGTGCATTGCAATGGTGTGCATTGGTGCATGGCCATTATCCATATGCGCAACAAGACGATCCGTTACTACGATTCAATGGGTAAGCCCAACCAGGATGTGCTGGACGCACTGGAGATGTACCTGCGTTTGGAGTCGCTCGACAAGCGCAAGCAGCCCTTTGATACCAGCGATTTTAAGATCGAGAGCGTGGCGAATGTACCGCAACAGAGTAATGGCAGCGATTGTGGCGTCTTTAGCTGCATGTTTGCCGAGTATATAACGCGCGATGCACCGATCACATTCAGTCAGGAGCACATGGATTATTTCCGCAAGAAGATGGTCCTGGAGATAGCCGAGGGCAAGCTGTGGAAGTAAATAAATATATATATATAAAAAATATAAGATATACGCAGGGGGGGATCCTAATTTATTGAATAGCTACATAAGTGTGTCCCAAGCAGAAGCATAAACATAAACACCTCTTGCAACGATCTGTAACCTCTGAAAATAAAACCCCTTGAGCCGGATATTCCAGATATTTTTGTCAAATCATCTTCTTAATGTGTAAACAAAAGACACAAAAGCATACATCCATATTGTAACAGAGTAAAAGAGTAACTAGTTTTTCAAATAAAACAACGGAATCTAAAATCGAGAGAAGTAATACTTATTTTTGAATATGAAACTGTGTAAACAAATGTACATGTTTTTTTTTTCTTGTATGTGAATTTACAACTTGCAAAATATGTTTTTATTTTTTTTTTCTTAAATCTGTAAGTTTAGGTTGTGTAATCTTAATTCGTAAGCTATATTTCAGTTAATTCTTATACTTTAGTTTGGAGTCTGCACATTTGTTTATTTTTTAGAAATAATTTTGTTTGTATTTTTTGTAAGTTTAACATATAATTTAGTTGGTACTATAATAAACTTACTTCCCACATTTTAGTTTGGCATTTTTTTTTTACCAGGTATATATATATTTATAGCGTGTCTTAAATTAATTTTGCAGGAAAATGTGTTTTTAAATTTTTAAAATATTAATAATTATTAATTTTTTTAATTTAAAATAATTATATAATATACGAGAATATTCTTTCTAGGTGAAGACGTCAATTGATTTTCAATTTAAAAAAAATGTATAATTTAATAATTAATAACTTTATAATATTTTACTAAATTTAATATAATAAATCAGATTATTAGGTTTTTTTTTAACATAAAAAAATCAGATTATACGTTTTTTTAACATGAAAAATCAGTTTTTTTTTATCATAAAAAATCAGTTTAAATAATATATAAAAATATTTTTTTCTAGGTGAAGGAGTCATTTCCGACCCTATAAAGTATATATATTCTTGATCAGCATCAACAGGCGAATCGTTTAAGCCAACTCCGGAGAAAAAAATTTTTTTGTGATTTTTTCGAAATTCGATAAGGGGTTACATCATTAAAATTCTCAAAATTTGATCAAATTTTCAATTTCTAACTAAGTATGCAGATTTATTAACCTATTAAAAACTAACATAAAACCGTTTTCAGAAGTAAAATTAATGCATTTTTGACCGAGTTATGAATTTTCAAAGTTAGGCAGGGTATTAAAATTTCAGTCAAAAGCTTGTAACTTAGTGAAGACATCATTTCCGAGCCTATAAAGTATATATATTCTTGATCAGCATCAGCAGCCGAATCGTTTTAGCCACATCTGGAGGAAAAATTTTTTTTTTTGCCATTTTTCAAAATTTTATAAGGGGTTACATCATAAAAATTAACAAAAAATTGACCAAAAATTGTAGTTAAAAAAAAATGTTAATTAATTATGCAGATTTATAAAGCTTATAAAAACTAACTCAGAACAGCTTTCCGAATTAAAATAAGTAATTTTTTAGACGAGTTATGCTATTTTTAGGTTTTACCTTTTCCAAATAATTTTTTTATTAAATTATGGATAAATACTTCAATTAAATAACCTATGCAAATTTATTAATTCATTAAAAATTAATTCAGAACAGCTGTCCGAATTGAAATTAATGCACTTTTTGGCCAAGTTATGATTTTTTATTATTATAATTTTCTATAGAAAAAAAATTATAAAATATATTTCTAAAACCCACACTCGTAGTTTACCAAAACAAAGTTTTTCCCTTAAAATATATGCACACAAATTGTTGCTAAATTTTCTAAGAATCATCGCTTATCCTGCAGCTATCGATGCGCATGCAATCGATATTTCTTGAGAAAAGATAACGGTACATGGCTGCTAGTGTAACCCCACTCTGTGACGCCAGTGTGACCACCACCCGGGGGCCAGCCAGGAGAAAGACGAGAGCAAAAAAAAAGCTGGAGAAAAGCGTGGGAGAAAAGCAGGAAAAAATACGGAACGGAACAGAACAAACGACCGTGGGAGCAGCAGTTGCGAGAGAGGCGCGCGCGCGGTCATAACCTGGTGACGGCGGCGTTGGGGCATGCAAATTATGCCAAATAGTAGCATCCACGGACACACGACCAGCAGCAGCAACAACGCCAAAGCCGACAAACGAACGGACGCAGAAAATGCAGCGGAGCACGGACGCGGCGACGTCATCATCGGCGTCAGATAGCGGGAAGGGAGCGGAATCGGAGTCGGAGGCGGCGGCATTCAGATCCGGCGGAGTCGGCGGGAACAGCTGCTCCTCCTCCGGCGGTGGCCTAGGATCCGCCGATACAGCAGCGGTGAGAGGCGTGATGGGAGAAATCCCGTTACAATTGCCTACGTAAAAGTTCTTTTTTTTATAGTTTTTTGTTAACAGTGCATGTGTGTGTGTGTGTGTATATATATTTACGGTTTGTTTGGCCTGGCCAAAAATTATATAACATTAAGCGAAAGGCAGCGCACGCTTAGTGACCTGACCCCGCACCCACGCCCTCCCCTTACAGTCGTCATGAAAAACCCCTGTGTGTGTGGGTGTGCGTGTGTGGGAGTGTGGCAGCGTGTTTGTGTGTGTGAGTGTGTATGCGCGCCTGTTTTATTTGCCATGCTCCTCGGCTCGTTTGTTGTAATTTTCCGCAGCCACCGCGCATGCCACCCCGCCACCCACATCCACATTTTCAAACGTCCTGCTCTTGGTCCTTGTTTTCCACAGCGGGAAAATATTTAACACAAAAAAAGGATTTTTATCAGCTCTTGAATAAGCCCTCAGAAGTTCTTGTTCATTCATGTCTTGACTTGCAAAATCTTTGACTTGTTGAGAATATTTTATATATATTTTTTTTACTTTTAAATATATTTGAGAGCGTTTAGTATTATTTTTAATTTTTTTAAATTTAATTATAATAATTTATATATTTTTTAATTTATTTATTATCATTTTTTCATAAATACATATTAGTATTTTTCTTTTTTAATTTAATTATAATATAATTAAAATTTGTTTAATACCATTTTTCATAAATATTATTATAATTTAATTATAATAATTTAAATATTTTAAAATTTATTATAATTTTTTCATAAATATTATTATTATTCTTTTTTTAATTTTATTGAATTTAAATTTAATTCTAATAATTTAATAAAAAACATTTTTTTTGACATATTGAGAATATTTGATATATTTTGTTTACTTTTAAATATATTTAAGAGTATTATTTCATAAATATTATTATTATTATATTTTTTATATTTAATTATAATAATTTCAATTTTTTAAAATTTATTTAATACCATTTTTTTATAAATATTATTATTATTCTTTTTTTAGCTCTATTAAATTTAAATTTAATTATAATATTTTTGTATATAATTTTAATTTTTGAATATAATTTATTTGAATAAAATATATAATATATTTGAATAAAATATTTCTTAGGGTGCATCTTAACGTTTCACGTGTGTTGTTTTCCTACATTCAGTTTTTCCTCTGACTAATTTTTGGGAAATGCGTTATATTTACTTTTGCTCCTTGCTTGTTTGTTGTGTTCTTGGCTTTAATCATTTATTCGATTTTGGCCATGTCCTTGTGGCCTGCTCTCTGCCATTTTCCTAACAACTCCCACATCGTTTGTGCCCGCTTCCTGCTTCCGGCTTGGATTTAATCGCCGAGCATATTCAATTTCATTTCTAACAAACGCCTGGTGCTAATTAATTTTGGCCAGCAGCTGCTCATCATGATGATGATGATGATGATTACGTCAGGCAAAGCTCATCTATTTTTGGCTCTTAATCCTTTGCTGGTTCCGCTCCGAACCGGAGAGAGAGCCACATAGCTGGCGAGAGAGGCCTTGCCAGGAGCGGGAAGGCGGCCTTGCCACCCCCCCCTAGAGCCCAGAACCCATACCAGACCCATTCCCTGGCCAAACTGAAGGACTGGTTTATTTATAACTCCGGCTCATCCAATTTGGGATGCCATGCGGGACCTCATGCATTATTCAGCTTACACTCAGTTGGCACATTCGCATAGTTTTCCATATAGCCGTGCCTCCGTCATTGTCTTTTGTTTATTGATTTATTCACACCTATATTATACCTCTTCTGTTTCTTACCTTTGTTTTTAGCGCTTTTTAGTTGTTGTGCATTTAACAATATCGAATACAGAACCTAAAACCCAGTTGCCAGGTAAGGCCGTCGTCATCCATCAACGACTCTTCCATATTTCAGGGTTAATCCCACTGTGACTTTACGAAAATGGTAGTTCTATGTTTTTAAAATTTGAGCCAAAAGTTTGCAATGCAGTGAAGGGTATATTTTGGATCCTATAAAGTATATATCATATATTCTTATCAACAGCCGAGTAGATCTAGCCATGTCCGTTCTTTTCTATGTAAACTAGTCCCTCCGTTTTGAAGCTATCTCAATGAAACTTTGCATATAGTTTTCTGAATACTCTCACTGCTATATATGTCGGAACCGGCCAGATCGGACGACTATATCATATAGCTGCCATACAAATGTTTGATAAATTTTAAGAAAAAATATTATAACTTGGCTGTTTTTCAATATTTTTGCATCATTTTTGGGATACAGCCATTTTATGTTATTTCAGAATTTTGTTAAAAATTTTATGAAAATTGGACGACTATACCTTATAGCTGCCATAGGAACGATCAGGAAATTAATAGGAAAAAAGATTTAACTTTGTTGTTTTCCAACGTATTTTTATCTACTCTGAGATTTTTTTATTATTCCAGAATTTTGGTATACATTTTATAAAAATCGGACAACTATATCATATAGCTGCCATAGGAACAATCTGGAATTTTATTGAAAACAACATTAAAGCTTCACTGCTTTTCAATATATTTTTAAATATATTTAAATATATAACTTTTATACATTTCCTGTTAATTTTTTCTATAAATTTGACAAACTGCATGCCGAATTTAACTTCCTTTCTTGTTTTGAAATCATTTTCGCATTTAAAATATATTGTATTGTTACAGCGGAGTTATCCCTTTGCTGAGCTTAGTTCTAAGTTGATTTTAATGACTTTTAATAATTACAGATTAGCACAACGATTGGCTCCATGCAGCAGTTGGAGCAGAAGGATCAGAAGGTTGCCATTCACTTTTTGGCCAGCTTCCATGAGATTTGCGTAGTCACCGCCCTGCTGCCACTGGTGACGCTATTCACGTGCTTTGTGACCGCCTACGTCTTCCAGTACGACGATGTACACGAGACACATTGCCGCGTGAGTTGTTGTTTTTTGTTTTTGTTGTCCAAATTGGGAGTGTTTCCTTGGCTAATCTGCTTTCAATCTCGGCTAATCCCCTGGCCAACAAATCACTGGTCTCCCCAGGGGGGAACAGACACGCAAATTCACTTTTTGCTTAGAAGGAAACAAAAAACCAGAAGCTTTTTTGTAAAGTAATAAATTACGTTTGCTTTTTTTCTACTTCATGATAAAAACAATAAAATTTCTGATTAAATTTGTGCCTTTTTATACCCTTGCAGGGTATTATAATTTCAGTCAGAAGTTTGCAACGCAGTGAAGGAGACGTTTCCGACCCTATAAACTATATATATTCTTGATCAGCATCAACAGCCGAGTCGATCTAGCCATGTCCGTCTGTCCGTCTGTCTGTCTGTCCGTCTGTCCGTCTGTCTGTCTGTCCGTCTGTCCGTCTGTCTGTCTGTCTGTTTCTACGCAAACTAGTCCCTCAGTTTTAAAGCTATCTGAATGAAACTTTGCATATAGTCTTCTATATGCTCTCACTGCTATATATGTCGGAACGGGCCGGATCGGACGACTATATCATATAGCTGCCATACAAATGTACGATATATTTTTCGAAAAAAAATTATAACTTTGCTGTTTTTCAATATTTTTGCACCATATTTTAGATGTGGCCATTATATATTATTTCTGAATTTTGGTAAAAATTTTATTAAAATCGGACGACTATATGATATAGCTGCCATAGGAACGATCGGGAAATTAATAGGAAAAAAATTATAGCTTCGTTGTTTTTCAACGTATGTTTATCTACTCTAAGATATAAGCTTTTTTTATTATTCTAGAATTTTGGTATAAATTTCATAAAAATCGGACAACTATATCTTATAGCTGCCATAGAACGATCGGTAAATGTATAAAATATGTAAAGCTGGGAATGTAAAACTGTAACTGTCAAACTGTAAACATAATAAGTATAGGTAAAATGTAATGAAACACTGTTTTGTGAGTCTTTTCAGCATTTAAATCTATAATATAAACATCGAAACCAATCTGCAAGGGTATACAAACTTCGGCGTGCCGAAGTTAGCTTCCTTTCTTGTTTTAATTTAAATTCCTTAAACTTTTCTCCGTAGGTCTACAACATAATACCCTCGATAAGTGCAATTACCGGCGTCAGTCCGCAGCGCTACTTCTGGCGCTTCAGTATTGCGCTGCACATCGGACCCCGCATTCCCATAGCTTTTGTTTACAAGAACTACTACCGCTCGCAGCTGGAGCGGATCAGTCCCGCCCTGGTGCCAAAGACCAGCCTGCTGATCACGGTGATTCTTGTGTTAAACTGCATCGAGATAGCGGCCCTGGGCGGCGTTACCTATATATCGAATCGAGAGAATTATCGTAGGTCTAGCTTCTTGAACAATAGAAGAGATTCTGATTTTTAGTTGATCTTTTGTCATCTTTTTTTATAGCTGTCCACGAGCGAATCTTCATCACGTTCATGATCTGTTCGCTGTGCTATATGCTGGCCACAATTAAGCTGAACGGCATCCTCAATGCCGGACAATCGCTGAGCCACAATCAGCGGCAGTCCATCAAGTGGAAGAAGATCCTGTTTATCGTCTCCATACTGAGCACCATCGGGCTGCTGGTGTTCTTTGCCAAACACCGTTTCTACTGTCACGATTTGGGTTAGTTCAGTTAGTGGTAGTGTTCAGTTAATTTACTCAAATGAGTGTTTTAAAATTTGTATTTATTTATTAAATTTTATATATTTATCATTAGTATATTTAATAAATTTTATTTTCTCAGAAAATTGATTTTTTACAATTTTTATTTATATTGGTTTTTTTTTTATATATTTTTCTCAGCTAAGTGATTTATAATTTTAGTTTTTACTTGTTTAATTTTTATATATTTATATTTATTTAATTAAAAAATTCTCTGATAAGTGTTTTATATATTTTATTTATTAATATTTATCATATTTAATTTAAGATTCTCAAATGAATATTTTATAATTTTTAATTTTTTTTAATATTTATATTCAATCTATTTAATTAATTTAATATTCTGAGATAAGTATTTTATAAATACTATTTTTTTTCTTCTTTTATATATTTTTTATATTTATAATAAATATATTTATTTAATTATATATTCCCTAATGACTATTTTATATATTTATTTAGATTTATTATATTTATTTAATTTAAAATTCTCTGATATACATTTTATTTTTATTTTACTTTTTTTTTTTTTTTATTTTTACTTGTTTAATTTTTATATATTTATATTTATTTAATTTAAAATTCTCTGATAAGTGTTTTATATATTTATATATATATATATTTTTAGTTAAATTAATAATTTTTTTATAATTCTTATTTTTATGTATATTTTATAATTTGGTAATTATTATATTTATTAAATTAATATATTCAAATTAGACTTACACTTGATTTTTATTAAATTAAGTTAAATTTGAATTAAATTAAATAAACTTTGTATTAAAATCTCACTCTCATCTCCTTTTATAGCCTTCAGTTGGTTCGCCTTCTTCGAGTACTTAATCGCCATCGCCAACATGCTGTTCCACTTCACCATCATCTGGGACTTCCCCTCACAGTTCATGATAATTGTGCAGGGACCCCGCAAGAATCTCGCCCAGTACTTGAGCAATCGCCCAAAAGTGGACTAGATCTTCGGATCGTCGCACAGTGTGTGTGTGTGTGTGTGTGTGAGTGTGTGTGTGTGTGTATAATTCCCATACGAAACGTACAATTAACGAACTTCTTCAACTTTAAAAACTAAGCGCTTCCACAACAAGAAATCCCCTTAAAATTCTTCTATTTACTTCGATTCTCCTCTTAACCAAAAAACGAAACCAAAGACCCAGAAAAATGATAACCTAAGCGAAAGCGAAATGTTCCATAGAGTTCCGCAATTTATAATAATTATAAAATATACAAAAATTATGTAAACATTCTGAACACACGATATATAAGTTAACTAAGGACTAAGTGCACCCAAAAACCAAACCAACAATAGCAGATTGCAGATTGCAGATCGCAGCTCGCAGCTCGCCAGATCTCATGTCAATTTCGAATCGAGCGCGTCAGAGTGTTTCATTTGTTAGTCAAGTAAAAAATAAATTAAAAGTAAAAGTAAAAGTAACTTAAAGTAAAGTGAATAAAAATAGAGATTGTATTACCTACTTACCACTTAGTACATATCGTTTATACAAAATGTAAAGCGAGCAGATTGGGCCAGTATTGGCCTTATTGGCCCGGCCCATCATCTCCTCCAACCACCACACATTCAGAATTCAGACAATAGGACATTAAGCTGCAACAACGAATGAACAAATATAAACCAAATATAGATGGGATAAAACAACAGTGATGGGAAGTCTATATTATAAAATCTAGCTGGGTAAAAATCGATTTTAATATTTGATTTTTTAAAGATTTTCTAAATTTTGATTCATTTTTTTAAAATATATGAAAATGATCTCTGTAGATAAACACCAATTTCCTTACTTCAATCAGTATTCCTTAAGTAATTCCAATTTAATTTCAATATTCAAAATATGATGTATTTGAAATATCATAGAACTATCTTTACCAAAGTCTTCAAGTATTTTATTTATTTTTCCAAGTACTATATAGAGTACCTTTCCCATCACTGTTCCTGGTATTGAATTGAAACCTACATACAAAGATGAGTAACGGTAACGAGGACATCAATAAATTAAAATACAAAAATTAGCCACAAAATTACAATGTGACTTGGCAACTGCCCAGCAGACAAAGGGCGGACTTAGTGCGGTTGGATCCGAAAAATGTTCGCTAAAAATATGAAAATCAAACATAAAACGGACACGCAAACGGACGAATAGCGAGCAAGGATTATACCCGATAATGATGTCGTAAAAGGTCCGCAATCGAAATCTTATTTTGATTCCGAAAATTATAACATTTTCTGCCACAAAACCCTCGACAGGTGATTGACTTTATTATGGTTTATGAGCCTGAATCTCGGACCCCTAAAACTATCGTTTTCAATATCATAAAAGAACGTTTTTTGTCTGCTGGGTGATTCTTTCTTTCTGTCTTGTTCATATTGTGTGTGGCGGCAAGTGTAGAAAATAAACAATTGTTCTTTTAGCCAATTTGAATAGCAACAAAAAAGAGTACTATAAATCGAAAAAAGGCAGCAACCAAAAACCAAATATATTTCTAGAGCGATCATCGAACAAATACTTTCCACACCATGTATGTAGCTATAGTTAACCGAATTGTAAACCATAATACTTTTACGGCCACAAAGAACCATAAATAGGTATTTTACGTGTTTAAACTTTGTACTATACACACATTCAGACGGGCAAGCAGAGTCAAGAGAGTCAAGCGGAAGCTTTTATTCCATAAGTAAAATGATTATTATTATTATTATTATTATTACCACATTGTAACATCCTGGATAACCTTAGCCAGGAGGAGAAGTAGCCTTTGTACTTGTGTATTTCCCGAAAAAAAAAACCCACATACATGCGTAGCTAAATCAATGAAACAATTGTTAATTCTCACACGATTTATATATATATATATTGATATATATGTTAGGCAATAGTTGAGTTGCCAGCTAGCACCTTGCAAAATATACACCCAGCAGACAAAGAAACGGACCTTAAGCGGGGGTGGCTTCAAAAATGGTCCGCAAAACTATCGTTTTTAATATTGGAAACACAAGTTTTTGTCTGCTGGGTATACTTGAATTATTGTTAATGTTTACACGCCTCCCTCCTTTCTCGCTAAAACGTTTCGTTCCGTTTCTCTCTCTCTAGAAAATCTGTACTTCCAAGTTCGGATATATCCATCAGCGGCTTCTATTTTCGATTGATTTTTTGTTTTTTGTATACAAACAAATTATATAGCAGTTTTTAAAAGGCAAACAACTTTTTAGGCAACACACAGAACACAACGTATGCGAAATTAACTATGAAAATATGTAAACTTTGTAGCTTCCTAATTTAAATAAAGATTAATACCACAATTATTGATACGTACAATTCGAAACATTCATGGTTTTTCAGAGATTTAGTTCAATAATAAGTATGTTTGGTGAATGCGGATCAAGAATATAAGTTAGATCATATATATATATATACTCCCTAAGATATATGTATGTACATATATATATATATATCGGACAAGATCTTAATTAAACAACTCTATTTTAGGCTTAATTTCCAAAAACATGTTTACCAAAATGCAGGTGGCTAAAATAATAATAAACTTCTTCCATCCTGAGAAAAAGATCCAGAGATATATATTTAATTATACGGAAATCGGAAGACCGGAAGAATTTCGTGTAAAATTCTATTCTAGAATTTTGGAATTCTGTACTAATTTCAAGGGGTTATATATTATATATATATTTAAATTTTATATTTATATTTATATTTTATATTTATTTTAATTTATTTAAATTCCAGCTGATGTGTACGTATGGTTAACAGAATTATAAAACAAAATAAATATAAATAAAAGGAAGGTAGCTTTGTCAAGCCAAAGTTTAAATACCCTTACAGTAAGTAATTAAACATTTTTATATTTTTTAATACTTTTTTTAAGGAACCTAATTTATTATTTTAAAGTAGATTTTAAGGAATATATATATATATATATATATATATGTTTTTTAAGAAATATTAGACCGATTTAGATAGATAGAATTAAAATCGAAATTCTAGACTAATTAAATATTATGAAAATAAAGTTTAGGAAAATGTGTTTAAAATCGGAAAAGTTATTATAAGTTATTTAAAAATTTCCGGAATGTTCCTATGATAGCTTTTAGATATAGTAGACCGATTTTTATAAAATTATTTTATTTATTTTATTAAATTAAAACCAAAATTATAGACCTATAAATATTGCTGTATCTCAAAGTATATACAAAAATGTTGAAAAACGTCAAAGTTCTACATTTTTTCCTACAAATTTTCCGAATTTTTGCTATGCTATCTATAATATATAGTTTTTCAATTTTCATAAAATTAAAATCTATATTTAAAAACTAGTAAATTATGGGCATATCTCAAAATTTAAGAAAATGTGTTAAAAATTTGCAAAGTTATAAATTTTTTTAGAATTTATAAATATAATATAATATAATAAATAAAATATAAAACCCTGGCAGGGTATAATCACCATTAAAATTAAAAAAATAAAATATGACGACGTCAAAATACCCTTTTCAGGATATTTAAAATGAAGACCCTTGAAATCGAAAAAGTAATACTGGTGTTTTGTATCCCATATTCCCCCCCAAAGAAATAATCAAATAGTCAACGCTTTCATTTTGTGTGTGTTTTGGAAGCACTTAAGTAGATATTTCTTTTGTTTAATCATTTAATTTGTAAATTATTTACACTTTTTCTCGCGGCGTTTCATTTTTTTAGCGTGGTGAGCCGATAAAAGCACATAATAATTGCACATATAAACATACATTTTCATATATTTAATAGTAATCATTTCGTTTGTCAAGATCAAAAAGCGCCGATTTGGTTTGGGAATATGCATATATGTATGTATATACAATTATTATATGCTAAGAGTGCCTGGCGGGTGGGGAAGATGGTTGCTTTGGGGGATGTGGATGGATGGGCTTGGTGTTAGCATTTTGGCTTACAATTAAAATTCAGTACGAGTCTAAAAGCTACGGCCGATGTGTGTAAGTGTGTGTGTGTGTGTGGGGGGGGGGGGGTTGGAGTATGTTTCCTGCAGTACCAGAATTCCTTAAGGAACTTCCTAAGGAATTCCTCGGGAAACTTCCAAAAATCCCCGGGAATTCCTTTCGAAATTGCTTAAATCCTTGGGAATTCCTCATGAATTCCAGAGGTCTGGTACTGCAGGTGGTGATGGGGGGAGGAGTATGTTTAATATAAACACCTGGAAAGGTGCGCGTGTGTGTGTGTTTGTGCTGAGAGTCTGTCCTTAAGCCTAAGTGGTTCTTGCTATTTATTGTTGTTGTTGTTGTTGCGTGCTCTCTCTCTCTCTCTATCTCTCTCTAGTCCGTGTGTATTTTTTTTTTCTAGTCCGGCAAATCAATGCTAACAAAGGGCACCACCGGCTTGAGGATATCATTCTTGGCCGCCTTTTTCGACTTCTTGTCATGCCTCCCAAACTCATGCAGCTGCTCACTGCCCCCCGTCCCCGTGCTCGTTGACGATGAGGTGGCATCCAGCGGCACCGATTGCCCAGCATTGCTAATATCCTCGGCATGATAGCTTATGTTGCCGTACTCCTGCAGGAAGGGCATGGCCGACAAAAGGAACTGGCTAAAGGATTTGCGTATGCCAAACCACCACATATTGCCACCCTTGGCCGTAAAGCTGAGTATAATCAGCGCCAGAATGGACACCAGCAGCGGGGAGAATACCACAACATAGGGGAATTTCAGCTCACCATCCAGCTTGTCACAGATGACCACCTGGCCCCAGAGAGGTTTCGGGTTGAGAGATCTGATGCCATAAAAATGGGACTCTTAGGACACACTCACCTGGAAGCAGAGCAGCGGCAGCACCGTGCATATATTGCCCACAGCCGCATTCAAGGCCGCCTTCTTCTGCTGCAGCGACACCTCCGGCGTTCGCATCATGATCCCACAAAAGATAATATTGTACAGAACGCTGACCAGGCTCAGGCAAATCACAATCCACATGGGCACAAACACCACATCCCAGTTCCAATACACAAACCGATCCAGTTTCAAGGGCAGCGACACAAACTGCAATGCATTGACGGCCAGAAAGAGCTCCAGCTCAAAGGAGCGATCATGCTTGACGGCCCAGACGCAGGCGCCAACGCTAACCACCGAACCAAAGATCAGCGGTATGAAGACCAGCACCCAGAGATGACGATCCGAGGTGAGCTTATCGCAGGCCAGCAGCTCGAACATTAGCAGGATGAGATGCAAAGCCAGCGATATGAGCATGGCCTTGAACTGTGTATAGGCATCGCCCTCGAGGCGATAGTGGGGATAGCGGCACCAGACAATGGCGCCCACAATGGCCCCCAAAATGGCGGTGCTCTTCCATATCCAGAGCGGTGTAAAAATGGCCCAAAAAGGCCAATCTGCAGGGGGGAGAATGGATTGGGAGAGTGGATTTGGTTAGCAGGAGGCAGAAATCCACACTACTACTCACCAATATAGTTGTCCAGGCGCAGGGCAAAGAGCGTGACAAAGGCAAACAGGCTGCAGTGCACGATGAACTTGCTGCAGGAAAATGAAAACATCGCGAATTCAAGATTAGGAAAGGCTTCCCTCTCAGAGATCCGTTCCAAAGAGATTCTCACCAGGGATTGAAGTCGCGGAACAGCGATTCTAGGTTCATATTGCTGATGCCAGCATAGGAGGGATTATATAGGCTGGACACGGGAGACCGTAACTGGACACTAGTTGCTCATGCTCTTCCAGCGCACACACTGCATCCACTCGTAGTCCCCACCTCCTCCTCCTCCGTCGCACGGACTGTCTATGGGTTGGGACAAAGAACTAACTCCCCGCCAACGGGAGCCGGATCTGCTGCGTTGCCTGCCTTGTATTTGTTTCCTTTTCCTTTTCAGCTTCTCCTCTTTCTTTACGTTATTTACACACTTCTTCCACTGGCATAGTCTTCGTGTTGTCTTGTTGTGCTCCGTTTCGATAACACTGACAGCGATACCGATGACTGTCCGATAGGTGGCAACACTAGCGGGGGTGCTGTCAGTGTTGGCGAGTTTTTGTAAGCCAAACTAAACGAAATTGTTTTTCCTGGTAATATTTAACATTATTGTATGCTTTTAAATAATTTCCATGCATTTTTTTTTAAATTAATTAAAAAATTAGTTTGCTTGGTTTTAGCTATTTTTAGCTATAACGGATTCTAGCTAAAACTTGACCAACACTGGCAGCGTCATGGTGTTCGACGAGGAGGAGGAGCAACAGAAGGGGGAAAAGGATCTTGATCAGATCCAGGAATCCGACTGCTGTGGCAATGGCTGCACCAACTGCATCCTGGACAACAAGCCCCAGCCGAGCAAGCGCATCCTGCTGGCCGGCAAGCGGAACATTCTCTTGACTTACACGAAATTCCGTTTAATTGAGAAGGCAACCCACCAAACCGATGACCAGGTGCTGCTCCTCCACTTTGCAGATGCTGGCGACGACGTCGCCGAGGACACCGTGCTGGACATTCCGCCCGGTCACCATGTAATGCTGCGTATGGGCTCCCTGCTGCGTCCCTACTCCCCCTACTGGAGCGATTTCCGGCGGCGAGAGTTTCGGATTCTGGTGAAACTGCAGCCGGGTGGACCCATGTCCCGGCACTTGGCTGCCGTGCAGCCCAACGATTTGCTCGAGTTCCGTGGTCCCATTGGGAACTATACCAATGACCCCAGCCTGACCAAGTGCATCTTTATCGTGGCCCAAGGTGTGGCCATTGCACCCACAATGCCGCTAGTTCGGGACGTGCTGGAGAACGAGGAGGACATGAGTCGCATCTGGCACTTGGTATGCGCCCGGGATCTGGAGCATGTCTTTTTCCGCGAGAAGCTGCTGGAATTTGGCCACAGCTGGAACTACAGGTGCTGTCTCTATCTGCCCCACCAACAGTGTGATTCCCCCGGCTGCCAGGAGGCGGGTCACTGCGTTGCAGAGTGCCAGGAACTCAGACGGAGTCTACGCTACAAGGAGGTGGCCAAGGTTGCCCGATTGGATGCCATCGAGTTAGCCAGTCACATGAATCCCAGTATTCCTGGACAGCGAACCCTCATTGTGGCAGGAGATTCAACCTTCCAAAAGGCTATACAGGAAGTGGCAGCCACTGCCTTGGCCATAGATCCTGCCCATGTTTATTTGCTGTGATTTCCAAGGACCCTAAAGTCATGGAAGTCAAGCAAAACTCTTGGCTTTAAGTTTAAATTTAGGAAATTTGTAAATAAAAACTAATTACTTTTTATAAAAAAAAATATATATGGAAATACTAAATATTTGGGATCTCTGGAATTTGGTTACAGATTGGTCTTTGGCCAGGCGGCCGCTGCATTGATCAGCTCGGCGTCTGATTTCTCCGGCACTGGAGGCAGGGTTGACGGTGGTGGCATCAACTGTGCATATTTGGCCAGGTACGGGGTCAGCAGCTCCATGGGCAGTGGGAACACAATGGTGGAGTTCTTCTCCGCCGAAATGCTGCTCAGGGTTTGCAGGTAGCGCAGCTGAAAGGAAAAACTTGCTTATAACTCAACGAAAGCCTTTCCCTCGAGGATAGACCTACCTGCAAAGCCGAGGGGCTGGAGGATATCACATCGGAGGCCTCCTTTAGGGCGGTGGCAGACTTCTTCTCACCCTCGGCGGCAATCACCTTGGCACGAGCATCACGGGCAGCCTCGGCCTCGGCGGCCATGGCTCGCTGCATGGACACTGGCAGGGAAACGTCCTTGCTGGAAGTGGGGGATTAAGAGATTCCCAAAATGCATAGAAACAAAACAACTCACATCTCCACACGCTCCACCATAACGCCCCAGGGCTCGGTGGCCTCATCCAGAGTGGCCTGCATGTGATGGGCAAGGATTTCCCTTTCGGTAAGCAACTCCGAGAGATTCCGTGTGCCCACAATATTCCTTAGCGTGGTGGCCGCCAGCAGGCGGGTGGATAGGCTATAGTCCTCCACTTGGATCACCGCATAGAGGGGATCACTGATGCGATAGTAGACCACCGCATCTACAGTCACCGTCACCGAATCCTTGGTCAACATCTCCTGTTGCGGCACATTAAAGGTGACTGTGCGTAAATCCACCTTGCGGTATTCGTCGATGCAGGGCAGGATGAAGAACATGCCAGGGCCACGGGCTCCACCACTTAACCTGCCCAATCGGAAGATGATCGCCCGCTCGTACTCCGCCACCACCTTGAAGCAGATGAAAATGGAGATGGGCGAGGTGATGATGAAGACCAGCACGGAGAGGATGGTCACCAGCCATTCCATGCAGCCGCGGGGTTCGTTTTCAGCTGGAAATGAAAGGGATATATGCATAGAGATCAAGAGGATATATGTTTAATATCGGTAAAGAATTTTTATATAAATATATACACGAGATAAAGCCTCCTTTTGGAGTTTGTACAAGCTGCACTGGGAGAAAACCATGGGGCAAAGTAACATAAAATTGTTACAAAAATAAAATTCAGATTGCCCAAGATTGGAGACGATCGATAAGATTGGTTCAATCTCCCTGTCTTTTCAAGTATATCCGGCACAAGGTAATTTCGTAATTCCGGGAAGTCGGCCCTACTTGAGCCAACTTATCTTTCATTCATTGAGAAATATAGTTAGGTGACAGAGGGGTTACCAGAAAGAGGAGAGGAATGAGGAGTATTTATTTTAATTAATAAAATTAAATTAAAATCAATTGATTCTCTATTTTTATTATGATTTAAAATTGGTTGAAAGATGAAATTTACTTAAATAAAAATATTTAAATGTAAAATTAAATTATTAAATTTATTTAATTTAAATTTAAATTAAATTATTAAATTTATTTAATTATTAAATTTAAATTTAAATATTTGTATTCAAATAAATTTCAACTTTGAACCAATTTTAAATAATGTTACAAATAAGGAATCAATTTTAATTTTAATTTTTTAATTATTAAATTTATTTAATTTAAATTTATTTAATAAAAAATACAAAATAATTATACCGTATATAAACCAAACAAAATCTTATCTTGTTTGATAATAAATGTCATTCCTACTCGTTTACTTGTTCAGTTCATTAGACCTTAATAATCCATTATTTGAGTTTTTATCAATTATTTGTTCGAAATGTATTTACCTTTTTAACCCTTTTTATCGCCCCGATAAGGCTGTTATTGATTTACGATATTGCATGTCTGAAATATTGCCAAAAAAAAAAAAAGAAAAGAAGAACTCTCTCACGCGGTCACTACAGAGTTGCTCACACCTTTTGTTTGACCCTAATCTTATCTAAAGCTGCGATTCCTAAGAAATTCGCTTGAAATGTGTATCGATTTCAACTGATAAAGGCTCTAAAAATGAATACAGTTCATATAAAGTATTAAAAGCTTTTTAAAATTAGCAGCTGCTGTTTAAGAGTTCATTAAACAACTCATGTTTGCATTTTTGTAATTTTTAAATAATTTAAAATTAGATTTAGATTGTGAACAGAACAGAATCTTATCTCTTGGGGATTTATTTATATACCTTTTATCTGTCTATGATATCTCTTATGAATGTTTATAATTAGAATCATTTAAAGCCACCTTGTATAAATATTATATTAAATATAAATACCTACATGTCTTAAAGCCACGATACTGCTGATTGAGTCCAGATCGCTTGCGCTGTTGCGGCTGCTCGGTTGCCACTGCTCCCGGACCCATGTTGATCATGTAGGCCGTCGAGCTGGTGGGACCAGAGTTGCGCATGTCCTCGTAGTTGGCATAAACCGGCGAATCCTGTTGCTGCGACTGCGACTCCATGCTGTTCGCTCTCGTTCTAGTTCTCCTCCGTTCAGCGAAGCAATCGAAACTGTCGCCGGTTGAGCTGCAAAAGCCCATTTGCCCAAGGGGAAAAAAGCGCAAACATGCGATAAGACCCAAGCTGCAAGCCCACACACAGCCAGAACCGTTGGGTTCTCAGAGATAGCGGATATCAAGCTTTCAAGCGAGCATTGAGAAAAAAATATTTATAATATCAAAGGGTATTATTTGGCTCAATTAAGGATTACTTTTTATAGGAAGGATATTAAATAATTTATTTTTAATGCCATTTTTAATTGAATTTCATAATTTATTAGTTTATTAATTATTTTAATTTTTTCATTCAGTGTATTTATCTGGGGAAATACAAAAATTCCAACAAAGAGCAGCTCTGTAGATCGCAAATTTAATGCTAGTGATTCACCACTTTTGCTCTCAGTGGGTTTATACAAACGTCTATCATTGCTAAAAACTCGCTCGCAATTTCATAATTATTGTAATCAATTTATAATATTAACAAGGCAGAATTTTAACTTCGGGAAGCCGAAGTTTGCATCAGGAGACCGAATATCTCAATTTACCATAACTTGGCCAAAAATGCATTAATTTCAATTCGGAAAGTGGTGTTATGTTAGTTTTTATTAGCTTAACTAAACTGCATACTAAATTTAACATATAAAAAAATTTTCAAATTTTCAAATTTTTAAAAATTTTAACGATGTAACCCCTTACAAAAGTTTTAAAAAAATTAAAAAATTTTTTTTTCTTTAAAACATGTCTAGATTGACTCGGCTATTGATGCTGATCAATAATATATATGATTTATAGGCTTAGAAATGACTCCTTCACCGAGTTTCAAGCTTTTGACTGAAATAATAATAACCTGCAAAAGGCTATATCAGAGGGTAAAGACACGTCTAGACGTTGGGAAAGTCAAGAGCCGAGATGAGTCACATTGAGACACTGAGGCTAAAGTCATATTTAATATAATATTATCTGCTGCTATAGGTGTTATGCAAATTTAAACTGCAGCTCTAATAATACGAGTTTTTTTTTTACCTCGACTAATAGAGCGTGTTTATTTTTTAATGCCTCTGTCAGCTGCTCTCCAAAGAGTGTAATATTTTTGTAAATATTAACTTAGTAACTCTTAAGTGGCATTTTCTATTTTTAAAAAATAAATAAAATTGTTTCCTGGAAGAAATCTATTTTAAAAAAATAAATAAAATTGTTTCCGGGAAGAAATCTATTTTTAAAAACTAAATAAAATTGTTTCCTGGAAGAAATCTATTTTTAAAAAATAAATAACATTTTTTATGATCACACTTTGGGTCATATAGCCAAAAATGTCATTTATATTTATTAAAAAAAATGTTTTCTACGTATTTCAGGTATTTAAATGTTATTTTTAAATTTTTTACGATTTAAAACTAACGTCTCTGGCCTAAAACTAAAAAGAAAAATTATTTTTTACAACAATAAATGACAACAAAAACAAGAAAAGATGGCTAACTTGCATTAATACCCTTGCAGGGTAGTAAAATTAGCTAGTTTTATATAAATAAATAAAATTATGTTAATTTACTTTAAAATTTGAAATTAAAATGTAAATAATTATTAGAAAGAGCATACATTTCCTATCAGAAACCTTATATAAAGACCTTCTGCAAGGGCATTGATACGAACACACTGATGAATCATTTTCCGGGGATTTCCCCCGCAATTTCCGCTGAACTGCCGCTGCTGCCGCCGTTGCTCCGCTACAGCAGATAGCCAACGATGTCATCATCATCGTCATCTGGCACTGGCACTGCATCTGCGCCGACCATCAGCTGCCGGCGCTGGCGCCGCAGCTCGCAGCGATGCAGTGCCTCCAGATATGGCTGCAGCACCGACATCGAGCGTCACTGATGGTGCTGATGCTGGTGCCGGTGGAGTGGCGTGCCAGGCGCCACATGTTGCTGGTGTTGATGTTGCTGCTGCTGCTGTTGCTGCTGTTGTTGCTGCTGATGTTGCAGCTGCAACTGCTGCGAGTGGGCGTGGGAGTTGAGGAAGGGCGTGAGCAGCTCCATGGGCAGCGGAAAGATAATAGTTGAGTTCTTCTCGGTGGAAATGCTGCTCAGAGTTTGCAGATATCGCAACTGTGGGGAGCAGAAAAAATATTAATTTTATTTTATTTTATTTATAAATCTAAAAAAATATATTTAAAAAAAAAATGTATTTTTCTTTTATTTAGAAATCTAAAAAAATATTTAAAATAAATATTTAAAATGAAATTATTTCTAAAAATAGAATAAATAAAAATTCTTAAATCTATAAAAATAAAATATTTAAAATAAATATTATTTTTATTTTATTTATAAATCTAAAAAAATATATATTTAAAATAAATTTATAAATCTAAAAAAATATAATAATTTAAAATAAATATTATTCTTATTTTATTTAAAAATCTAAAAAAAAAATTATTTAAAATAAATATTACTTTTCAAAATAAAATAAAATAAAATAAAATTAAATAAAATAAAATAAATAATACAAATTAATAAAAATTCTTAAATCTATAAAAATAAAATATTTAAAATAAATATTACTTTTATCTTTTTTATAAATCTAAAAAAAATTATTAAAATAAAATTCTTAACTCACCTGCAGGGCGGAAGGACTGGCTGAAATGATCTCGGAGGCTTCTCTAAGGGCTCGAGAGGATTTCATCTCACCCTCGGCGGCAATGACTTTGGCACGCGCCTCCCTCGCCGCCTCCGCCTCGGCGGCCATGGCCCGCTGCAGGGCAGTGGGCAGAGAGACGTCCTTGCTGCGAGAGAGACAAAGATTACAGAGAAAGCAACCAAGAGAATCAAGCGAAACTCCAACTCACATCTCCACACGTTCCACCTTGACGCCCCAGGGATCGGTGGCCTCGTCCAGGGACATCTGCATGGTGTGCGATATGGTCTCGCGTTCGGTGAGCAATTCGGAGAGATTCCTGGTGCCCAGGACATTGCGCAATGTGGTGGCCGCCAGTAAACTGGTCGAATGGCTATAGTTGTACACCTGAATGACAGCCTTGAGGGGATCACTGATGCGATAATAGACCACCGCGTCCACAGTAACCGTCACCGAGTCCTTGGAGAGCACCTCCTGCGGCGGCACATCGAAGGAGACTGTGCGCAGGTCCACCGGATAATAGTCATCTACGCAGGGCAAGACAAAAAATACGCCAGGACCACGGGCTCCGCCGCTGCGCAGTCGTCCCATACGGAAGATCACCGCTCGCTCGTACTCGGAGACGACCTTGAAGCAGATGAAGACCGAGATTGGGAAGGTAAGAACCATGATCAGCACAGAGACCACCGTGGCCAGGATCTCCACGCAGCCCATGTCATCGTTTTCAGCTGCAAAAATAAATCAATTTGAATAATTATGATCATTATTATAATAATATGATATATGTTTATTATTTTCCCTGTTTCCCTGAATTTTACATCATTTTTTTCTGTGTAAAAATGGAAAGGGATCCTCGTTGCTCGCTTCGTCGATTGTTTATCCGCGAATTTCACAAGCAATTGAAAGGCAATCGAAGGCAACATCTGGCATATAGACTCCGGAGGCGAATATAATATATACATATATATGTACATATCCCGCCTGGCACGCTCCGCCTGTCCGTCCCAGGCACTTGGGATTCCGTTTCGGATTCCCGCCTTCAACTGGAGCACTTGTTGCTATTTGAAATTAAATTCAAATGAAATTCACTTCCGTTCGTTGATTTAATTTGAGAATTTCTGGGTAATCAAATGTGGATTATATAGCAAACAAGTGGAAATTGTGATTGATATTTTGATAACATAAAGGTAATCTGTGAGATATATGTGTATATTATATATATATATTATTTCTTAGCAGGTGCGAGGATTTTTAATAGACAATTTATGGGAAATTTGATAATACTCTTTGGAGTTATTGGGTAATATTGGGTTAATAAGGTTACCTAGAGCATAATTAGGTGTTATTTATATTTAAAACAGTTATTCAATTAAATTCTAAAACTATTAAATTTGATTTAAAAATAATAATAATAATATATTTTATAGAGTTATTATTTCTTAGTCTAGGGTAGAATAATAATTATTTTTATTTTATTTTATTATTTAATTTATTTTCTTATTATTATTTATCATTTATTTTTTATTTATTTATGGGTAAAGTATATATATTTTATTATATTCCATTACCTTTTAGTCTTGGGTTAAACTTTTCTTTTTTTTTATAAAAAATAGTCTATAATCTATCATATTAATTATTCATTTATTTTATTTTTAAATAATAATTTTTATTTGTTTTATTTTTAATGGGTAATTAATTTATTATTATATTTTATTTATTATTTATTTATATTTATTTTTATATTTTATTTATTATTTATTTATATTTATTTTTATATTTTATTTATTATTTATTTATATTTATTTTTATATTCAATTTATTATTTATTTTTATATTTTATTTACTATTTATTTATATTTATTTTTATATTTTATTTATTATTTATTTTTCATTTCCTTATATGTTTAAAGTTATTTCACACCTAAACTAAACATTATGTATAGAAAGCTATATGTTAGTAATAAAACCAGATTGTTGAATTTCAAAAGTCATTGACCTAACAATTTTCGTTTATAATTTGTTATTTTTCGTAACATTTTTTAGTCAGTTCTTGTTGTATATATATTGTGTTTGTTTGTTTATCCCGATTGGTATTATGAAAAGTAGTTTCTGGGGCATGGCGTTCGTTCCTCCAATTGCCCCAAGCATATTCCATGGCAATTAATTTGTACAAATTGCTTTTGATCTGGTACGAAATGTACTAGAGAGAATTCCATAAATACCCAGAGGGAATGCTATGGATTTCTTTAGTTCAAAATATTTTTTTTATATATATTTCTTGTTTTTTTTTTTTGTATGCTCGACTAGTTTTGTTTATGGGTAGAGACCTCGTTCGTGAATATGATCTCTGAGAATTGTTTAGCTTATCCCTTACTGCCTGGGACTATTTATTCCCATGTTTACGTACGACTGAGTATGTATTTTGCCATCCTCCTCTGTTTACCTACTGGCTGGTTTCGACAATACGATTTATATCACGGATACAGGTCGGTTCATCTGTGCAGATCTGTGCCTGGAGATGGTATCTGGCATGCCCGATAATCGCTATTTATTTTCACATGTCGGCGCACAGTTTATATTGCATACTTCATAGGTGGTCGCCTACGATCGATACGATTCAATATGCTGCTGCTGGGGTCCATTCAGTTCGAGATTCGGTTCAATGGCATTGATTTATTGCCCACCTCGCGCGGTGTTTATGATTTAATATCGCATCAATTTCACATTCCCCCCTTTCATTTATAAATTATGAATTATTCTGGGGCACATGGAGGTCTTGGCGGAGCCTGTATGTATGTATGTATGTATGTGAGGTCATGTGGAAAAACTATTTGTATCTGGCAGTCAATGTGCGTGTAGTTTTATGAGCTAATCAAAGCGCCGAGCGAATGTTTTTGTTAAATGTTTGTATGTGCAACTGGAAATCCGGCCCAGAAATAGAGGTATCTTTACTTATTACCAAAAATATTCGAGATTACTAGGACAAAGAATAATATTTAGAGTTGGAAAAAGGGATAACAATTATATGGGTTAAAGAAAAATATTATGGATTCCAAATTACTTATCAAAATATATAGAAAAACTCACAATAATTTCAGATTTTTAAGGGAAGCTAGATTAATATTAAATAATAATATAAAATAAATTAAAAATGTATTCGATTTTTAAAGTTAATGAGAACTTGAAATCCTTCAATTAAAAATTTTTACTTATTTTTAAAAATAAAATTTTGGCATTAATTAAATATCAATATATATTTTAAGCAATATTTTAAGTATATAATATTTTTAAATATTATAAATTAGTTATATAATATTTTAAAAATATTATATATTAATTATATAATATTTAAAAATATTATTTGATTATTTACTTTAATGTTTAAAAATATTATTTGATTATTTACTTTAATGTTTAATGTTAAAAAAAAACTTTTAAATATTTTACAACTTCTACAACATCCCTAGTATATTTTTAGATTAATTATTTATATTTTTATATATTTTAAAACACAACTTATCATTGGTTTTTCTTACTTTCAAGAAACCAAAAATATTTATAACAACAAAACAAATAAAAAAATACAAAAAAAATATTTTTCCACAAGATATTTCTAAATATTTATAATTTCTTCATCTCCGTGAGTATCTATATCCTTAATAACCCTTATCCCTTCGATTGCTTACAGGTCTTTAGTCCCTGATAGGGCAGTGACGTGGCTGGTGGTATATGAACCGAATGCTGATGCTGCGGTGTCAGCGGAAATGTCTCCGTCGAGGAGGAGGCCTGGACATTTCCCGAGCCCGAACCCGATCCCGGCGAGCCGACATTCAGACGCGAACGATGCTGGTGCGGCGAGGCTGGATGCATGGTCTTCCAGGACAAGATACCGTTACCGATCAGATGAGATTTCAAAAACCCACGGCGGATCGATCGATAGAACTGCCCGCGTCCAGCGCACGTTTTCGAATGAGCGCCTCCCGAACGGAGAAGCTGAGAAGAAAATTTGGAAACCAGCGAGCGGCGTTCCAACAATGGAATACCATTCCATAATAGACACAGACGTCTGAGGCATTTTAAAATAAATTAAATCTTAATATGTATTAAAATTTAATTAAATTAAAAATAAAATGAATGCTTAGGCTTAGTAAATTGACTGAAACTAATCAAGTTTAAATTGGAATTTTTATTTTAAATTAAATAATTAAAAAAAATTATAATAAAAAAAAATATAAAAAAATATAAAAATAAAATAAAAAGAAAAATAAATTCATTAAAACAAATAATAATAAATAAATTTATTAAAAAAAAAAATAATAATAATAAATAAAATAAATAAATTCATTTAAACAAATAATAATATAAAATAAAAAATAAAAATTAAATAATGAATAAAAAATAAATTACAGATAAATAAATAAAAAATTAAAAATTTCATAAAAAATAAATAAATTCATAAATAAATAAATAAATTTACATTTTTACAGGGTACTCTTACACAGTCTACCCTAATATACCATTAATTTAATGGACATGATAAACTGCATCCTAGGCACACAATCCCATAACCAAAATCTTTTTCTTTTTTCTCTCCCAAATTTTCCAAATTTTAACTTTACACAAACACACGCACTAGGTCGCGCATCGTTTTGTTGTTGATTTAGTTTTTGTTTAAATTATTGAAACGAACTACGAACAACTTCGGCGATGCAGATCATTTATAAGGCACTTCATTGAGAGAGGCGAGCGATGCAGTAGGCACTACTTGGTTTATTTTGCTCCACTTACAGGGTGAGAGTGGGAGTGGTAGCGAGGTGAGATATGGTTAGCACACATATCGAAGAGGATGGGGGGACACGCCATCATCAGGCCCCGTGTTGTTGCTCATTTGTCTAAATCAAGCATGGAGAAGCAGGCGCTGGTGATCTGTTATCGCCAAAGGTCACAGGCGGCGGCTAAGGCGGAGGAGTAGCAGGAAATCTTAACAATTGCTTATTTCTCCATATTCCGGGAACACAAATCACCGCGGGGATCAGGCTCCGGGGAGTGTATCTGGTGGGTATCCATCTCTGGCCGCACATAAAGCATAAATTCTGACATTAATGGGTAAACCAAAAGATTTACTACCAACAATTTAAATACACACGGCAGTCTATCATTATTTATGAGCGATTTCGAAGAGAACTTAAACTTAACTTTTAAATTTTTTAATAAATTTTAAATATTTTATAATATATAAATAAAAATAAATATTATTTATATAATTTATTATTGTTAAAACAATATAAAAATATTTTAAATTTATTCAAGTATAATACATTTTAAATTTGTTAAATTATTTAGACAATCTAATAATACTTTAAATTTATTAAAATATATTATTATATATTATTTATATTTTTAATTACAATATTATTGCTAACACATTATTAAAATATTTTAAATTTACTAAAATATTATAAATTTGAATTTTATTAAATTATTATGACAATAATAAAGAAATAAAAAATATTTTATATTAATTTTAAATGTTTTAAAATAAAATAAATTTAAAATTAAATGAATATTTATATTTTTATTATATTTAAAATAATTTTAAGCAATAATATTGTAATAAAAAATATAAATAAATAAATTGAAAATATTTATATGCCTTAGAAAAAATACTGCCTTAAAAATAATAATTATTATAAATATTATTTATATCATTTATTACAATATTCAGCTAAGACAATATTCAAATATTTTAAATTATTAAAATATAATAAATTTAATATTTATTAAAATATTAAGACAATTTAAAATTTTTTTTATACATTTTAAAAATATTTTAATACATTTTTAAAATATTTTAATACATTCTCAATAACTCAACAAATTTCAAATTTATTAAATCATAAACATATTTAATAATTTGTAAATATTTTAATATTTTCTTAGCAATAATATTGCCTTAAAAATTATAAAATAAATAAAATAAAAATCAAATTAAATCCTTAATGAACCCAAAACAAAAGACTTATTTTGGATGCTGGGTTTTCCACTTAAAAAAAAATTACCTTGAATTCTTCACAAGCGATAAGCTTTGCTGGCAAAGATGATTAAATTAAAGTACATCTTCTGCCTAATCAGCGATATGAAATTCAAGCTGAAAGCGTAAATAAGACCAATGTTCTTGCGAAAAGCAAGTACCTATATATTTCTGTTGAAATAAACACAAAACACCATAGCACGGTTCGCTTGAAATTTGATTTGACTGCCTTTCGCTTTATTGTAATTGTTACATTTGATAACAACAAAAAATATATGTATATACTAAATATATTATATATCGTAATGCAATAAATTTTGCTTGTTTCAGGCCGATTGCTTGTGAGTTGAGTTGTGTTTTTGTTTTGGTTTCTGCTGCTGCTTTGTTTTTTTTTTTTTTTTTTTTTTTGAGTTAAGTAAATGCGTGGAATTCATCTCGAAAGAAAGTCCTGTCGCCTTGGAGTTGTAGCAGAGAGTGTATACATATATATAGATGCTTCGTAAGGCACTTTTCGGTTAATGTTAAGATCCTAGACTGAATGAGTGATTGCTAATTGCGCTTGATGGATGATAGTTCGATACAATTTGGTCGCAGCTTCCAATATACAATATACAATAGCTGGTGTATATTAATGCAATAGTCTCTTTCTGAGCAGATACATATACAAATGTATGTCTGCGCTCTCTTATCGGTAAGAAATGCTTAAAACGTACGCACACAAAAAAAATTAAAATAAAATTCTTGACATCTCAATTTTTGCTTTTTAAAATCAGTTTCACTTTCAATTTGGCCGCTTGGAGAGGGGGGATTCCCCCCCAGCCACGCTACAATTTAGCCGAATATTATCCTCGTTTCGTTTCTCCTTTTTTAATTGACTGAGCAATATCCTAGTTCTCCTCTCACTCTCACTCTTTCGTGCGTCCCATCAAGAGATCTTGCATCTTTGATGCAAGCATCAAGTCAACGTACAACTTTAACAACTAATTATCAGATGGCTGAAACTCCTCGCAGGGGGTTAACAAATTCGTGGCATTGCTGGCGCAGAAGAGGAGCCGCCGGCGCTGCTCTTGCCTGTCTGACTTCGCCTTCGTCAGTCGTTGTACATGCCGTCCACCAGGAAGTCCATGCGACGATAGTGCCGGGTACTCCACATGTCACGGAAGCGGCGATACATGATGGTCCCCACGCCAATGGCCAGGGGTACTGTCAGCAGCACCGTCACAATTGGCACCACGTAGCTGGTGTCGCCGCGATCAGCTAGGGTTCCGGTTAATTCCTGCACCTGGGGCACCACCATTGGCTCGGCTAGAGTGGAGACGGGCTTGGGCAATGGCGGCTTGTCACCGGGCTTTCCCTTCTCCTGTTCCTGTTCCTTCTCCCACTCGCCGTGAGTGCCCATGCTGAAGACCACAGGTGGCTTAGTGGGCTTTGCGGTTGTCTTAATGGTGGTCTTGGAAGTGGAAGTCGTGGTGCTGGTGCTGCCTGAGTGGGTGGTTGCATTGTTCGCCTTGGTGACATCCTTCATTGATTGGCCCTCCGACACAATGGCTGATCCGGCAGTCGGTTTGGCCGCCGTCGCGGGTTTGGTGACCGTTGGAGAGTTTTCGATTGCTTTTGGCTTGGAGGAAGATGCTGTTGATGCTGGGGCTGCTGCTGCAGCAGGTGTGCTGGCCTTCGTCTCCACTGCGGCAGGCTTGGGAGTCGAGGCAGCTACTGGGGCGTTTCCTGCGGCCTTGGGGGTGTCCGTATCCGTGCGCTTCCTGTTCTTCCCCACATTCTCCGGCGCTGGCGAGGTCTTAGTGGCTTCCTTGGGCTGCTGCTGCTCAACTTGGGTAGCCTTGGGCGGCGATTGGTTGTTGTTGGTCTGAGCCTTATCTGCAGGCGCTCCTGCTGCTATGGGAGTTCCTGTTGCGCCAGCAGCAGGCGAAGTGGCATTTCCCAATGTCGCAACAGTGCCATTGCCAGCAATGGGAGCCTTGGGGGCCGAGGCAACCGGTGGATCCTGGTCGGCGACTACCAGGAGCAGGCCGCACAGCAGCCAGAGCAATGGAAGCAGCTTCATTGTCTGTTGATTTGACCCAAAATCACAAATGGCAATTCGCAATTCTGATTCTTGAGTTGCTTTTTTTCCAGTGTGACCGTTGTTTGCCCGTTCGAAAAAACCTCTGTACGTATGGTCACTCTATGGCATCGATGCCGGTGGATGCACTTGAAAAAATAAATTATATTTCAAGAGAATTAAAAAAATAAAAATTAAAAAAATATTTTTAACTTTGACTATTAAGAATCAATCAGCGTTTGAAAAACTACGCTACTCCCGTAGTATTTCGTTTTGCTATTGCTACAGCTCTCGCTTTGACGAGAGCCGTAGCAGAGCCGTAGCAGAAGATCGGCAAAGCCTATGCTCTGCTCTGCTCGTAGTTTTCTCGGATCAAAAATTACGCTATAGCTATAGCAAAAAATTCAAAGCAGTTGCTCTGCGTAGCCGTAGCAAAAAATTGGGAGCGAGATGAGAGCAGAGCAAAAGGAGTTTCGTCATATGCTACCTGCTGTCGCTGCAGCAGAAAACAAAAACAAAACACAGGAGGACAGAAGGAGAGAGAAACAGGGGCACGCGACAGCAGGTAGCATACGACGAAACTCCTTTTGCTCTGCTCTCATCTCGCTCTCAATTTTTTGCTACGGCTACGCAGAGCACTGCTATTTATTTTTTGCTATAGCTATAGCCGTAGTTTTTGATCCGAGAAAACTACGAGCAGAGCAGAGCATATGCTTTGCCGATCTTCTGCTACGGCTCTGCTACGGCTCTCGTCATAGCGAGAGCGGTAGCAATAGCAAAACGAAATACTACGGGAGTAGCGTAGTTTTTCAAACGCTGTTTTTAGTATTTTCCAAATATTTTGAAAATATTCTTGAAATTGTATAAGAAGTTTAGAAGTCACTTGGAAGTTAGCTGAATATTTTTTTTCTTGTAAATCAAAATTATGTATGAGAAAATAAACAACAACATAGTACAGGGAATTATTATTGCAAATGGAATTATAAATTATTAAATTAACAAGGAATAATAATTTTTATATTAATAGAAATAATATTTTCTCGCTAAACTCGAGGCACCATGCTTGTTATTAAATATAAATTAAATAAAAATAATTACAATATGTTGTAAAAAAATGTGGTATTTTCCCAATATTTTAGAAAATATATCCTTTAAATTGTATAAGAAGGTTAGAAGTTAGCTCAATACTTTTAGAATTTTTTTGGATGAGAATATAATCAATTACAAAGTTATACATGTACAGAGAATAATTGTTGCAATCTGAATTATAAATTATTAAATTAAAAAATACATATGTATATATTAAATTATAATATATATACATTTTTGGCTATTTTCCAATGTCTTGGCTATTTTCCCGCTAAACTAGCGGCACTCATCTGGCAACGCCATCCCCTTTCGCCTGCTGACGTTGCCACTTGCCAGCTGGTGTGTCCGTGTGCCGTGTGAGCTTGTGTGTGCGTGTGTGTGCGTGTTTGTGCGTGCGTGGGTCTCTCTGCCGCATAAAATTTGGAATTTCGACTTGGATTTCCGACCGGGACAAGGGGCTGCGATGCGAGTGGAAGCTGTGTGGTGCACGCTGCTAGGCAGCCTGCTGCTGTGGAGCGGCAGAGCCCACGCCTGGCACTCGGAGGAGCTGGAGATCTTCGATTTGGTCGAGGAGGTGAATCGCAACTTCTACGAATTCATGGGCATTAACCAGACAGCCACCGGGGCAGAGGTGAAGCGCGCCTTTCGCACACTATCGATTGTCCTGCATCCGGACAAGAATCCCGCCGAGGATGCCAATATCCAGTTTCGCAACCTCGTCTCCATATACGAGGTCCTCAAGGATCCGTCGCGACGTGAGAAGTACGACCGGGTGCTAAAGGAGGGCATGCCCAACTGGAAGTCGGCGCTGTACTACTACCGTCGCATGCGCAAGATTGGCCTCTACGAGGGCGCCTTTATCCTGTTCCTAATCACCACCGTGGGCCAGTACCTGTTCGCCTGGGCCGCCTACCTCGAAAAGAAGTACACCGCCGAGCAGGTGTTCGGCACCAAGCTGAAGAAGTTGCAGAAGAAAAACAAGAACATTGACATGGACGTGATACTCAGCGAAATACCGATGCCCTCGCTGCTCAACACACTGCCCATCCAGATACCGCTGGCGCTATGGAACCTGCCGCGGACCATCAAGAATGGTTTCAGCAAGGCCAACGAGCTGAAGGAGCTGGCGCTGGAGAAGCGCAGGCAGTGAGTTTCGGGGAAGGGAGACAAGGAAAAAAACAGTTTCTAATGTTTAATTTGCAGGGAACTGGAGGCCGCCCGACGCCAAGAGGAACTGGAACGGGAGGCCGAGGAGCAGGCACGCCTGCGCAAGGAGCACAAGGAGAACCTGCGAAAGCGCAAGCAGAACACCAAGGCTCCGGAGAAAACCGAGGAGGAACTGCGCGGCTATTCGCAAATCCAGGCCCGCGAGATGACCGACGACGATGCTGTGCGTCCCGCTTCTCAAAAGGTATCTTTCCTGGGTTCTTTCTTGGTTTTTTTGTGAAAATTCTACACAATTTCGATCTTACAGAGCTCTGTGAGTGGTGGCTTCTGGACAGACGAGGATCTCACCGAGCTAATTCGCCTAGTTAAGAAGTATCCCGGCGGAGCTGGTAGCCGCTGGAACACCATTGCCGAGTCCATGAATCGTAGTGTTCAGGAGGTCACCTTTATGGCGGCCAAAATGAAGGAAAATGGCTACCGAATACCCGGCCAAACGGACAGCGTGGCCGAGACTCTCGTCCAGGAGTCCCAGCAGGCGCAGCGCAAAGAAAAGGTCAAAAAGTCTGCGGCAACGGCGGCAACATCTGCCGCCGCCGCTACTACCGCCTCCGGGGAGAAGAGCATGCTCATCCCGGAAACCAACTGGACGCAGGAGCAGCAGCGGGCTCTTGAGGCGGCCATCGTCAAGTACCGGAAGACGGCTGGCGGCGATCGCTGGCAAAAGATTGCCAACAGTGTGCCAGAGAAGACGAAGGAAGAGTGCCTGGTGCGCTACAAGTATCTCTGCGAGCTGGTCAAGACGCAGAAGCGGGCCGAGGAGGAGGCCAACGAGGCAACAGGCGACGATGTGACCGCCGTTGAGGAGGTGCTGCCAGAGGACGAGCCGCCGCCGCCGCCGGCAGAAGCACCAGCAGCTGCGGCGCCTGCCACTAAAAAGCTAAGCAAGCGGGAGCAGCGTCGCCGGAAGCGAGATCTCTCAAGCGGCGAGGACTCGGACGATGCATATCAGTACGAGATCAGTTAGATACCAGTCCTCCTGCTCCGGCAGTTCCTCGCGTGGCTCAAACCTAGTTGTAATTGAATTTTTTTTATACTTTGCATTAAAAACTCTCTGACCTAGCATTTGGAACCATATTGAGTGTCCTCCATTGTCCGTTTTTTGTTTTTGTTGCCATTTCCCCCTCCCCTCTTCCTTGCTTATCTTGTGTTTTGTACATACTTATATTTTGTAAACAAATCTAAATGTCGATTGATTCCTGTGCTAAGTAAACGAACTGTGGAAGGAAGTGGACAACGAGCGACTCTTTGCTGGGTGTAATGGGAAGAGATTGGAATTCTTCGTTTTGGCAGAGTTTGGAGAGGTTTTAAATTCCTCAAGAAGCTTCGGTGAGTATTTTAACCTTTGCTTTCTTCTATTTTAGAGGCTTTCTTTTTAAATTTAATTTGTAAAAAATGTATTTAAAAAAAAAAAGTTGATTTAAGATCATAAAATGCAAATATCGTAGGTTTTCTTGGCCAAGAAATATCATATATATTTATTAAAAAATTTAAATAAATTAAAAATATCCCTTTGAACTCTTCTAAAACTTATATCTGAGCGAAAAAAATTTAAGAAACTCTTTAAAAACTTATTAAAAAAAATTAAATTTATTAAAAATATTCCTTTGAACTTTGAACTCTTGTAAAAATTATAAAAAATGTAAAAAAACCCTTCAAAATTTATAAAAAAAAATGATATTACTTAAAAATATCCCTTTGAACTCTTTTAAAAGTTATTTCTTAACCAATAATATGTAAGAAACTCTTCAAGAATACATTTTAAATTATATACCCCCGGTTTCGGTGACGTACAAACTCCATTCTAATCTCCTCGCCGCGAACATGGCTTTAAAGTTGATAGCCGAAATGCAGCTTTAAACTCCATCCATCCAAGTTGAATGCTAACTAATTATAATTCTCAGTTGGCTTGAACCTGACAGCCATCAAAGTGGAGTTTCCTCAGATTTATTATTTATAAAAGTTAAGTTAAGCACTTTCGGCGCCCGAAAATGTTTAATCAAAGATACGTATTCATTATTTATATGGCTGCCAGTCGGATTACTAGCCAGTCTGTGTGTGTGTGTGTGTGTGGCTAACCTTGGAACGATTTGCTTTTAATTACACTCAACTTACATTTTGATAATTATTGGACTATGACTGTGACTCTGAGCCGGTGGCTGTGTCTCCTCCCAATTTTGGTTGGTCACCATTCGTGTTTGCAATGAACTTAAAACCAGCGTGCACTAGAAACATGGCCAGCTTCGATTTAAAGCCGAGAACCCGTTGAATCACTCAAAAGCCAAAGTCGAATTGGAAATCTAAGACTCAAAAGCCTCAAGTGTAGGCGCAACGGAATCAAACCAAATTGTCAAAATGATTTTCCCATTAAAGTGTAGGCTCTTTTAGGCGAAAAATGTTTATTTATATGAATTATACAATTATTATAAATATATAAAAAAATATATAAATAAATTGAAAAAAATATATAAATAATAAAATGTTTATAAATATTTATTATAATATTTGTAATACATATATATATATATTTTACAATATATACTTTAATTAATTTTTAACTTTTTTCATATATATATATTTTTTTATATATATATTTAAACAATTTTATTTTTATAAATTAAAAAATAAATGTAATTTTATATATTTATTATTTCTAATTTATAAAAATAAAATTTATTTAAAAATAAATGAGATTTTATAAATGTATTCATTAATTTTTAAATTTATAAAAATAAAATTTATTTAAAAATAAATGGGATTTTATATATTTTTTTTTGAATTTATAATAAAATTAAAAAATTGAAAAAACAAACAAATTTATAAAAAAAAAAATACTTAATAATTCTCTTTAATCCCAAGTTAAAATAAAATTTTATAGATCACTCGTTACACTTTATAGATTTTTCCAAAAATAATGCGTTAATTACACCCAAGCAAAAGTCAATTAAAATTCGTTAGAGACCAATTGGGGCTTCATTGCAAATATAACTATGATAAGCTTTAATAAAAGTTGGCTTTATTAGCTTAACCAGACCGACAGGTATTAACTAACTAAGACAAACAATAAAAAACAACAACAATAAAAGAGAAAAATATATAAAACCATTCGAAGCGGTTTGCTAGCATTTCAAGGGCGACTCCAGTTGCAGTTTCTGAGTTGCAGGTGGAAAAGCTTTTAAAAATAAAATATACATCATAATAAAATGACTGAGCTAGACATTTAATTTTCATTGAATTTCCATTTAAACTCTGACTCAGGTTTGGCCTTCAACTCAAAGTTCAAGCGGCAAGTTCACGTGACGTCACGCCAGGTGGGCTGGTGGGGGTCCAATTCATTTTGATTCTTCTGAAGACCAAGTAGCCCGAAGACAGAGAACAGAGAACTGCAAAACAGAGAACTAAGAACCGAGTACCGAGAACCGAGCACCGAGAACCGAGAACTCATAACCCAGAACCAGTTATTGGCCAAAAGCGGCTATAAGCGCTCAACTTGGCGACTTTATCGATAATATCGCAAGTCGGAGTCAGTCGCAAACGGAGCGCCAAACGAGGCGGTTGTTTACCTGGCCAATAAAATCCCCAACAATTTGCTAGATCAAGCGCGAACCTAGAAACAACACACATCACTTTTTTTTCCACCTGTTTTTTTTTTTTTTTGTTTATTTGTTGTTTGAGTTTGCGAGTTTTTCTCTGAGAAGAAATGACAATTTATGGACTGTTGGTGCAGATCATCATAGTTTGCAATTAACCCAAGGAACCGAGCAGATCCCAGCCTCAGCATGGCCCCGCCCCAAGAGGAACCCGAGGACGATATAACCACCAAGGTGAGTTAAGGGGACGGAAGAACGTGTGTAATTAAAACATAAATTTATGCTGCTGGTATACAAAAAAATTCTAGACTAAAGACTAAACTGGAGGGGAGCTTAAATAAATTTAAATTTAAATTAGTTATGATAAAGAATAGTTTATAATTATAATTTATTCTGTAAAATAATAGTATTATTATAATTATTATTTTATTATTATATTTAGGGTATCAGCTTTGATAGTTTTTACACATTTTTTCTAAACTTTACTTGACATTTAAGAGTGTTAAAAATATTATTAAAAGGCTTTATCCTTTATATTTTTTATTTCAAGTATTTTTTTTATTAAAAAGAAATTTTTGATAATTAAAAAAATTGCTGGAGTTTAAGTTATTGGAGTTTCAATAATAATTAAGTTTTTTTTTAACTGTTCTTGTGGTTTAATAAACTTTACTTAATATTTTAGGTTAACAATTATATATTTTTTTTAACGCTTTTAAAATCAGTTACTTTATATCTAATTATTTTTTAATAAAAAATTAAGAGAGTACACTTATAAAATTTTTAATAATTTTTTTCGACTTCAATAAACTTCACTTGGCATTTAATAGTGTTAAAAATACTCTCAAAGCCATTATTTATAATTATTTTTCTTTTTTATAATAATGGTTTAATAAAAAATAAATACTGTAGCACAAGTTATTGAAATTTAAACAAATTTCTTAGACTCATCTTGTGGTTTAATAAACTTTACTTAGCATTTATCACTAAAAATAATTTGTTTAAAAGCTGAAAATGGATATCTTAGCATTTGGGTGATAAATGAGATGATGTACAAAATGTTTATTTATTATTCAAGCTCTAGAAAGAAATTTAAAATATTTCTCACACATTTTTTTAAAGATATACTTAACTTATATTATATTATATTCCTAGGAATTCTTTAAAATTAATTAATAATTATTTATACAGAATATTTAGACCATAAAATCTGTATTTAATAAAACTTCAGGCCAATTTCTACCAATTTTCTTGTTTTATAGTTAAAATTTTGATCGAAATTCGCTAATCATGCAGCGTGCAGAGTAGCATCCATCCAATGGTGTTAGCATTGATCTGTTGGATCGCTAATTAGTGTATGAGAAGGGGTTTCCACACTGATGTGGTGACTTTGGGGCATGGTCAAGGTTTTTGGGGGCCATAGCCAACATAATTCATCTTGAATAGAGAGCGGGAAATAATAAATAAATAAAATAAATCAAATTTGTTTAGCGCGGAAGTGAAACCAGTTACCAGCCAAAAAGGGCCATCGTACTTCTCAGTGATTTCCCGTTTGAGTTTTGAGTTTGCTTACAGCATCGTTTGCTAATTGAGCAAGTATATATATGTTATGTATATTTATATATAATTATAAAGCCAAATATCGTATGTGTAACTGGACTGCACTTTGAGGTAGCAAAGGTTAGCCAAGGTGAACTTCACCTCTCACCTCAACGAACTAAACTGAACCTTGAACCACATTTGGATTTTGAATATGTATTAGAGCCAAAATTAGATTTCAAAATATTTAAATTCATTCAATTCTTTATATAATTATTTATTTACTTTATATTAATAGAAAGTGTGTTACCTAATAGAAGCGTGTTGCTAATTAGCTCTTTCAGACAGAGCTTTTGTTGATCCAATTTATTTTGTTTTTATTTAGACAATTAGCTTTATTAGCGTTTGCCAAATGAAGGTTGCACTTGTCTTAAAATTAAGCTAAAAATTACAAATAAAAATAAAAATAAAAATAATATAAATATAAATAATAATAGTGAAGCTAGCTTTATATCGTGTGCATATTTTAAGGGGCAGCAACGATTATTGGCTTTAGTTTTTTAGTTTTTTTTTTTGGGGTTAATTGGGTTCCACTGATCTCTGATTCGGTCTGCCATATCCAAGATCTTTCACTTTCCTTCTGCAAACTAGCCCAGGCAATTCCGGCCACAAAACACCTGGCCAGGTGGATGTGGCAATCGGGACAACACTGAAAGACCAGACTAACAGGGGGAAAATGATAAAATAAATTTTAATTTAATTTAAAATAAATTTAAATATATTTAAAGGGGTTTCAATGAGCCTACAAATTATTAATTTTAACTTAAAATTATTTATTTATTCTATTTAATTGAATTAAATTTGTAGTTCAATATTTTAATTTATTATTTCAATATTTTATATTTAATTCAAATAAATTTAAATAAATTTAAACTGGTTTTAAAGAGCCTAAAATTATAACTTTTAATAGTTAAAAATGTTAATTATTTTTTTTTAATATTTTATATTTAATTAAAATACATTTAATTATTTAATAATATTTTATATTTAATTTAAATAAATTTAAATATATTTAAAGGACTTTTAACGAGCCTACAAAATTATTACTCTTAACTTTAAATATTTATTTATTATATTTTGTTGAATTAAATCTTGAATTAAATATTCTAATTATTTATTTAAATATTTTTCACTGTGCCTAAATGATTTGACCAGCTGAAAAACAAAAATAAAAATAATGGCCAGCATATGTTGTGGGGGACATTGAGATATGGTCCTAAGGCTCTACCGCCTCCTGCCATTCTCGTGAATAATAAACAATTGTAGTTTCAAGAGATATAGAAACAGATATGGTACAGTAGTGGCTACTACTAACTAGCCAAGGAATATCAAGACTGTGTAGAAGCTAGTATCTGGCAGTACGAGTAGTAGCTCAGAGTACAAGTATCTTACAGTACGAGTATCTGTGCCTTTAGCGCTCCAGTATCTTAATTATTACTGAGCTCAGCGTTGCGGAACGATGACGATGACTACAATGATGTCTCGGATTTGGAATTAGAATGGGAAAATGACAAGTCAGAATCAGATGGAGACAAAGAGCAGCTAAGATATATCAAAAATTATAAAATTAAATTAAATAAATAGTTTATTATAAAGTATATATACTTTAGAATTAGTTCTAAAAATAAATTCAAAAGCTTAGTCGTATCCACCAGATACCTCTTCGACTTCCGCATACTTCTTGCTGAATTTTTAATTTGGACAACAAAATAAAGAAGAAAAACCTGCCAACTCATTGGGGCCAGACATAAAAAAATACAACAAAAAAAAGAACACAAGAAGAATTAATAAGTATTGAAATTACAAAAGGAAGCCAAACGAGAAGCTCTTAACGCTCAATTTGGTGCTCCGCCGCTCGATCAGCGATCGTGACGTGTTCGTGTTGGTTTTTCGAGTGGCTTTCAGTGGTGGCTCCCACCATGGAGGTCAAGTTCAGGGAACACCGCCAGTTTATGGTTGATTTTCATCTTCTTTGCTTTGCCGAAGCTTCAAGCTCCATGGAAGTGGAGGTGTTGGAGTTTTGTTTTGCACAAGTACTTAGAGACTTGGACAAAGAGCACCGCTGCCAGGAAATTGATGGCAAATAAATATTGTTTTTTTTTTTTATTTAGCTTTAGTCTTAATTTGCCACTTCCTAATTAAGTTTATACACTTGAAAATTAATTGATGGCTTGAAAAATGCATATGAGATATAGTTTTATATTGTGGTATCTTAGCTTATTAATAAGTCTTGGTTTTATATATTAAATTTAAATATTTATTTATTAAAAAAAATATAAAATGGAATTCAAGAGAAACGTTAAGCAAATTTGAATGTCAGAATATATGAATTTTTTGTTAGTGTTGGTCAATAAATTCTGTTAAACATCAAAACTATAAAATGATATATAAATAAAAAAAAATTGATAAATTAAATTATAATTTAATTTTAAAATATTATCGAAAATAAAATAAATTAAGTTAAATTTTTTTTAGAATATTTTCGATAATATTAATATTTTAATTTTCAATGCGATTAATTATTATGATATTTTCGATATGAAATTAAGAGCAAAATTAATAAATAAATAATTTATTTTCTATTCTTTTAGTTATATATATTTACATAAATATTTTTTTCAAGTTGTAAATATATTTTTAAAAATATCAACATTTATTTTAATATTTTTTTTCAAGTTTTCAACATTTTTTTTAATATACAAAAACCCACCACCTTGGGTACATCTCTTCACCAATTATTGTTATTTTTTTGTGAACAAAAAAGGTGATGCCAAGTTATTTGGACCCTGAAGGTCGCGTTATAAATTTATTTGATTTATGGTAATTAGCCCTGTGCACACACCTTTTGCCTAATTGCAGATACCTTCGATAATTGGATTCCTGAACTTGGACTGACGAAATGGAGCGACGATGAGCTGACCCCGAGAGCCAAGGCTGAAGCGCTGCATCGCGAGAATAATGATTATTATTTTTCTCTAGATCAGGATCTAGATGTGGTTAAGAATAATAAAATAATAAATAAATAAAAAAGGCAATGTGATCGAAGCAAAGCTGAAGTATTGGTTTTATTTCAAATGCCCAAAAGTAGGCAACAACTCTCATTAACTTTATAATTTCAAAGATTTTCGATTGACTTTTCATGCCTGGCTGAGTGATTTTGTAGCTGTCTTTTGTTGTGTCTGACAGTGACAGATCTCAGAGAGAGAGAGAAATGAGGTAAAAAAATAAGTAGGTAATAATGACGGCACGCACAAAAAAATATGTTAAGCCAAGCGACGATCTGAACTCTGAACTGGCTACCATCCTAGGCCGGCGGCAATTGCATCTGAGCTTTAGAAGCGATCCAAGGACCCAACACAAGCAAGCTACTCAGCAGGCTGGAACGAGGACAAGGCGGGGTTCGAGGACGACGTGGTGGACGTGGACGTGGACTAGAACTGGGAGGCGGACAGGCACGCAGACGAGGATAGCGCTCCAAGGTGGAGCGGAACGGAGCGGTGAGAATTGGAAGCAGTCTTCGAAGAACTCTTTCCGGAGGCAGAAGAAATGTATTCGGCGGTAAAGCCGCTGTCCAAATATCTGCAGTTTAAATCGATTCGCATCTACGACGCCGTCTTCACCATCCACTCTAAATGCACGGTGGTGATTCTGCTTACATGCTCCCTGCTCCTGTCGGCGCGTCAGTACTTTGGGGATCCGATTCAGTGCATCACCGAGGAGAAGAACATCGAGTATGTGCAATCCTACTGCTGGACCATGGGCACCTACATCCTCAGGCTGGACAATTACAACGAGCTTCCCCTCCCGCCACCCTATCCCGACCAGGTGGTAGCCAACAAATCCCAGTTGAAGGTCAATTCCCGCAGCCGTTATCGCTCCTCCTACCAGCGATCAAGCCTCCGCCGGCTGGGGGATTACGACGAGGCGTATGCCCGGGCCATGTCGATAGCCGAGGGCGTGGGCCCCGAAATCCGTGGTCAGTCGCAGCGGGTGTATCTGCGCTATTACCAGTGGGTCATCATCCTGCTGCTCTTCCAGGCGTTCGTCTTTTACTTCCCCTCGTGCCTGTGGAAGGTGTGGGAGGGTCAGCGACTGAAGCAACTCTGTTCGGAGGTTGGCGAGGCTTTGCTCTCCGAGGAGACTTACAACACAAGGCTGCGCCTGCTGGTGAAGTACTTCACCACCGATTACGAGGACATGCACCTGAGCTACATGGCCAAGTATGTCTTCTGCGAGGTCCTCAATTTCTTAATCAGTGTGAGTAGGACACCCGGGCAGCAACCGGCATACTTTCAACAACAAATTTAAAGACACACTTCAACAACAGCGACAGTCCAGCAATGTATTTCAATTTTTCAATAACAAAAACACTAGCTAACAACACAACACAACCCCAAGAAATCATCTTTTTAGAAGGGTTTTCTGCTAACAAAATTCAGCTTAAACCAGTTAATGATGGCCAACGTATTCCAATTTTCAACAATACCCCGAAAAAATCATCTTCTTGGAAGGCTTTTCTGTTTAAAAACCACCAAAACCCAGCTAATGACGGCCTTTGCCAACCTGCAGATAGTGAACATAATAGTCCTGGAAGTTTTTCTCAACGGTTTCTGGACCAAGTACCTCCAAGCCCTGGCCACTATACCGTTGTACGACTGGGACCACTGGAATCGCATCTCATCGAGCGTCTTCCCGAAAATCGCCAAATGCGAGGTGCTAAAGTTCGGAGCCAGTGGCACGGCCACCATCATGGACAACCTGTGCATCTTGCCGCTGAATATCCTGAACGAGAAGATCTTCGTGTTCCTGTGGGCCTGGTTCCTGCTGATGGCCCTGATGTCCGGCCTGAATCTGCTCTGTCGGCTGGCCATGATCCTGAGCAGTTACCTGCGCGAACAGATGATTCGCAGCCAGTTGCGGTTCATGAGCATGCGGCATGTGCAGCGCGCTTTGCGGGACCTGACCATCGGTGACTGGTTCCTCCTGATGAAGGTCAGTGTCAATGTGAACCCGATGCTCTTTCGGGATCTCATGCAGGAGCTATGCGAGCTGCGTACCTCCTCCTCGGTGAGCATTCTGGAAAGCGCCGTCTAGGATGGTTATCAGGATCGCAAACGTGCCCTTGTCGTCGTTATCTAATTCAACGGTTTTCTATAGTCTGTGTATGTATAACTAAAAATATGCTATACTAAATATTATTTTCTCTTCCGATCGTATGCCATTAGCTTGATAAATTCCTTTTGAAAACATTGTAAGCTCGATACCAAAGAGTCTAAATTTGTTGAAATGAATTAAGTAATAATATTTTAATACTATAAAAAATAAATCTGAGTAGAGGCAGCAACTTTATTGAAGCACAATAATAATAATAATTATAATAATAATTATTAAAATTAAATTTATATGAAAATTTTATATCACCTAAAAGAATAAACTTGCCGCTTACGTTGCCCTATGATTCTCAACTGGTTCTGGCTGCAACTAGGTGAAGTCAGTACTGATGAGGACGAGTGTTGGGAGTTTTTCTATTCAGTAATTTATTTTCTTTGTGAATTTGGGGATGAATATTCCTGATTCCTGATATATCTTTATTTTATTATATTTTATAATATAATATTAAAAAATCGAATTTTAAGAGGGATAGTCTATGAGATGAAGATGAAGTCTGGGTCTCTCCCAAAAATTATATACTACTTATTTTTTTCTGTTCCGATCTTATGCCCTTAGCTAAACAAATTCCTTTTGTATTCTATTTTTATAATTAATATTTTAATATAAAAAATACCCCCAATTTCTTGTCATTACATAACTTATCAGTGAACCCTATTCATTCTTTAAATGCGTGATCTCTTCAAGCCAAGTTGACTGAGTCATTTTTAATAGGTCTCTTAAGACCCATAAGCGTAGTACTTGAAACTATAAAGTTATAGTTTACATAATATACTGGATTTTCCATTGATTAGATCTCCGGTTTCACTTGACTTTTTTTTTGTGTACTATCCAGCTTGCCAAATCTTCTGAACCTGAACGCAAAACTCACGAGCGCTTCTTCAGGTTGCTTCTGAAGTCGACATACGAAACGATTGTCTGTCGACTGGCTTCTTATGCCTCTGCTGGCATTTAATGTGCATTGTTTATAACTAGTTGTTGCTGCTATAATTTCGTCATTTATATTTCGCTGAGACGATCCTCAGTCCCCCAAGTTGCCCATCCCCCAAAAGTTTCGGCATTGTTTTGCGCACATTAACAACGCAACTCGCTCGCGTTTTTGGCCACCTCCGCTGCACAGTGAGAAAAATATATACTATTCTTTTTTATTTTCAGATTTCTGTTTTTAGAAATTAAATTTTAAAAAATTTCAAAAAGAAACCCTTTTCAAATTAAATTCCAAACTAATTAAAAATAAATCACAAAATGTTATATTTAATATTCAAAATTTTTCGCTCTGCACACAAATTACCCACTCACACTCGCTCAGTGAGACTCGCACTCATGTGAATAAATGTAAATATTATTCAAAACTCATTCGAGTGGCGTTTAATATGCCCTATTCACACGTGAGGCATATCAGCTGGAGGGCCACCCATTTGCCTCAGTGTGACTCACTTGGGCGCTGATTAAAAAGTTCCCCAGAAAGATTAACTAATTTATGAACTCATGTGCCAGCTCTCTGTACTATTTGAATGACGTTTCATTGTATTATCATCACTGTGTATTTCCCTATCATATTTTTAAATTAAATTCAATTGCAAATAACCACCAAGACGTAAATGATAACAGATAACCAGATAGTAGAGTGCAATGCAATATAACCATGAATATTTCAATATTTAGCAATTTCTTAAATGTATTATATTCATATAAACAAAAAAGAAATGTATTTTTCTGCAACATATCTGGAATAATGGCACATTAATAAAAAATAATATAAAAACAATGACAAATGCTAACTACATTCTTATTAGCAAAAATGCCAACACGTTGCACTATGATTCCCAACTGGTTCTAGCTGCAAACAGGGATAATGACGACTATCTCTATTATTACGAACCGGGTATTAAGTGTTTCTCCCATTCAGTGATTTATTTTCTCTATAAATATACCGATCTATATGGATATATATTCCTGATCTCTAATATTTAATTATTTTTATGAATATTTTAAAAAACTCTCTTTAAAAGTGATAGTCTACCCATGTTGTTACCATTGTTAGGTATCACAAAAGTTGGCCTAATGTCTGTGTTACCACTTTTTGGGGTCTCTCCCTTTCCGTTTTACGTTTGCGTGGGCCGCCTGGCGTCGACTGAGGCAGCGACTGCGACGGCGGCAGAGGTGCGGCCGGTATTTCTTTAGCTTTTTGGTTACATCTATTTCCATTACCATTTCTATGGCATTCGCATTCGTATTCCTATTCCCATTCGGTATTGTTTTGCTTGGATTTTTCGGTTTTTGGTTTTTTGGTTTGTCGGTTTTTGGTTTCTGTTGATTTTTTGTTTATTTTTCGGTTGCCGTGTGCCTTCGTTCGTGTGTGTGCCACTTGGCCAGGCCAGAGTAGTAGTTAGTCGCTTGGCTTTATTTTAGTATTTTAGTCGCCTGTCAACCGCCGTCCCTTTCGCTGCTGCTCACCGTCGCTTTTTGTTAATTTCTTGTTGATTTTGATTTTGTTGCGATGCGTCGTGGTGTGCCGTGCGCGAGTGCCGAGCGCATTTAATTAAGCCGCGTACGTGACGATTGCAGCTGCAATTTCTGTGTGTCGTTGTGTGTTGCACAGTTGCACTGCCAATTGACGTTGCATCTGCCGCGGCAATATCAATAGTGTATCGCTATCGCCGCAGTGAGTAATGCACTCGTAATTGGGTCTGTTGCAGAGATACAAAATCAACGACCCACCAAAAGGGGCACAGCAGGGGTTAAAATGATAGTGAAACAATAAATAAATAAAATAAAAAAAAAAGTTTTATAAATATAAAAATACTTAAATTGTATTAAAATAATAATGGAACAATAAATATATAATATAAAAAATATTTATAAATATATAAAATACATAAGGTGTCCCGAAAAATAACAATAATGGGCACAGACGAGGTTAAAATAATAATAGAAATATAAATTTATTAAAAATAGATTCCGTAAAAAAACATTAAATATTATTTTTACAAGTTTGAAATATTTAAAAAATAAGTGACTAATTTTTTTAAACGAAAGTTTTACTTATTAATGAAAACCTACAAATATATAAAAGTGAATTGTTATAAAATGTTAAATATGTATTGTAAAGAATTTAAATTTTATTTTTTTTTTATAAGAGACCATATATTTATCATATATATAAACATTTTGAAACCTAAAAAAAAAAACAAAAGGCTCCTATTGATATACCCTTAGTTTTTGTGCAACTTTTGAGTTCCCAATTTCCTTTATAATTCCCAAGTGCTTAATCAGTGCCAGATTAGCTACAATTTTGACTGCAGTTGTGCGTTTACACACACCTTACACACACACATGACACTGGTGATATGAGCGGCAGCAAAAACAAAAATAACAGCGATAACAATAAAAAAAACAACAAAAAACAACAGCGGTGGGCATTGATAAACAGCCCGCGACAAGTGTGTAAAACATTTAAGAGCACAGTGGGCAATTGCATCATCTGAGCGTGAGGCTTATTTTCCTTCGTTTGGCTATTTTCGGTGAAAGTCGTGATTGATAAAGCCCCCAGTCTCTGTCTCCCGTTTTATATGTATATATATGTTTTTTTTTTTTGCCTCGTCCAATTTGTGTCACTATTGTTCTCCCCAATCCGGTGCTTTTGTCATTGGCATCTGGTTTCAGGTTTTCGGTTTTCGGTTTTCGATATATTTACATACCGCACATTGTTGTGGGTCCGATTTTGTATTCGCTGGACTAGACGAAGAAAGCTTTCGGGGTGTTTTGTGTTTAACCAGGCTGGGGGGGGAGAGAAATAGTAGAAATACCTTTATAAAAGTCACCTTTCAAACATGAAACACGCATAATTGGCCCACAGTGGTTAGCTTGGAAAAATCAATGTGTAGTATAAATAGGGGAAAAACAGCAGGTTGATTGCTTTTGAAAAACATGTTTACCAAATCAATAAATCAAAATGTGCACCAAGCATAGAAACTGTCATTAAAGCTTAAATGAAAAATGTAAGAAAAACAGTGCAAGATAATTCCTTAAAATAGAAACTGAAAAAACAAACATTTTTAAATAAATATAATTAATATCTGAGTTACAAATTGAGTGCTAAGAAAACATAACTTTAAAATTAATAATTATAGCCCTGTGAAAATCACTTCACAACCACTGTGCGCCTAGAAGAGCCTCATAAACAAAACAAACGCCAAAAAGACCAATACGGTGGTACGCAAAAAGAAGAGGAGGCAAGAAAAGCGATTACGTCAACGAGGGCTGTTATGACCAGGTCCGCAATAAGGGGGAGGTTTTTAATATTTACAAAGATTTAGAAATATTAATATCAAAGCATATTTGTTAGTACAAAATCAGTACAAAAATAGTGGAAAAAATTCTACAAATATTGCATAAAAATATTCCACCGTGCCTGTGTTAACCAAAATAATTGTGAAAATATTTGTGTGTCTTTAAATAATATTTTTAAATAAATAAAATAATTCAGAGTATTTTTAATAATTTATTAAAAGAATAATTATAAATAATAATTTAAATTTCAAAAATTGAGAACATTTAATTTTATAGAAAATCTTAAAAATTGTTTTTAAATATAAGATTTGTGAGATAATTTTTCTTTTACTAAAAAACTCAATTTGAAGTATTTTGCATTCCATGTTTTGCAATAAACACTCCATATTATGGTATAAAATGTTGCATATTAGTCCCCCCACTTACCCCCCCATCTAAATCCGGCCCTGGCCTCTCTGCCACGTCTCCACCGGCAGCGACGCTGGCGCCCAAGGCGGTTAGCAAAAGCGTCGCGCCAAGCGATTTAGTCTACTCTAAATCGTCGCTGCCCGAACCCGCGTCTCCCGTGCTCTACTCCCCACACCTCAGTTCCCCAATTCACCCACTCCACACGCGTGTAATTTTGATTATATTTCTCGCCGTGTAACTGTTCCAATTATTGATTTGTGCAAAGACTCGAAAGAGGCGTCGTCACACCTCCCCAAAAAATAACACACAAAATAATGAGATAACAAGTGGAAGGTGTTGCTCATGTCTTTACATTTCTTTTGTCGTCTTCACTGCCAAAAAAAAAGGTGTTGTTGAGTCTTAAGGCCATAAGATAATTTGTACAGCTTCTAGGTTAACAAGTTTATTTATAAAC